GCCTCAGTCCTGGGTCTACAGCCTGAGTCCTGGGTCTACAGCCTCAGTCCTGGGTCTACAGCCTCAGTCCTGGGTCTACAGCCTCAGTCCTGGATCTACAGCCTCAGTCCTGGATCTACAGCCTGAGTCCTGGATCTACAGCCTCAGTCCTGGGTCTACAGCCTCAGTCCTGGATCTACAGCCTCAGTCCTGGGTCTACAGCCTGAGTCCTGGGTCTACAGCCTCAGTCCTGGATCTACAGCCTCAGTCCTGGATCTACAGCTTCAGTCCTGGATCTACAGCTTCAGTCCTGGATCTACAGCCTCAGTCCTGGATCTACAGCCTCAGTCCTGGGTCTACAGCCTCAGTCCTGGATCTACAGCCTCAGTCCTGGATCTACAGCCTCAGTCCTGGATCTACAGCCTGTCCTGGATCTACAGCCTCAGTCCTGGGTCTACAGCCTCAGTCCTGGATCTACAGCCTGAGTCCTGGATCTACAGCCTCAGTCCTGGGTCTACAGCCTCAGTCCTGGATCTACAGCCTCAGTCTTGGATCTACAGCTTCAGTCCTGGATCTACAGGCTCAGTCCTGGATCTACACTCTCAGTCCTGGATCTACAGCCTCAGTCCTGGATCTACAGCCTCAGTCCTGGATCTACAGCTTCAGTCCTGGATCTACAGCCTTAGTCCTGGATCTACAGCCTCAGTCCTGGGTCTACAGCCTCAGTCCTGGATCTACAGCCTCAGTCCTGGATCTACAGCCTGAGTCCTGGATCTACAGCCTCAGTCCTGGGTCTACAGCCTCAGTCCTGGATCTACAGCCTCAGTCTTGGATCTACAGCTTCAGTCCTGGATCTACAGGCTCAGTCCTGGATCTACACTCTCAGTCCTGGATCTACAGCCTCAGTCCTGGATCTACAGCCTCAGTCCTGGATCTACAGCTTCAGTCCTGGATCTACAGCCTTAGTCCTGGATCTACAGCCTCAGTCCTGGGTCTACAGCCTCAGTCCTGGATCTACAGCCTCAGTCCTGGATCTACAGCTTCAGTCCTGGATCTACAGCCTCAGTCCTGGATCTACAGCTTCAGTCCTGGATCTACAGCTTCAGTCCTGGATCTACAGCCTCAGTCCTGGATCTACAGCCTCAGTCCTGGGTCTACAGCCTCAGTCCTGGATCTACAGCCTCAGTCCTGGATCTACAGCCTCAGTCCTGGATCTACAGCCTCAGTCCTGGATCTACACCTGGCCGTTCGTGGGAACAGAGCCCTCTCTCAATATGAGCCTCCCACAGGTTTTCCTCTTGGGTTATTGGGAGGTTCCTTGCAGCTGCAGGAGGGTCCAAGGACAGTGATAATCCGAGTCATTTCTGCACATTTCTTGACAGTGGTCGTCCCAATCTCTGTGGACTCATTGAGTAACACAATGAGTCATTGTGACAGAAACACAGAAACTGTTTAAGCACAGAAACATTGAGTTTCTGTGCTTAAACAGTTTGACTACAAACAGTCTGTGCCATCAGCCCCTCCCACCTCCACCAACCATTCACACACACAAACACACACACACACACACACACACACACACTCTCTCTTAATTAAGAACAGCAACAGTTTTGCACTTTACAGCCACAGCCGCCCCACTGTGGCACCTGATGTTCCCAGAGGTTTCCCATCACAGTACTGACCAGGCCCTGCGATTCTTAGTTTCAGAAGTATGACAGAATCTGGCTTTTGTATGCTACAAGTGCAATAACTTTATACAAGCTATTGCACATCACAGAATAATTGCACTTAAACTAGCTCTGCGACATCCCAGATAGATACTAAACAAATCCTAAATCCTCTCCTCTTGTTCTTTGTTGTTATTGTATTAATTGGTTTCACTGAGTCTGTCTGTTTTAAATGTGTGCTTCCTGCAAAACCAACTTCCCCAAGTGGGACAATATCTTTGAACTTTGACAAAATCTACCGTCTTTCCTGGGGGCTCGGGTGGGGGCTTGGCTTGGGTTGGTCTCTCCGCCTCAGTCCTGTATTTTGACTGTCCATATTCACGTGACAGACTGCTCCAGTAGCTCCTGATTCCCGCTCGTCCATAATCTCTTACAAGTCAAAGAATGTCTCAATTAGAGCCATTTTAAAGGAGCAGGTGACGTCTTTTGATGTGATATGGCTCTCGGTCTAATTGGGGCCCGGCTGTCAGAGGCGCTCAGAGCTGATGCCCGCGGCTCACGACATCTTCTGTGGATCTCGCACATGGATCAGAGAGACCTCCTGTCCTACACTCCACCTTTGACCCCCCCACTGTGCCCCTTTAACATTGGGATCTACAACAAGGCATAACATGTGTACGCTGGTAGATCTGAAGTTGGCTGGATGACATTGTGAACTTGTGTTAACATCACTGTGTCCCTTTAACATGAGGACTCCCACAATTATGAAACTACTAGAACTCGCAAAGCCGCCATTTTGACTGCTCCTATTCAAACCGATGGAGTTCTGAGAAATTGACCCAAAACGCCAATTTGCTGTATTTTGAGAAAAGTATTGCACTTTTAGTCTTCTTCTGATTAATCCTCATTTAGAACGACCGTAGAAGTAACATGGTCCTATTGAGACTTTGGCTTGGACCTAATTTAGTTTCACAAAAGTCTTGATTCGAGATAAGTAGAGGAAGAGAGATACAATTAACACAGATCTGTTGTATGTGAAACGTCTGTCTGTCGGTACCAATTCCACTAATCTGAAAGAACAAGCAGAAAGAAAAACTTTCTCTGAGACCCCTGTAGAAAGACTGACATCAAGTGGTCAGAGGCACAACTTTCAAGTCATTTTCAGACTCGAAAAGCCTTAGTTTCCCTACAGTAGTTGATAATGGCTGTGTCTGCTAATGTCTGTTAATTCAGATTAGATTATTTTCTATATTTCTTATTTATGTAATTCTCCATTTCACTATATCACATGCCTATACATTCGTGCAACATAAACAAGGGGTTAGGGTTTCATGACTGATAACCCTGAATTGCAATATGCCTTAAACGTTCCTTGAAACACTGATTAAAAAAGACTAATAGCAACTCTAAAGAAATGCTAGCCATCTGATGCTTATTCGAATCAGAATCATTGTTATTGCCATAAGTAACAGGAAGTCACAGACATTGCTTTTGCTCAGTCAAAACAGAAAGGTAGAGAATAGGGTAAGGCATTGTAAATTCGTATGTTTATGTATTTAAAATAGCAACTCTAGTAACAGGGGCCCCTCATTATGGTCCACACTGCCCCTCACAAACATAGACCTCTCTCTGAGGTCCCTCTCTCTGTGGTCTCTCTCTCTCTGTGATTCCTCTTTCTGAGGTCCCTCTCTCTGTGGTCTCTCTCTCTCTGTGGTCTCTCTCTCTCTGTGGTCTCTCTCTCTCTGTGGTCTCTCTCTCTGTGGTCTCTCTCTCTCTGTGGTCTCTCTCTCTCTGTGGTCCCTCTCTATGAGGTCTCTCTCTGTGGTCCCTCTCTCTCTCTCTGTGGTCCCTCTCTGAGGTCCCTCTCTCTGTGCCTCTCTCTCTCTGTGGTCCCTCTCTCTGAGGTCCCTCTCTCTGTGATCTCTCTCTCTCTGTGATCCCTCTTTCTGAGGTCCCTCTCTCTGTGGTCTCTCTCTCTCTGTGGTCTCTCTCTCTCTGTGGTCCCTCTCTATGAGGTCCCTCTCTATGAGGTCCCTCTCTATGTGGTCTCTCTCTCTCTGTGGTCTCTCTCTCTCCTGTATGCACGGCTTTTGACAGCTGTAGCAGCGCTCAGACCTACAATCACCCGGCTTTGATATCATATTACCATGATCACACTTCAGCAGTGTGTGTGGAGAGAGAAGTCTGGACATCTCTGCTTAGCCTGCTGCCCCCACCAACCCGGCAGTGGATAAAGCGGAGGATAATGAATAGATATTACCAATTTGCCACATCTCCTACTTTACATGGTTTTTCTCTTGTTTGTTTTCAGGTCTCTGTCGACGCACAGAAACGTCTCCTATGAGGATTTACTGGGAGCTCTTCACAGATTCGGATCTTGTCAGCAGCGACTGGGAAAGTAACGACTCATGGACTAATGTTTGCGATCACTGGACTTTGAAGAGTGAGATCGTACTCGCTCCAGGTCCAAGAAGTGAGAAACTGTCACATGTGAAGAAATGTTCGCTATGGTAACGGTTAAATTATCGTTTAACAAATGTGAAGAAGTTTCCGCAACTTCAGATAAATCTTGTCATTAAGATCAAAGTCATCGAAATAACTTTTTTACTGCAGAGCTCTAATCTATATGACTGTGTATTTGTTGTTTCCCGTCTGAATATTAAAACAAATCTTGTTTTTTAAAGCGCTTTCAGTTGCCTTTTGTATGAGTTGTGCTATACAGATAAACTTGCTTTCAGTGTTGGGAGTAACTACAGTACCTAAGCGCTCCTGTATAGAAACGGCACCAGCTAAAATTTTAATTCAATGTAATTTTGTATTGCCCACATTCACAACAGTCGTTATCTCAGAGGACTTTACAAAGTTGTCGTCCCACAGCGGGGAAATGTCAGTGTTGCATCACAAGTCACAGAACAGTAAGAATGAGGAGCACACAGCACAAGATAAATTAATAATATCTCTGTACTCAAATTAAACAAAAGAAAATCTCCAACTTCAGCATAATGAAGAAGCACGACAACCCCTAACTTCAGCAGTATAAGGAGCCACTACAAAGTGCTGTATATATAGAAACTTTATCTCACACTGGAGAAATGTACATGTCACTTAAATAGGATAACTCAGATTGTGCAAAAGACAGAAGTGTGCAAACATGCTCGAGGCAAAATATAGTCTGTTCAGGAGATATTATGTACAATAAAAAGTGGAAAAAGCAGTGACATTTTGCGTTGTTCCTGTTTAAATAAAAACATTAAATCAAATCAATATGAAATCACACATGCCTAATATAACTAAAATAAAAATCAAATAATTGTTGCATGGTACTAACAAGTGAGCTGAGCTGTAGTACCGTTATCATAATAGATCCATGTGTAGTACCCAGCTCCTCCAGTGGGGGCGCTCTGCAGGCTGCACACAGACGCACACGGGTAGAGCAGCAGTACCCAGCTCCTCCAGTGGGGGCGCTCTGCAGGCTGCACACAGACGCACACGGGTAGAGCAGCAGTACCCAGCTCCTCCAGTGGGGGCGCTCTGCAGGCTGCACACAGACGCACACGGGTAGAGCAGCAGTACCCAGCTCCTCCAGTGGGGGCGCTCTGCAGGCTGCACACAGACGCACACGGGTAGAGCAGCAGTACCCAGCTCCTCCAGTGGGGGCGCTCTGCAGGCTGCACACAGACGCACACGGGTAGAGCAGCAGTACCCAGCTCCTCCAGTGGGGGCGCTCTGCAGGCTGCACACAGACGCACACGGGTAGAGCAGCAGTACCCAGCTCCTCCAGTGGGGGCGCTCTGCAGGCTGCACACAGACGCACACGGGTAGAGCAGCAGTACCCAGCTCCTCCAGTGGGGGCGCTCTGCAGGCTGCACACAGACGCACACGGGTAGAGCAGCAGTACATGGCCGCCGTGTTGTTGCTGTGGTGTTGTTGTGATTAAACCCCGTCCGATCCGCGAACAAAGAGCCGACAGCCGCAGAGATGGGAGCCGTGCTGGGCCTGTGCTCCATGGCGAGCTGGGTGAGTCCCTCTGGCCGCGCTGCTGGTCCCCTGATGCGGACTGTGACTTTGGCCTGGTTCGGCCTGGTTCCGCCGGAGGAGACCATGACTGCGCATCACAAAAACAACAGGCCACTCTCCTCTCTGTCTGCCTCCTCCATCTTCACATGTGTCATCTCTGTATAGTCCACACACGCATATATCTGTGTGTTGTTAGCGATAGCATTTAAGCTAGATATTTATGGCTTTAACCTAGATAGCTTACGTCATGTCCTTAGTCTGTTTACATTTTGTTTTTCCACTTAAACAATTATTTTACATGTTTTAGTCGTATTCTGGGATGTGTCGTTGTAATTTAAGGCAATATTTACAAATCTTTTTTATTTTTTATTTTTTTTACAAATCTATTTTGGTTATCACCGTGGTCTGCTGCTGTTGCGTCATCAAGGCGTCCCCACAACAGGGTGCTCCTATCTCACCCACAAACAAGATTATATAAACAGAGATTGGAGAGAGAGGAGATTAAAATGGGCAAAAACAAAAGGGAAATGTGTATATAGCACAATTCATACACAAGGACTGAGGTCTTTTTTAATGTAGCCTGAATAGTTCTGTCCAATCCAAATAGTACAACTCTAAAAAGCTGATATCAAATGGCATCCATGTTTATTGAGCCCTGTTTCCACTAGCCCTACTTGGTCCTACTCTACTCTAGCCTACTCTATTTGGCTCTACTCCACTCTACTCCTGTTTTAGTGCATGCTTAGCCCTGGTTCTATTCAAGATAAACTTATATTAAAGTGTTATAGCTTCCAGTGATTGGCCAGAGTGCAGTTGGAAGCCAAGATTACCATAGAAGTTGCCCAGATACTGGTGCGTTGTGGGTTGGTTGCTAGGATACTGTACCAGATCCTGAAGCGTAGTAGAAACGCAACCAGGTAAAGTTGAGCTGAGGAAAACGGGGGCCAAGTAGGGCTTATTTCTGAAATTATAAAGTGAGAGCCAGGGGCGACGAGTTCACAGGTCGGAGACGCGAGTTGCTGTACGACAAGTTGAGATTAGTAAGAGAAAGAATTTTATTTCAAATGTTGTGCAAAAGGAAACAACCGCAATTTCTGGACTATAAGCCTCTACTTTTTTCTAGCGGTTTGAACCATGCGGCTTATATAGTGATGCGGCTAATATATGTATTCTTATTATTTTGGCTCCAAGTTTCAGAAACTACAGGACACTTGTTTATCGTCAAAACTGTTAAACACACAGTAATGTTGTGTTCTGTTGAAACAGTCGTCTCTGTTACATTTAACATGAAAACCTGCAGCTTATATTGAGGTGCGGCTTATATGTGGGCAACATGTACTTTCTTTTACAATGTAGGTGGTGCTGTTTATATACAGGTCTGCGCCTTATAGCCCAGAAAGTACAGTACAAAGTAAAAACAATAAAACAAGACACAAAATAAATGAAAATAAACCAAAAAGAGGTTGACTGAAGCAACTCAAGATAAAGTAATTACTGTTAGTAATATTTATTATTTGTTAGTAATTATCATTGGCTTCACAGTTGTAGTAATTCAGGAGTTTGACAGATGTTTAATGTGGTCAGATCCCGTGCCTGTGTGGCAGCGCCCCCTGCCTGCTGTGCAGCTGCTGCCCCAGTGGAAACAACTCCACCGTCACTCGCCTCATCTACGCCTTCTTCCTGCTGCTGGGAGTGGGCATCGCCTGCATTATGCTGATGCCAGGGATGGAGGACCACCTCAAGAAGGTCTGTGTCTACACCACCGTCAGCTCCTTGTGTTTCACTTTTAATGAACGAGCTGCAAAACTTTACAGATCTTTGTGTGATTGTGATTTCTTGAAGAATCTATGATAATTTACCTTTTTGAATTTTAGTTATTTTCAAATGTTATCATACACAGACAGGTCCAGGGCAGAAACCAAAAGAAAAAATATGAAAATCTGTCAAAGAGGAAAGAAGAAAACTCGGCTCAAAGTGCATTAGGCGGGACAACTGAAACTGAAATAATAATTTGTATATCTGTATTTGATGATGTTTTTCACTGTTGAAATTAAACTACTCAGTCAAAACCCCACTGTGCTTATAACTAAGATGTAAAAGACCTGATTAAACAGTCATTTTAGTCTATTCGTTGTTATTTGCAGTTATACTTGTGTTTAGAGCCACACTCTAAGTTGCTGTTTGTAGATCAAATTTATGTGAGAAAAAAAAATATCACAATTCCATTTACCTGCGGCTATTTGTGGACAAAATTCCCTTTCTTTTCAATTTTAGCTGTAGTGGTTTATATACAAGAACCATAATCTTGCGTCTGGACTTGGACCCTCACTAAACCTGTCTCTGGGCTCTCCCCCTCTGTGACCCTCAGATCCCGGGCTTCTGTGAGGGAGGCATGGGCTCGTCCATCCCTGTCGTGGAGGGACATGTGAACTGTGACGTGCTGGTCGGGTACAAAGCCGTGTACCGCGTGTGCTTCGGGATGGCCATGTTCTTCCTCCTCTTCTCTGTGATCATGGTTCGAGTCAAGAGCAGCCAGGACCCCAGGGCGGCCATCCACAACGGGTCAGAGTCTCTCCTGCTACTGCTCCATTCTGATTGGACGATTGAATTACCTCTCTTTTGTAAAGTATCTTCAATATGTCTTGGATGTAGAACAAATCTAAAAATCTCATGTCAAATCTCACCGCTAAAAACATGTACAGTAAGAATTAATGTAATGAGAGTAGTAAGTAAGTAATGCAAGCCAGTACAGGAGGCAGTTAGGGGAAACCGGAGCACCCGGAGGAAACCTACCCAGACACGGGGAGAACATGCAAAATCCACTCAGAAAGGCCTTGTTCCGACTGGGATTCAAACTCAGGACCTTCTTGCTGAGAAGCGAGAGTGCTCTTCCCTGATTTGGAGAATTTTCACTGGTGCATTTTAAGCAGCTGTTTGGTCCACGGTCTAGAGTAGAGTAGCGTAGAGTAGAGTAGAGTAGAGTAGAGTAGAGTAGAGTAGAGTAGAGTAGAGTAGAAACAGGGCTAAAAGTAAATAAAAAAGTTAAAAAGCTTGTTTACAATAAATCATTTTTACGGACAATATTTAGTTTGGTTTTTATATTTTTCAAACACACAAATCCAGATTGGTGACATCTTCTCAGCGTCCACCGTTGATACATAACATAATAATTACTGTTTGTGGCACAGGTTTTGGTTCTTCAAGTTTGCTGTTGCGACGGCGATCACCATCGGAGCGTTTTTTATCTCTGAAGGCCCTTTCACAACTGGTACGTCTGTTTTAACACATGGTAAAGTTTGGTCACATGTATTTAAGTACAATGGTGCCTCACTAATCCTTTTTACAGTGTGCTTTTCATGATCCGCCTGTTTAAAACGCTCTCCCTATGGTTCCTGTCTGGTCTCTCTCTCTGGTCTCTCTCTGGTCTCTCTCTGGTCTTTCTCTGGTTTCTTGCTGGTCTCTCTCTGGTCTCTCTCTGATCACTCTCTGGTCTCTCTCTGGTCTCTCTCTGGTCTCTCTCTGGTCTCTCTCTGGTCTCTCTCTGGTCTCTCTCTGAGCACTCTCTGGTCTCTCGCTGGTCTCTCTGGTCTCTCTCTGATCTCTCTCTGGTCTCTCTCTGGTCTCTCTCTGGTCTTTCTCTGGTTTCTTGCTGGTCTCTCTCTCTGGTCTCTCTCTGGTCTCCCTCTGGTCTCTCTCTGATCACTCTCTGGTCTCTCTCTGGTCTCTCTCTGGTCTCTCTCTGGTCTCTCTCTGGTCTCTCTCTGGTCTCTCTCTGGTCTCTCTCTGATCACTCTCTGGTCTCTCGCTGGTCTCTCTGGTCTCTCTCTGGTCTCTCTCTGGTCTCTCTCTGATCACTCTCTGGTCTCTCTCTGGTCTCTCTCTGATCACTCTCTGGTCTCTCTCTGGTCTCTCTCTGGTCTCTCTCTGCTCTTTCTCTGATCACTCTCTGGTCTCTCTCTGGTCTCTCTCTGGTCTCTCTCTGGTCTCTCTCTGATCACTCGCTGGTCTCTCTCTGATCACTCGCTGGTCTCTCTGGTCTCTCTCTGGTCTCTCTCTGGTCTCTCTCTGGTCTCTCTCTGGTCTCTCTCTGGTCTCTCTCTGATCTCTCTCTGATCACTCGCTGGTCTCTCTCTGATCACTCGCTGGTCTCTCTGGTCTCTCTCTGGTCTCTCTCTGGTCTCTCTCTGGTCTCTCTCTGGTCTCTCTCTGGTCTCTCTCTGATCTCTCTCTGATCTCTCTCTGGTCTCTCTCACTTCAGCAGTGGTGAGTTTAGGTGGTTTGAAAAGTGTGTGAAGGGTTTTGTGGGTTATTTTTTAGAACACATCACCCCCGCAATAAATCCGGTACCACTGTACATAGTTTTTGTTCTCGTGGTTTCAAAGTTAAGCCTGGTTCACACAAGACAATGTTGAAATTCGCGGCCAATTTTCCTAACCTGAGAGACCCCACACACAGAGAGATCAAGCGTGACTTCAGAGTAAACAATCATGGAGAGAGGACGCAGTGGAGATAGTTTGTTTTTAACAGAGAAAAAATGTTTTCAAAGGAAAAGGCCGTGGTCAAAGAAATGGCGTCAACGTGAGCAAAGAATACTGTATTTATATTTATGCACCATGACACTGACTGTTGTGATTTCTTTCCGGTGTTTCCTCGCCGTCTCGTCACCTCGTCTTCTGATTGGCTACACGCCGCAGTCCACCGGCAACACGCTCGTCTGTCCCCGACACCACACACCAAGAGAAATCAGACCTAAACAATAAAATGTTGGATATCCCCAATTTGAGATCGGAGCAGTCCCAAAGTCCTTCTGAGCGACGCAGTCTAAACACACCACACATGGAAAATACATCAGATATTTTTTGACCAAAATCTTAGCGTTTTTTAAGATTGTCGTTAGGGGTAAACCGGGTCTTGAATCGGGCTGTGTGAACCAGGCTTTAGGTACTCTAGCTTTAATTGCTGGTTTCTTTCTGTGAATGTTCCGCAGTGTGGTTCTATGTGGGCATGGCGGGCGCCTTCTGCTTCATCCTCATCCAGCTCGTGCTCCTCATCGACTTCGCTCACTCCTGGAACGAGTCGTGGGTGGAGAAGATGGAGGAGGGGAACTCTCGCTGTTGGTATGCAGGTACGAGACTGAGGCAATTAAACAAAACTTCAATCAACACTCACCATTGGATCATGTCGGGGCTAAGATTAAAAGTCGTAAACATAGTCTGTATTTTTGTTGTCTACTTTTGTGTAATATGGACTCTTTGTGGGTCTGATTTAAAGATTCAACAAAGATTTGAGGGTGGGGTAGGGTTAGGGCCATTGCTAGAGCGGGACTGATCCACCTTACTCAATTATCGCCCTTTTAACGCCCTAAATCTCAACAGCAGCTGTCTCTTAGCACTTTACAAAGTCCAATCACCAACGACAGATCAGAGAATCAAACAGGAAATGCAATAATAACAAACACATAGAAGCCATTTTTCCCATAGGTGCGGGACGACCACCACTCTCCAGAAATGTTAATTGCCCTTAAATTGTCAAATAGAATAAATTTGTAGAATCAGAAGACCAAATGCACCTGGTCTGTACCGAGTAAAACTAGTGCTCATGAAGGAAGTGTGTGTTCAGCCCTGCTCTCGGTGACGGCGGTGAACTACCTGCTGTCCCTGGTCACCCTGGTGCTCTTCTACATGTACTACACCCACACGGACGGCTGCACCGAGAACAAAGTCTTCATCAGCATCAACATGCTCCTCTGCATCGGGGCCTCTGTCCTCTCCATCCTCCCACAGATTCAGGTACGTCTGGTCCGGTCTCTCTCTGGTCTCCCTCTGGTCTCTCTCTAGTCTCTCTCTGCTCTCTCTGGTCTTGTTGTCTGCTCTCTCTCTTTCTCTCTGGTCTCTCTGGTCTCTCTCTGGTCTTTCTCTGTCTCTCTCTCTGGTCTCTCTGGTCTCTCAGGTCTCTCTCTGGTCTCTCTCTGGTCTCTTTCTGGTCTCTCTCTGGTCTCTCTGGTCTCTCTCTGGTCTCTTTCTGGTCTCTCTCTGGTCTCTCTGGTCTCTCTCTGGTCTCTCTCTGGTCTCTCTCTGGTCTCTCTCCGGTCTTTCAGGTCTCTCTCTGGTCTCTCTCTGGTCTCTTTCTGGTCTCTCTCTGGTCTCTCTCTGGTCTCTCTCTGGTCTCTCTTTCTCTGCTCTCTCTCTGCTCTCTCCTTGCTCTCTCTTTCTCTCTGCTCTCTCTCTGCTCTCTCTGCTCTCTCTCTGCTCTCTCTCTGCTCTCTCTGCTCTCTCTCTGCTCTCTCTCTCTGCTCTCTCTCTCTGGTCCCTCTCAGTCCCTCTCTGCTCTCTCTCAGTCCCTCTCTGCTCTCTCTCAGTCCCTCTGCTCTCTCTCTCTGGTCCCTTTCAGTCCCTCTCTGCTCTCTCTCTCTGGTCCCTCTCAGTCCCTCTCTGCTCTCTCTCTGCTCTCTCTCTCTGGTCCCTCTCAGGCCCTCTCTGCTCTCTCTCTCTGGTCTCTCTCTCAGTCCCTCTCTGGTCTCTCTCACTTCAGCAGTCATGAGTTCAGATGCCTGTGAGGGTTTTACAGCCACATCCCGGGTTTCTCTTCTTGCGTATTACTCTATATTTTAGAACACATCACCCCTGCCATTTCAAAGCCAGGTACCCCAGCTTTAACTGAACCAACTCACGTGACGTCCGTTTGTCATGTGTGATCCACAGGAGTCCCAGCCTCGCTCCGGCCTGCTTCAGTCCTCCCTGGTCACTCTCTACACCATGTATGTCACCTGGTCTGCCATGACCAACGAGCCTGGTAACCGTCCGAACATCTCTCAGGATTAAGAACCAATGTACAGTAAATGGTAGACAGAGTCACAGTCGCCTTTCATCCACAGACAGGAACTGTAACCCCAGCCTTCTCGCCATGATCGGCCTGAACGGGACCAGCCCCGCGGCTCAGGGTCAGGTGGTGCAGTGGTGGGACGCGCAAGGCATTGTGGGATTGATTCTGTTCCTTATGTGTGTCCTCTATTCCAGGTGAGTGGGATTTTAACAACTTTTTATGCATTTTCACAAACAGAGACACACAGGCACAGGTCCTGGACATAGACTGCATATAAATAGACGATGCTAACCCACTCTCTCTCTCTCTCCGTCTCTCTCTTTCTCTCTCTCTCTCTCTATCTCTTTCTGTCTCTCTCTTTCTGTCTCTCCCTCTCTTTCTCTCTATCTCTTTCCCTCTCTGTCTCTCTTTCCCTCCATGTCTTTCTCTCTCTGTCTCTCTCTCCCTCCCTCTCTCTGTCTCTCTCACTCTCTCTCTCTCCTTCTCTGTCTCTATCTCTCTCCCTCTCTCTCTCTCTCTCTCTCTCTGTCTCTCTCCCTCTCTGTCTCTGTCTCTCTCTCCCTCTCTCGCTCTGTCTTCCTGTCTCTGGTCTCTCTGTCTCCCTGTCTCTCTCTCCCTCCCTCCCTCTCTGTCTCTGGTCTCTCTCCCTCTCTCTCTCCCTCTCTGTCTCTGTCTCTCTCTCCCTCTCTCTCCCTCTCTCGCTCTGTCTTCCTGTCTCTGGTCTCTGGTCTCTCTCCCTCTCTGTCTCTCTCTCTCCCTGCCTCTCTCTCTCCCTCCCTCCCTCTCTCCCTCCCTTCCTCCCTCTCTCTCTCTCTCTCCCTCTCTCGCTCTGTCTTCCTGTCTCTGGTCTCTCTCCCTCTCTCTCTCCCTCTCTGTCTCCCTGTCTCTCTCTCCCTCCCTCCCTCTCTCTCTCTCCCTCTCTCCCTCCCTCCCTCCCTCTCTCTCCCTCCCTCCCTCCCTCTCTCCCCCCTCAGTATCCGTAACTCGTCGAACACTCAGGTGAGCAAACTGACGCTGAGCTCTGATGAGTCCGCTCTGATCGAGGACGGGCCTCAGAGCGGAGGCTTCGAGGAGTCCGGAGGCGTGAGCCGAGCCGTGGACAACGAGAAAGACGGCGTCACCTACTCTTACTCCTTCTTCCACTTCATGCTGTTCCTGGCCTCGCTCTACATCATGATGACTCTCACCAACTGGTACAGGTCAGTGGACACTTATGGTCCGTCGCCATGACAACACGTGCACACTCCCAACAACATCGTTTAAGCGCTAGTACGACATGAGAGACGGCTTTGTTCTTGATGACTAGGCAGGGGGAGAGCAGGAGACCAGAGGAGAGAGGAAGAGCATGGGACCAGAGGAGAGAGGGGGGATACCAGGAGAGAGAGCAGGAGACCAGGAGACAGAGCGGGAAACCAGGAGAGAGAGCAGGAGACCAGAGGAGAGAGGGGGGATACCAGGAGAGAGAGCAGGAGACCAGGAGACAGAGCGGGAAACCAGGAGAGAGAGCAGGAGACCAGAGGAGAGAGGGGGGATACCAGGAGACCAGAGGAGAGAGGGGGATACCAGGAGACCAGAGGAGAGAGGGGGATACCAGGAGACCAGAGGAGAGGGGAAGAGCATGGGACCAGAGGAGAGAGGGGTAGAGCAGGAGACCAGAGGAGAGGGGAAGAGCATGGGACCAGAGGAGAGAGAGGGAGAGCAGGAGACCAGAGGAGAGAGGGAGATACCAGGAGACCAGAGGAGAGGGGAAGAGCATGGGACCAGAGGAGAGAGCGGGAGAGCAGGAGACCAGAGGAGAGAGGGAGATACCAGGAGACCAGAGGAGAGGGGAAGAGCATGGGACCAGAGGAGAGAGAGGGAGAGCAGGAGACCAGAGGAGAGAGGGAGATACCAGGAGACCAGAGGAGAGGGGAAGAGCATGGGACCAGAGGAGAGAGCGGGAGAGCAGGAGACCAGAGGAGAGAGGGAGATACCAGGAGACCAGAGGAGAGGGGAAGAGCATGGGACCAGAGGAGAGAGCGGGAGAGCAGGAGACCAGAGGAGAGAGGGAGATACCAGGAGACCAGAGGAGAGGGGAAGAGCATGGGACCAGAGGAGAGAGGGGGAGAGCAGGAGACCAGAGGAGAGAGGGGGGATACCAGGAGACCAGAGGAGAGGGGAAGAGCATGGGACCAGAGGAGAGAGGGGGAGAGCAGGAGACCAGAGGAGAGAGGGGAGATACCAGGAGACCAGAGGAGAGGGGAAGAGCATGGGACCAGAGGAGAGAGGGGGAGAGCAGGAGACCAGAGGAGAGAGGGGGAGAGCAGGAGACCAGAGGAGAGGGGAAGAGCATGGGACCAGAGGAGAGAGGGGGAGAGCAGGAGACCAGAGGAGAGAGGGGAGATACCAGGAGACCAGAGGAGAGGGGAAGAGCATGGGACCAGAGGAGAGAGCGGGAGAGCAGGAGACCAGAGGAGAGAGGGAGATACCAGGAGACCAGAGGAGAGGGGAAGAGCATGGGACCAGAGGAGAGAGCGGGAGAGCAGGAGACCAGAGGAGAGAGGGAGATACCAGGAGACCAGAGGAGAGGGGAAGAGCATGGGACCAGAGGAGAGAGGGGGAGAGCAGGAGACCAGAGGAGAGAGGGGGGATACCAGGAGACCAGAGGAGAGGGGAAGAGCATGGGACCAGAGGAGAGAGGGGGAGAGCAGGAGACCAGAGGAGAGAGGGGAGATACCAGGAGACCAGAGGAGAGGGGAAGAGCATGGGACCAGAGGAGAGAGAGGGGGAGAGCAGGAGACCAGAGGAGAGGGGAAGAGCATGGGACCAGAGGAGAGAGGGGGAGAGCAGGAGACCAGAGGAGAGAGGGGGGATACCAGGAGACCAGAGGAGAGGGGAAGAGCATGGGACCAGAGGAGAGAGGGGGAGAGCAGGAGACCAGAGGAGAGAGGGAGATACCAGGAGACCAGAGGAGAGGGGAAGAGCATGGGACCAGAGGAGAGAGGGGGAGAGCAGGAGACCAGAGGAGAGAGGGAGATACCAGGAGACCAGAGGAGAGGGGAAGAGCATGGGACCAGAGGAGATAGGGGGAGAGCAGGAGAGCAGGAGACCAGAGGAGAGGGGAAGAGCATGGGACCAGAGGAGAGAGCGAGAGAGCAGAAGGCCAGGAGAGAGAGCAGAAGGCCAGGAGAGAGAGCAGGAGACCAGGAGAGAAAGCGGGAGACCAGAGGAGAGAGCGGGAGACCAGGAGACCAGAGGAGAAAGGGGGAGAGCAGGGAACCAGGGGAGTGAACAAGAGAGCAGGAGATTAGGGGAGAGCAGGAGACCAGGAGAGAGAGCGGGAGACCAGGAGAGAGCAGGAAACCAGGAGAGAGAGCGGGAGACCAGGCGAGAGAGCGGGAGACCAGGCGAAGAGCAGGAGACTAGGAGAGAGAGCAGGAGACCAGGAGAGAGAGCGGGAGACCAGGAGAGAGCAGGAAACCAGGAGAGAGAGCGGGAGACCAGGCGAGAGAGCGGGAGACCAGGCGAGAGAGCAGGAGACTAGGAGAGAGAGCAGGAGACCAGGAGAGAGAGCGGGAGACCAGGAGAGAGAGCAGGAGACCAGGAGAGAGAGCAGGAGACTAGGAGAGAGAGCACGGGAGACCAGGAGAGAGAGCGGGAGACCAGGAGAGAGAGCAGGAGACTAGGAGAGAGAGCAGGAGACCAGGAGAGAGAGCGGGAGACCAGGAGAGAGAGCAGGAGACCAGGAGAGAGAGCGGGAGACCAGGAGAGAGAGCAGGAGACTAGGAGAGAGAGCAGGAGACCAGGAGAGAGAGGGGGAGAGCCACCACAGTATATACAAATGTACCGGACTGATTCTATCTTGTTTCATCGAGCCCTTTGAGTTTCCTTGTGCCATACAAATAACCCGCGCTCCTCCCGCAGCCCCGACTCCACGTACGAGACCATGACGAGCCGCTGGCCTTCTGTGTGGGTCAAGATGGTCTCCAGCTGGATCTGCATCGCCCTCTACGTGTGGACTCTGGTGGCTCCTCTGATCCTCGTCAACAGAGACTTTGACTGAGAAACCCTCATCATCATCATCATCATTTCCAAACCAGTACTTTAGAAATGTGTTTTTGTTTTCTGCGGTGTCGCTTTGTGCTCCGGAACATGCCGGATTAGGGAGAGATGCATGCCCTCAGTGTAAGAACCCAAACCCGTGTGTACTCCACTTGTGGTTGTAGTATTTATATTTCAATATGGCCGTATTGTGTCCACTTCACCGCATGAAGACTCGCTCTGACTTAACTTATTGCTTCGATCTCTGCTCTGTGAATTTGAACTGCGTTATGAATAGTACTTGATATTCTGCTCAGTGACTAGAATGTGTTTTTTTTTGTAGTGGTTGCTTTTTATCTTGTGTTTTGACATGTTTTACCTGAGCCCCGTTTCCACCAGCCCTACTCTACTCTACTCTATTGGCTTTGCTCAACTCCAGGACTCTACTGCGGAAAAACTCTCAGCAGCCATTTTGACTCTCATTTAAATCAATGGAATTCTGTAAATATATATATAACAAAAATGACTTAGTTTTATACCAATTGGTATAAGGTTTTAGCTTTACTCACTTTTAAGTAAGTGCTAAAACTTGACTACAGCTTCATGCAGCAATAATACTTTTGTTAAAATGCTAAATTCTGCAAGTAAACCGTGTTGCTATGGTAACCAAGCTGAACCAGGACTAGTCCAGAACCAGCACCTTTTTTTTTTAAACAGAGATTGTTGGTTACCAAGCAACGGAAACATTTATCATTTTTAAATGTACGTTCAAATGAAATAAATCAATTTTATTTCGAATCGCCCAAAATGACAATAACAGTCGTCCCAAGGGACATCACAGAAGCGTTAACTTGGAAAGAAATAAAGTAATGAAGGGTTAGGAGTCGGAGCATCAGGAAGTCGTTCACAGATGTGGATGTTTGGGGCATTAAAAACATTAAATTATGACCCAGAATTGAACGACATTGAGTAATGAATTCTCTGTGAGTAACCAGTACCAGGTCCTTCTTTAGTCCCTCTTGGTCCTGGTTCTATTCAGGACGAGCTGGTACTAAAGTGTTCTAATGGACAGAGATTGTCCAGAATGCTGCGGGAAGCCATGGCAACCAAGAAATTCTCCCGGATACTGGTCTGTTGTGGGATGTTGCAGTTCCAGACACTGAAGCGTAATTGAAACACGACCAGGTAGAGCCGAGCAGAGTAGGGCTGGTGGAAATAGGGCTAAAATTTGCACATAGTTGATGATAAACTTGTAAACATACTTTTGCAGTGGAGCTGTGTACATCTGTATCAAACTCATATTTCTACTGTAATAAGATCCATGAGAACCTGCATAACATTGTGTCTTTGTGACAGTATAAAACTGACAAAATATTTACAATTTTATTTTGAAATGACTTTTTTTTTACATCACACTGAGGAAATTACATCGACCACAGAGTGAAGCAATTGGATGAGATTCAGATAATCATTTGTTTTAGCAGACATAAGGCAATTTCAATGTCCCCACCTGGTCCTGGTCTTCGTATTCAGGACTTTATGGTTCCTCTTCGCTCTTGGGTTTGGTGAAACAGTATTCTAGTGCAACATTCCAGGTTTTTTTAAAGCTCGACTCTTCATGGGGACAAGAGGCAGCACAATAACACTACAAGCATCTCTAAATATATTTTCTTTTGTCATTCAGGATAGGTATGAAGTGGTCACCAGCAATCATTCATTACTATATACAGTACTAGCTGGACTAAGCACACCTGTGTATAAGCCTCACCAGCTGCGTTTAAAATACATGTACTTATTTTGACTCCAAGTTTTAGTCGAAAATGTACAATGAGTCCATAAACTGTATTTTGACTATAGCCCTGTGCATTCCCCTGGACTTCCGACCATCTCTCTGCTGTTCACTGGCCGCGCACCAGGGGGCAGTGTATCAAAACAATACATTTATCAATATAGAGCTAGAGGCAGCAGGATTCAAATTACTTCGGGGAAAATGTAGTGGTTTTTAGTCCAGCAAGTACTGTAATAATTGTGACAAAAATAACCAGATACAAAGTTTAAAATAAAATACTGCGATCAAAGATGTATACGAGAAATCCGCTGAGACGGTGCTTGATGTATAAAAGTGCATTTGAAATATCGCGTACCGTCAATTTGAATTAACACACATTTCTAAAGGCCCTGTCCAGACAAAGACTAAACGGTGTCCAGTTTAGAAACCGTATTAAATATAGAACCGTCGCTGTAGATTGTCCACGGGAAGCTGAAAAACGAATCCATTTCAGCTTTGTGTAATGCATGTGCCAGGCCTGAGGGGGCGCTGTGAGGCTGCGGCAGGAAAGACCCAGACAAAGAAAGCAGCATCACGCCTGACCCTGAACAATAACTACGATAACGCTAGCTCTGAGGAAACAGCTTAAAGGACGCTTTTCCTTCAGATTTGACTAAAATGGGGAGAAATATTTTGGCCTTTTCTTCCAAAGAGAGACTTCATTTATTGTGGTGGATAGAGTCACATGTTTTCTTCATGACCTTGTTCTCCTCTGGGCTCCCTCTGGGCTCCCTCTGGGCTCCCTCTGGGCTCCCTCTGGGCTCCCTCTGGGCTCCCTCTGGGCTCCCTCTGGGCTCCCTCTGGGCTCCCTCTGGGCTCCCTCTGGGCTCCCTCTGGGCTCCCTCTGGGCTCCCTCTGGTCTGGGCTCCCTCTCACTACTCTCTCCTCACTGGATGCAACACTGGATTCATAAAGTATTTTCCATGGCCTGATTTTGACTTGTGGACAGGGCCTCCACGAGTAACATTGATCCACAGCTGAAGTAAACTGAAAACAAATATATGTGGCACGCAACAAACGCAGATAAAGGTGGGGTGTTCTACTATCGCACCATATCGAAGCCGGACAAAATATAACTGGTTTCTTGTCTAAACTTTGTGAATCTGATAAATAAATAGTCAGGTAAAGTTTTGCCGGAATGCCATCTGGAAGCAGTAACTGGTCATCTCGGGTCCCTTTGTGTGCATTCCTTTAAGTCCCTTAGGTCCACAGTACAGCTGCTCTATAGCTCCAGGCTCCAGGCTCACAGCACCTCGGTTTGAGCTGAGTCTGCCTCTGGCCCCAGGTTGCAGAGGTAAAACAGGGTCTCCTCGCTGGCCTCAGCCTCGGTCAGGGGCTCCAGCCGGATCAGAGAGCTGCGTTTGGCCTGTGTGGGGTCTAAGCTTTCCTCCAGCAGCTCAGAGGAAAGACTGTCCACCTTCTCTGCAGCCGTGAGCGTCGCCTCCTGCTGGCCGCTGCTGGGAGTGGACGTTGTGGCTGTGGTCAGATCCAGGTCTGAGGGGGTGGAGCAACCGTCGAGAAAAGCCAGGAAAGGACTGGAGGTGTACTGGATCAGCTGGTTATCTGTGCGGAGGGGAGAGTTCAGGTGCAGCTAAGAACATGTGAGAAGTGTGATTTCAAATTCACACTGACCTGTGCTGGGCTCAGTCTTTGATTGGTCGAGCAGCCCAGAGCCCGTTTTCAGTCCAACAGTTTCCTATGGATAAAAAATAAACAAATAATGCCATTTGACATTTAATATTGCATTTTGGAAACAATCTAATGCTAAAGAAATCCTTGGCACAGAAACTGAATGTTTGTCATGTATTTACCTCAGGATCTAAACCAAAGGGCTTTCCCAGCATGGCCTGGAAGTCCTCCAGACTGCAGTCGATACTCCCCAGATAATCCAACAGCTCCATCCTGCACCACGAGAAAACACACAACAGCAATTATAATCATAAACAGTGTTTACCAATACACAGGACAAAGCTGTAGGTTTTAAGGCTCTAAACGAGAGCCAGAGAGAGACCAGAGAGACCAGAGAGAGAGAGAAGAGAGACCAGAGAGACCAGAGAGAGAGAGAAGAGAGACCAGAGAGAGAGACCAGAGAGAGACCAGAGAGAGACCAGAAAGAGACCAAAGAGAGACCAGAGAGAGACCAGAAAGAGACCAAAGAGAGACCAGAGAGAGAGACCAGAAAGAGACCAAAGAGAGAGAGACCAGAGAGAGACCAGAGAGAGGCCAGAGAGACCAGAGAGAGACCAGAGAGAGGCCAGAGAGAGAGACCAAAGAGAGACCAAAGAGTTTTTTTCTGACTTTAAACAAAGGTAACTGTCATGTTATACTAATATGATGTTGTAGTACACGCGCACACGTACGCGCACAACAACAACAAAAATCGCACACATAAAAACCCTAACCCGCAAGGAGCACACAAAACAAGATAATTCACGGTTAATGCTCCTTCAGCAGGACCCGAATAGTTTTTCCCATCATGCATTTCCCTCTGGTCCAGCACTTACTTTCCGAGCAGGCTGATGTTTTGCGACATGGCTCCGTTCTCCTTCAGGATGTAGTCCATGAGTTTGACGGGGTCTTCCTGGCTGAGGGCAGACTGCGTGTTGAGGCTGGTGAGAGCGCCCCTGTCTGGAGAGGGCGGGTTCTGCGCGCTGGGCTCCGCGTACGTGGTGCTCACCTCCAGCTTCACGTCGTCCACCTCCACGATCTCCACGTCACTGCGGCACAGGGGTCAAAGTTCAGGGAAGACAGGAGGACCAAGGAAAAGCAAAAAGTTTCAGCCTCAGTCCTGGATCTACAGCCCTCTCTCTCTCCCTCTCTGGTCTCTCTCTCTCCTTCTCTCTGGTCTCTCTCCCTCTCTCTCTGGTCTCTCTCCTTCTCTCCCTGGTTTCTCTCCCTCTCTCTCTGGTTTCTCTCCTTCTCTCTGGTCTCTCCCTCTCTCTGGTCTCTCCCTCTCTATGGTCTCTCCCTCTCTATGGTCTCTCCCTCTCTATGGTCTCTCCCTCTCTATGGTCTCTCCCTCTCTATGGTCTCTCCCTCTCTATGGTCTCTCCCTCTCTCTGGTCTCTCCCTCTCTCTGGTCTCTCCCTCTCTCTGGTCTCCCTCTCTCTAATCTCTCTCCCTCTGGTCTCTCTCCCTCTCTGTACACATGGTTTACCAGTAACAGATTCTTGATGGTCCTGGAGCTGCTTCTCACCTGTGCTCGAGACCTTTTGACGAGCCCTGGGAGGCGTCCAACAGAAAATCGTCGTCGACAACATCAGTCAAGTCGCAGATGATGACGTCGTCCGTAACGTCCGAGTTTGAGTTGAGAGAGTTGTTCTGCAACAGAGAAGGTGTGAGTCTCTATGGTCTCTCCTCTGGTCTCTCTCTATGGTCTCTCTCTATGGTCTCTCCTCTGGTCTCTCCTCTGGTCTCTCCTCTGGTCTCTCCTCTGGTCTCTCCTCTGGTCTCTCCTCTGGTCTCTCCTCTGGTCTCTCCTCTGGTCTCTCCTCTGGTCTCTCCTCTGGTCTCTCTCCTCTGGTCTCTCCTCTGGTCTCTCCTCTGGTCTCTCCTCTGGTCTCTCCTCTGGTCTCTCCTCTGGTCTCTCCTCTGGTCTCTCCTCTGGTCTCTCCTCTGGTCTCTCCTCTGGTCTCTCCTCTGGTCTCTCCTCTGGTCTCTCCTCTGGTCTCTCCTCTGGTCTCTCCTCTGGTCTCTCTCTGGTCTCTCTCTGGTCTCTCTCTGGTCTCTCTCTGGTCTCTACTCTGGTCTCTCTAGTCTCTCCTCTGGTCTCTCCTCTGGTCTCTCTAGTCTCTCCTCTGGTCTCTCCTCTGGTCTCTCTCTGGTCTCTCTCTGGTCTCTCTCTGGTCTCTCTCTGGTCTCTCTCTGGTCTCTCTCTGGTCTCTCTCTGGTCTCTCTCTGGTCTCTCTCTGGTCTCTCTCTGGTCTCTCTCTGGTCTCTCTCTGGTCTCTCTCTGGTCTCTCTCTGGTCTCTCTCTGGTCTCTCTCTGGTCTCTCCTCTGGTCTCTCTCTGGTCTCTCCTCTGGTCTCTCCTCTGGTCTCTCCTCTGGTCTCTCCTCTGGTCTCTCCTCTGGTCTCTCCTCTGGTCTCTCCTCTGGTCTCTCCTCTGGTCTCTCCTCTGGTCTCTCCTCTGGTCTCTCCTCTGGTCTCTCCTCTGGTCTCTCCTCTGGTCTCTCCTCTGGTCTCTCCTCTGGTCTCTCTCTGGTCTCTCTCTGGTCTCTCTCTGGTCTCTCTCTGGTCTCTACTCTGGTCTCTCCTCTGGTCTCTCTAGTCTCTCCTCTGGTCTCTCCTCTGGTCTCTCTGGTCTCTCCTCTGGTCTCTCTCTGGTCTCTCTCTGGTCTCTCTCTGGTCTCTCTCTGGTCTCTCTCTGGTCTCTCTCTGGTCTCTCTCTGGTCTCTCTCTGGTCTCTCTCTGGTCTCTCTCTGGTCTCTCTCTGGTCTCTCTCTGGTCTCTCTCTGGTCTCTCTCTGGTCTCTCTCTGGTCTCTCTCTGGTCTCTCCTCTGGTCTCTCTCTGGTCTCTCCTCTGGTCTCTCCTCTGGTCTCTCCTCTGGTCTCTCCTCTGGTCTCTCCTCTGGTCTCTCCTCTGGTCTCTCCTCTGGTCTCTCCTCTGGTCTCTCCTCTGGTACCCACCTGCTCCACACTCACGGTGTCGTCGTAAACCTCGTGGATGAACTTGGACTTCTTCCCGGTGCTGTTCATGAGCAACGGCCTGAGGCACAAAGAGCATTTAACTGTTTTCTCTTGATCTTACCCCAAAACCATCTGCCCAGAGCCGGAGGGAGGAATGTGGAACTCACCGTTTACGTTTTAAATTGAGGAGGCCGTTGTTCTGCACCAGTGTGAGCAGGAAGTGGATGAGCTGAAAGAGAAAGAACAACAAACAAATGAACATAAATACACAGATCTTACACAGAATACGTCATGATTAAAGTTTATAAATCACTGTAATAAATCTTTTTTTTTAAACCTTTATGCCACTCTCAGGTCAAAATAATCTGCTACAGAGATTTAAAATAGAAGAAAAATACTAATAAGTTAATGTAGAAATGAGCCAGGGCTGCTCAAGTTGGAAAAATCCTCAAAATTCAGCTTGAAACTAAATGATTTGGGTTTTTTCTTATCACTGCAGCGAGTCAATCCTTTGCGTGGTTTTTTTAACAAACATCTGTTTTTTAGATACTTTCCTTCACATGCAGCTGGTGCCAACACTGGATACAGATGCACAATGCTAACCAGCTAGCTCAGTGAAGCCCAACAGGGAAGTGCTCAAGAACAAAGTGGAAAAGTGTGTGTGTGGATTATTTGTATGTGTCCTGAAAGAGGAGACTAAATGTCCTCGCTGATATCTGGTTTAAGAAAGTAAATAATACGGCTGCGCGATATATCGAAAAAATATCGTTATCGCAATATTAGTGTGTGTTAGAGGTGCAACGGTTCATCAATGATCCGTGTCCGTTCGGATCAATGTCTTCGGTTTGGTACAGACGGCGGTTTTATGTTGTTCAGTCCACACACAGCGTGGTCGCGGCGAGCGGAGGAACGGAGAAGCCCGCGTCATTTAAATCCCCGGTATCAGAGCATTTTGGCTTCACTGTAACTTTACTGATGATTAAATATTCGACAAAACTGTCACGGTGTGTGTTTACACAAGAAAGACAAAAATAAGCGTCTCAATGACCACTTATTGCCGCGGCATTTAAGCCTCCCCTTTACGCACAGTCAGAGCGGGCTAAAGTCAACTCTCCCGCGCATCACAGCGGCGCTCACGACTGACGCTTGGACGTCCCACGGAACCTTTAATAGATCCATGAGCGGAACGGAGAGCTATGTTACGATAACAAGGGCCTTCTTATGTTGCACTTTGTGTTGTTTTTCATTAATTATGTTAAAAAGACATAATTGGATGGATGGAATATGCCTTCCATCCATCTTCTTCCCCTTAATCCACATGTGTGGATCCCGCCGGCGGGAGCAATAGCAGATGTATTTTGAACTTCATAAGCCACAAGCTATACATCATTTTAAAGCTTATTTTCGCAGAAAAAACGATATCAGACTTTGCATTAAAAAGATATAACGCATAATATGGGCACAAAATAAATCATGTCTGTATTTGTTTTTTACCTTTTGTCTTCTGCTGCTCCAACAAATTAGACTTTCCCCATCCTTGCTTAGTCTCTTTCTCTCCGTAACTGTCTATTGAAGAATATCTACTTGTATTTCCCAAAGTATAATCCATTCTGCAGATTTAATCAAAAAACGCCCCGAAAAGAGGTCCAGACTGCTCTTTTTTTTTTTTTACTATTGTCATGTTCTCAGATGTCTATTACATCTAATATGTACAGTATGAGGATTGGCTTTGGAGCATATTTTATCGAGACAACAGGTGTCACCGGCACTGCCTCTGGATGTTGAGAAACATTGAACCAGTCCGGCCCTCGGCGCGTAGCAAACATTTTTTTTGGCCCTCTGATGTATTTGACTTTGACATGCCTGCCTTAATCCATTTCTAGGTCGGGGGGGTGGCAGTCAGAGCTGCACCCACAGAGCACCAGCCCCTCTCTGATCCTCTGCAGGAGCCTTGATTATTCAGTAGGGAAAATATGCCCTGTGCACTTTAATTTGATTTTATACATTTTAATTTATCAATAATAAAGTGTTTATAAAGAAAGACATTTATTTTTTATTTTTGCTGATTCGAAAAATGAACCGAGGTACGATCCGAACCGTGATTGTTTCAAACCGTTGCACCCCTAGTGCGTGTGATATCCATATCGAAAATATGTGCGATAAAAATAAAAATCTCTTTATTAAAGACAACAAAACAGACACATCAACATTCAACAAAAAGTATATAAATACATACATTTGAATGTCATTAATGTTTTTGTTATTTTAGGTGAAAGAAAAAAAATATTGCAATAATATCGTTTTATTGCAATACTCGCATCGAATATCGCACTAATTTCCAATATCGTGCAACTCTAGTATGTAAGTAATATTAATTTATACAGCGCATTTCACAGAGCAGAGTCACAAAGCGCTTTACACACTTTTTATGCCCAACATTAAGCCATTCATTATGACAGTGGTCTAGCTTGGTGCTCCCTCAAAGATATAGCATGTAGAGCTAAGGTGAGCTATAGAGCTAAGGTGAGCTATAGAGCTAAGGTGAGCTATAGAGCTAAAAGACACAGATCTAAAATTAGAGAGAGATCAAGAGGAAACAGAGGTGGTTTTGAGTCTGTGTCAAATTCACACAAACCTTTTTGATCAGCTGCTGTTGGTGCGAGTGTTTCTTCCGCAGGTCTGAGATCTCTGTCCACAGGGCTTCGTTCTCTCTAGAATAGTACCAGAACAAAACAGTTTACTTCATTTGGATGATGAATTACAAATACATTAAACTAAATATAGGTTATTAACTGATTTATAAAGCAAAGGGTCTATTTTAAAGATTGTTTGTGCAAAATGGCGCCCCCTGGAGGCTTAAAGAGAGACAGAAAAATCCTGTTTATTCTGCCTTGTCTTTGTTTCTGTTACCGTGGGAACTGCAAGTGCCTGTTGTAAACGAACACTAAACCCCCTCCAAGTGGACTTCACTCTGGTCTTTCTCTCTCTCTCTCTCTAGTCCCTCTTTCTCTGGTCTCTCTTTTTCTTTTAAAATGTAGCGCTCCTGAGAGGCCTGACAATCATGATTTCAGTTTGAATTTGGTTTCCTGCGACTGTAACCTGAACCTTAGACCTTTGACCTGAAGCTTACACCTCTTCGGTCCGAGCAGACCCCTCTCTCACCTCTTGAGTGTTGCCAAACGCACATCGATGTCCTCCTGTTTGCAGTGGACACTCTGGACTGTGGCCAGAATGTTCGTCAGGTCGGTTTGTCGGATCTTATTGTCTTCTGGCCTCGCATTAGAAACCTGCAAATGCGTCACCAAATGAAGCCAATAATTCCCTTTGGCTGGCGTGTCCACAATTTGGTACAGAAATCAGACTAAAGATTCTTCAAGGTTAACATTCTGCATTTAATTATCTTTACAATCAGATACAGAATATTCAACAAAAAAATGCTCCTAAACTAATATGTCCCTCTCCTCTACCCCTGCGCTAACCTTCCCCCCAGAACTCAAACCAACAGTTTTATCAAGACGTCTGATGACGTCACTTGTGGGCGTCTCCCGAATGTTCTTTTCGGGTGTGCTGGCGTCCCGTGTCCACTGGGAGGCGTCAGAATGCCTTTGGAGAATCTCCCAGTCTGCCTGAGAGATGGTGTTTTTTGGACTTTTGGCCTCGCCAGAGAGACAAGAATGTTTATTCCTGGAGTTAATAATTTGTCCCGTTTTGAAAGTTGGTATCTCTATGACTGATTGTAGTTTCTCCATTTGACCCTCTTTATTCCTGTTTGCAATCCTTGTCCTTGGGGCTTTTCCCCGTGCACATTCTTCAGAGGGCCTATTTTCAAAATCATTAGTATACAACATTTTAATTATGCAACAGCACTATATGTCAAATAGACTGAAGTCACTATTCCTGAAGTGTCAAACTGGTTCTTTACAGGTCCGGTGTGTCTCCTGGAATGCAGCCACACGGACCCTTTGACACCCCCGCACAGTTCTCATTCTACATGGAGGTGATAAACCGCTACCGTCGCCACAACTGCCCAGAGGCACACAGCAGAAGCATGGCAACCAGTCTGTGCCATCAGCCCCTCTGACCACTGCCGTTCACATTCAGTGCCGTACCGTACCATGCCGTACCGTACCTTTACTGTGGAAAAGTGGCATTTTATTCTGTACCTGTGTCTGTGTCTAAATGTACCTGTGTTTCTCTGTGTCTATATGTACCTGTGTGTCTAAATGTACCTGTGTGTCTAAATGTACCTGTGTCTAAATGTACCTGTGTCTATTAAATGTACCCGTGTCTCAAATGTTTATTTATCTGTGTTTCTGTACAAAAAATTATAAAAAAAGGGTCAAAAATTGCTCAAAGTTTACAAAATGTGCACATTTTGACTGAGTCTTAAAAAAGAATCCCCAGTGGAACAAAGCAAAAATATACAGAAACAAATCCTTTGAAATGAGAAAACAGATTTTTGACTTTAACACAGTCAGAATGTGTCAGATTAAGAACACTTTATTCAAGCATTTATTACCATATTGTATCATATTTTGCAGTGTCTGTGTTTTTATCCCGTTCCCTCAGTTTGAACTGGTTCTCTGATCTGTTGTTGGTGAATCGACAACTTTGTAAAGTCCTCAGACATAACTGCTGTGGTTTAGGGCTTTAAACACAAAACTACTCGAATACAGCGGCCATATTACGTTTACTTCCTGCTTCACGAGCTCCATGCTAACGCTGCTCTGGTGTGCGTGTGTGTGTGTGGAGAGCGCACGCTAAGGCTATTGTTGCTAATCTGATTTGGTTAAATGTCCCTCGGGCGATACCAGTGGGGGCGGGTCCAGCTCAAAAGTGGCCAAAATAATGACGTGCGCTGACATGCTGCAATACCACCCCGGGCCGATGGGGGTGGACCCAGAAGTAGAATTAGCCAATGCTAACATATAGCGTTGGCAGACCTCTCAAAAACGTCTTTACAGGATGGACCAAAAGTTGGCCCTTGGCCCAAAGCTCCGTTCCACATGTGTGTCAATGCTGAGGGGGGTGGATTTTTGAAGTCTCTCGTTCAAATGAATGGAGCTGCTCCGGCTGACTCATGCGCAGATGCGTTTTTTCACAATTTTCTTGTGGGCGGGACCACTCGCGACCATCTTGGATTGCTCCATGAAAGCACTTTTTATGGCCAACTCCTATGAACGGCGGAGATAGGCGTGACTCTGTCCGTTAATATATACAGTCTATGGGCGATACACAAAAGCACAAGCTAGCTAACCCTGACCCCTGTCTCTTCATCTTCCTCTCGCTCTCTTCGTCTTCATGGTTTAGTCGTCTGCAGAGACAAATTCTTCACCAAAAATTCTGTTTCTAATCTCTCTGTTCCAATCATCAATCCATATCTGTATCTATTTTTGTCGTTCTAATAATTCAGTGGAAAGAAGTGTTTTTTTATATGCCTGTGTTGCGGAAAAAAATATACACATTTATAGATTATGTAAAAAATGTGCCGTTAAAGCAGAAATATTACGCATTATTTTCGGCCTTATATTTATAATGAGACTGTTTACTATGTTTGAAGTGGTCTCCGCCGGACTGGACCAGTGGGCTGTACCCACAAACCTGCCTGGAGCCTCCTCAGTCCATCAGTCCTAGTCACAAATCAAGAGCGATCTCCCTGAAAACCTCGTTCCGCGTTGAGCCTTGAGCTACCTTTGAATTCTTTCTTCGGCCTAAAGAGAGTAACGTGTGGATCTCGTCGACCGACCAGGGCCTTTTGGGGCTTTCTGTGCAATTCCATTTCCCTGGAGTGAGGAGGACATATTATAGCCTATTATAGATCCATGGCTGAGCGGGGTTGAGCTGTTTTACCAAAGGGTTGGACGTCGCTTCCAGTAACGACACTCGATGACCAATCAGTGTAAGGCCGTCGTCACGTCAAAGTGTCGCTTTGGACCACTTGGAACCACGATCGAGGTGGTACGTGTATACAGATGGACAATGCTAACCTGCTATCTCAATGACACCCAATCGGGAAGTGCTCATGAACAAAGTGTTGCTCTGGCTCTGACTTACATGGACTAGTAAACTGCTTTAGCTCAGGAACCATTTGTGTCACACCATTTAGAGCTTTAATAATCTGTGGCTCAGTGCTGTCTGTGATTCAGATGTGAGCCATGCAAGGAACGACCAATCAGATGCTTTCGTTCGCTGGTGAAACAATATTGTGGTACGGTAGGATACAATACTTTTGACTCACACTGAATTGAAAGTCTTGGACGTGTTTTTTATTTTACTGAAAGGTGAAAGCTGTTTTAGCAATGTATGTTTCAATTGTATAAGTAAAAAAGTTTAAATCTTTGATATTGAGTATTTACAACTATATACAAGCTGCCCCTGATGTGCGTGTTCTTACTGATTTTGGCCTTTTTAAATCGAGGCTCAAAACGTATTTATTCAGATTAGCTTTTAACACTTTTATCACTCACTGACACTTTTTAAAAATGTTTTTTAACTGTTTTATTGTTTTAGTGCATAAATGTTTCAAATTGATTTTATGTCATTTTATTGTGAAGCACTTTGGTCGCCTTGAGTGTTGTAAAGGGCTCTGTAAATAAAATTGATTGAAAGGAACACAAAAGTAATTCTTGTATTATTAATCTTTATTTGATTTTTATTTGCATTTTTGAACGGAGAATCCAACGATCGAACGATTCACAGATTTACAGAGACTCAGTCCCAGAACGTTAAATCCAAAAACATAAAACAAATAAGGTTTTTGTTTAATGCTTTTGAATAACGTGCAAATGTAGACGTTTCCAATGTTAAGGACCGCCTCCTTAACATGGGGGGGGGGTTCGAGTACTCGGATGATCCTGGGAGCCTGTTGTCTGGACAGGTCTTTGATGACGAGTGGAATGAAACGCAGTCCGCCTGGTACAGCGCAGCCGGGGCCCACTCTAGTCCATGTGGATGGGGCTGTGGGGGCAGAGGGGCTGGGCTGTTGAAGGTAGTGTCCACCGGGTTGGAGACGAGTGAGGAGGTGGCAAATGGACTTGAACCAACCTCACGTGTGCTTCTTTGGGTTCGGTCTGAGACATTGACGGTAACCTCAGAGAGAATCTCATGAAATAACACAATGTCTGAGCTGATTGGTAGAGCCGTTGCGCGACCCCTCCAAGGACGTTGCGTCTCGACTCGGTGAAGTTTTTGTGCTGGAAGAAAGGATTTTCCCATGTTCCCTGAAGCTATAGACACAGGAGAATTTACTGTGCCTATAGTTTTGTGAATGTCCGACCTCACAAACCAGAAAGTCTCTTCCTTGTCTCACTTCAGGTCAGGTCTGCGGCTGTAACCGTCACATGGAACGCTGCTTATTTTGTTTTATTTCTTAAGTCACCTTTAACCAGCTGTCAATCTCCTTCTACAGAGCTGGGCAAGAACAAGTCCTACCCCTCTCTTCAATGGAATCTACAACTACTACAAGTCTCTTAAGAAAATTAAACAAAAATAAGTCGTGCCCATGAACAAGTTAAAAACCACCCGACTTAACCCTAACACTCCTCTGGTCTCCATCTAGATGATGGGGACACGGCGAGACAGAGATTGAAGTCAACTTAAATCTCTGTCACGTGTGGGACAGTTCCTGCTGGCATTTCTGGCTCTGTGAGTGCGTCCTGAGTCATTGGCGGTAACCTCTGAGTGAAACTCATGAGATTATACAATGCTTTAGCTGATTGGTGGAAGTGGTGTCCTATCCTTCCAAACCAGCTGTATGTTGACTGTGTGGATGTTGTGGTGCTGGAATCAGGGATTTCCCCATGCACCCTGAAGCTGTATACACAGGTGAATGCATCGTGCCCGTGGTTATCGTGAATCTCTAACCTCACGGACCGGAAAGTCTCACCCTTGTGTTGCTCCAGGATGTCAAATGTTTGGAACGAGTCCCCGTCTGCGCCGTAGAGAAACGTTCCAAGTTTGATCTCTGTTGGTCCAAAGTCCTTCAGTCCGTACACAGAGAAAGACTTTGGGGCCGACTGAATTGTTCCTGTGAGAGACTGCTCCTTCACAATGTGTCCGACAGTCACTTTGGTGATGTGGATCTCCAGGGGCAGAGTGATGGAGAGCTTCCCAGTCTGACCTGTGAACGCCCAGCACTGTCCAGGAATCAAAGGGTAATTATGACCTTTGATCACAGTGTTTGGACCCAGAGGTCTGAGACAAGGCGGGCCGTTTTTCTGCTTGTGAGTCTTGGAAGTCTCAGCAGTCATCACCCGAGCCCCGTGATGCCTCAAAGCAAAGTTGGCTAAAGGAGCTCTCACCATTGCCTTGTGTTGCTGAAGCTGCTCACGCAAATGATCGACCTCCTCCTTCAGCTGATGCAGATGTTTTACCTGGTGTTGCAGCTGCTGCACCTCACCATCAGTAGCCATCGCCATTGCCAACCAGGACACAACAAGGCCAGCCAAGAGAAGCCAGATTATGACCCGGGCCAAGCTGAACCAGGACCTAGGCTGAACTGCAGGCCCAGACACATAGATGACATTTGCGGCCTTCCTCGCCTCCAGTGGGAAGCTGTGGCGCCGCATATTTGTGGAGATGTGTAACCTCCTGCGACCAGTGTCTGAGTAGCAGATGCAGGGGTTTTCATCCTCATCGTAGTACCCCATTTCCTCCAGTCGAGGACTCCTGCGAGCCATGTTTATAAAGGCCCTGTATTTACTCCAATAGTTTGGTTTAGACGGACTTTACCAAGTCCCGTTAGAAATGACTCCTCTGAAGTAAACTTTTGACTCTCCTGAGCCTGACTTCACCGATGGACGGCCCTTCAAGAACTCACAAACACTCACAAGCTCTGCCTGGCCCCGGTGACATGATCGATGCCATAGCAACCGGAAGAGACGATGTCAGCGGGCATCGCTACGGTAACCAGAACAGCTGGTTGCCATGGCAACCTTTGCAACACTATTTAAGTTTTAGCAGCCATTTTGAGTGTGTGACTTTTATTAAATGTTTCTTTATTTGATAAATTGATTTAGTACATTCCATTTATTCATATTTACCTGAAGTTTACTTACAAACATTCAAAAAGTTAAGAATTTTCTTGTTTTTAACCACGTGATTTGTCGTTCTGGGATCAACAGACGCCATGATGAAAGTTCTGATCAATAATTAAAAATATAGGGCTTAAATTTTACTTTTATCAGTATTTGAGGCAAAAATACCCTTTTTTGATTGGTTTTATTGACGTCACATCATGTTGTAGCTTCAGCTTGGCTGGAACCACAGTCGAGGTGGTACGAAAAAAGTGCCCTTATCTCAAGCCAAACCCCAGTGGAAATGCAAAATAACCGTGCCGTGCCGTACCGTACCTTTACTGTGGAAAAGTGGCATAATGCCGCTTTTCCACAGTATCAGTACGGTACAGTACAGTACGCTTCAGCACGGTTATTTTGCGTTTCCACTAGTGGATGGTATGGGAAATTTGAGTACTTTTCCGTACTGCCTCAGCCGTGGTTCCATCCCCATAGTACCCGTGCCATGACGTCACGTCGGCCCACTGCCTTACACTGATTGGTCAACGAGTGTCGTCACTGGAAGCGACCTCTGACTGACCCTTTGGGAAAAACAACTCAACCGCCATCTTTAAAACCGGCTGCTCTGCTCGGCTCTGCTTCGGCTACATTACGTCCTCCTCACTCCAGAGAAATGGAATTGCACAGAAAGCCCCAAAAGTCCTGGTCCTGGTCGGTGGACGAGGTCCACACGTTCCTCTCTTCAGGCCAAAGAAAGAATTCAAAGGCAGCTCGAGGCTCAACACAGTTTTCAGGAGATCACCCAGCTCTGGATTTGTGACTAGTCTGTGGTAATCCTGAAATAACTGGTTATCTACAAATCCCGTTAAAGCTCTCACTGAAATGTATTTAATGTGTACATGTTTGATTGTCTGTTGTACGTGTCACAGGGTAGACGCACAGCGCACTTTGTTTTTATGCATGCTTTTATTTTGAAATGTGTTTTGTGTGCCGCACTGTGTGTTTTTACTTCCTGTTTTTTTATCCTCACACCTGTGGCAGCTTCCACTGATTTTAACGAATGGACATAGACACTGGGGGCTGGAGCCAATGAGAAAAGGGTTTTTAAACAGACTATGGGGGAGGAAGGAGGAGGAGGACACCGGACTGGGCCAAAGGAGAGGCACCGCCAGCCAGAGACCACGGGGGACTGAGGCCAGCGGGGAGAGCGGCACCGGTGATGGGCGCGCATTGAAAGCGCAGAGAGGCGTGTGTGCACCGGGCTAGGCCCAACATCACGAATGGAATGTGCCCGCTCTCCCCTGCGTGTGCACAGTGGCAACCCGTGGGCGGCAAGTGGCTGGCGAGACTGCGGCCCCGTCCCGGGCAGAGAACACAGGTTGACGACAGAGCGTCTTGGGCGACCGAGGAGAGGAGGCAACGGAGAACGGCAGCAGCAGTCAGCAGTACCTGCACAGGACCCACGGAAAGCCAGAGCGCGACGCGGACTACACGCACGGGCAGAGTTTCTCTGCCCGTGCGTGTAAGTAACATTGTAGTGCTCTGGTCGGGCATACGGCTGCTGCTGGCCGATAGAAATCTGTTTTTAAGGCGTTTTACTGTGGGAGACCCGTTTTTGTTTCAGGGAGGGGCCTGGCCAGCCATTCCCTCGTGTGGAGCCAGAGCACGACGTGACATCACCGCAGCGGGCAGAGTTTCTCTGCCCGTGCACGTAAGTGACCTTTAGTGCTCTGGCCGGGATTCATCCCACTTTTAACCTACAGATTTCTATTTTTAAAAAGAACGTTTTACTGCCTCCTGCTCCTCTGGTTTTAGGTCTGCGGAGTTGCCCTTGCTGGACTTTTAACTGGACTTTGCTTTTATATTTTTAGTATTTTATTCTGTAATTTTATTTGTAATAAATTGTTTTATCCCTTTTAAAACTCTGGTTTTTACACTGCTCACCTTGTTTTTAAGAACCTTCCTTTATTCAGTCCTAGTCTCATTTTTAAAACTAGGTGGCGTTGCTTTCCCTTTTTATATGCTACTCGGCCACATACGCAGTGAGCTAGCTACATTTAGCTTCATTTAGCTATCGATAGCAGCTAAGCTAACGTCCTCCCTGTGCTACTGTGCTTTATCTCGTATTATCTGCAGTATTCATGTGTTGTCATTCTGTTTTGTTCTTGTATTTAAGTTGTCGTGTGTATATTTGTTTGAGAATCCCTTTCCATAAGTGTGGAGATTACCAACGAGTAATGAGTGACCGGAATATTCTCCTAATCTGGACCTGGTCTGGACCTGGTCTGGACCTGGTCTGGACCTGGTCTCACACATATGTACTTTTGACTTTGTAAACTGTTGGTTTTGCACTTTACTTTTGTTTTCAATAAATCTGTGATTGTATCAAGACTGTATTTCATTCATTTATTATTATTGTATCTGAGGTTTGGGTATCGATTGTCTGGTCTCGGAGTCTGCTGTAGTCCGGACCCGAGTCCGGACTAGCCTAACTTAGCGTAGCCTAGCCGCTAACTCGCTACTCCTATGGCTGCCGCTGTCTCTCCCTCGGTCCTTTACTGCTCGAGTTGCCATATGAAGAGTTTAAACCCTGGATCCTCCTCTGAGGGCAGTGATGGATGTGTAAGTGTAGTATAGTAGTAGCTTTGGAATCCAGGGTTAGTGAGTGAGCTGAGTCTCGAGCTAGCGCTAGCATTAGCTATAGCCTAGCAGTATCCTCGGACATGCAGCCCTCCTCCTCTGCTACACAGGCTGCTGTTGCTACAGGTCCATTCAGATTGTACAGAGCAATCAGCACCATTGACTTCACAGTTTCCGAGTCATTCTTTTAAGACAAAAGCATTTTCAAAAACTACTCGTGCTGTGCTGAGTTTTCTATTAAACACTTGCTCTGATGTTATAATAAATCCATGCACCGCACCAGTTCTAGTTACGCGTCACACGTAAATGACGTGGTCTGACAACGCTGAGGACATACTGGGGGTACTATTTTTAATGGAAAAGCACGAGAACTGGGCCATGGCGCGCCGTGTAGAGTCAAAACGTACCGTACTAGGACTGTGGAACAGCGGCATTAGTCCCTCTTGGTCCTGGTTCTATCCAGGCCGAGCTGGTACTAAAGCGTTCTGACTGACAGTGATTTGCCAGAGTGCTGCTGGAAGCCATGGTTACGCAATCATTTCCACGGATAGTCGGATACTGGTTTGTTGTGGGTAGGTTCCTAGGATACGGTATCAGGTCCTAAAACGTAATGTAAACGCAAGGGAGTAGAGTAGAGTAGAGTAGAGTAGGGTAGAGTAGGACTGGTGGAAACGAGGCTATAAGAGAGGGTTTAGAAAGAGATATAAAGTAGATTTGTTGACATCAATGCCCCTAGTGTCTGTGCGTCATGGGCTTTTAACTAGTTTATGATCCGAGAGACAGGAGACTCGTACCATTGTGGTCGTAAACGCTGACATGTGATATGCCCAGGGCCATGCACCACACCACCAGGTTGGCCACGTCTGTGTAGCTGGGCTCTTCATTCACCAGAACCAGACCGATGTGGACCGGGAGCTTCTCCACAGACTTCCCATCCTGGAGGAACAGGGCCTGTGTAGGGGGGAAATTATTAAGTCGATTGGCAACATTGAGCGCACTTCCCCATGACCAGAAACCCTTGAGACAGGCCTCCTCTCTGACAATGTTTAAAACCAGGTTAAAGACAGTTCTGTTTAGCTGTGCTACAACTGAGGGATTTTATATTTGTATCTTTCTTTTTAATGTTCTGTGATTATTTATGATTTGAATGCTTTCTTGTTTTGTTCAGCACTTTGAATTGCCTTGTGTATGAATTGTGCTATATAAATAAACTTGCCTTGCCTTGACACTCTCTCCTCCTTTTAACACTAGAACTCCCATAGCAGTCAATTTGACGGCTTTCAGTCTTGGAAGTGTAGTTATCCGGCTCATGCAGATTCTGGGTCTTCCGTACATTATGACTTTTACTGTCACTGTATGTAGTTTATTTATACATAATTATTTTTCAACGTATGAAATTCGAGTAGTTCTGCCTTTATCTCCCAGTTTAGAACCAGTACCAGTACCACTCGTTACCATAGCAACGTCTAGTTTACTTGCTACTAGTCAGCATTTGTCTGAACCTTTCAACAAACGGCTTTTTTTGCTGTATTTCAAGTTATATTCACCAGCTTTAGCATGTACTGAATATAAAAGCCAAATTACTTAGTTACACGAAGATACTAGTAATAACACGAAACTGTAGAATTGTAATAATTTGAATGAAAGCCGTCAAAAATGACTGCTCTCGGAGTTCTAGTAGTTTAAGAATTCTGGGAGTCATAGTGTTTTAATAAATCCCAATAAACAGAAGCTGTCCCTCTCGGATCCAATGATTGAAGTAGAACATTTGCAGTGCACCTGGCGCTCGCTGGGACTGCCCGCGCTGACGGCCTTGGGCTCCCGGTTACCGTGCATCTTTCTCCGCTCCACCACCGACAGCTCCGTGAAGGCAGCCGGCAGGAGGAAAGAGGCCAGCGCCCGCTCCCACAACCGGCGCTTGAGGCAGCGGGTGCGGGCCTGGAGCCACGCCACGAACGCCCGGTTCATGTGCACCAGGCAGAGCAGCAGGCGCCACAGCAGGCCGTACAGAAGGGCCATAGCGGTGCGTCCGGTGTGAGGAACGAATCCGGTTACCGACAACTCACTTCCACTGCCGCCATCTTCCTCTGAGATGATCCGACTGAGAGATACACGGAGCGCACTGATTGGTCCACAGCGTCTTCTTCTTCTTCTCTGTTTTAGAGTCGGGCATTGGTGAAACTAGCGTGGTGCTGCCCCCAGGAAAAACATGGGGAAGTACACAAACAAGAAAAATCATAGTCATGCAAGTTACACTAGAGCTGCAACTAACGATTATTTTGTAAATCGATTAATCTATCGATTATTTTTACGATTAATCGAGTAATCGCTTGGCTGTGAATTGTGTAGAAAAAAATATTTTTTCATCACAAAAAGCTAAAGTGGCAACACTCGCGGATGTATTGAGGCGTAAACTTAAAGTAAATGTTTGTAACAGGCTCTTTGTGCTAATTCTGCTCTGATTGGATGAGACAGACAGATATTCATGAAATTATAAAAACTAAGTCGGTTTTAATCAAAAATATTTCATTTTCATGTCATTTTTGCTCTGTTTGAGTCCGTGTGAACCAGAAAACGATTAATCGATTACTAAAATAGTTGTCGACTATTTCAATAATCGATTAGTCGTCGATTAATCGATTAGTTGTTTCAGCCCTAAGTTACACACATTGTATTCGTGAAGTTGGTCGGTGTTTTGTAAACGGGAACTCTCAGGAAGCTGCAGTAGCTTATACATAGTTCCCACATGACGTCACTACATACGGGGATTTGCCGACCCGGCGCCATTTGTGTTGGCATTCTGTGGGCAAAACAATAGAAAAAGAAGCTGAAACGTGTTAATGTCGTGATAAAGTTGAAAATGGTCATCTCCTGCTGGGTCAATGGATGTTCAAATCGTGCCGGAGGTTCTGTTAAACTTGGATTTTACAGTATACCCATCATTAGACTTCATGAATGTGAGAAGACTAAGCTTTTGTCAGAACAACCACGGAGGTTATGGCTTGCGAAGATAAACAGGCAAGAAACTCCCTCAAAACACGCAAGAATATGCTCGGAGCACTTTGTGTCAGGTGCGTATCATATCTTATAATGTGTTGACAGACGTAATTTACTCAGTACTAACTTGTGTATGCTGATAGCTGGTAACTTGAGAGTTTCATTATTTAGATTACTTTATTATGAGGAGGATCGTTGTCGCGTCCGAGGCTCTCGAGGGCAACGTAAATGTATTAAATAGATAATAATAGTTTTATGGTGGGCTAAAACAATGTTCACAAACAGCATTGCTTCTGTAAAAAGATCTGTGTCATAAAATAAACTGCTCTTTACGCCTGGAAAAATCAGTTGCCCACCATTCACCAAAACATACGGTCAAAAACGCGGAAATAAACAATAACAGCAATCCAGAGTGTCCGTGTGGCATTAGCATTAATTAAATTAATTGTTAATATAATTAAAATAATTAAATGGAGCTCCAACTGGTATTAAATCTAAAGTTTTTGAGAAATGTTTGCATTGCTTGTTAATTTTTGCTGCATAATTTGATCAAATATGTAAAACATGTCCGTAGCACGTTAAACTGTGGTGCCATTGTATTAATATACAATTATTTGCTCAAAAGTTGCCCTTTTTTTCCAATTTGCGTTTGAATATCTACATTTATTCTCATTCTTCTGTTTAATGGAATGCACAAACACAGCAGCATGCCATCAAAGATGGCGTCTCCGAGGAGGTCATGTGACATTCATTGGTATAGGCAGGCTCCAAAAACTGTTTCAGACTTTACTCTTTAGTTCATTTTCTAGTAGATTTTTCTTACACATAGTAATGTAACTTTTTTTACACAAACACATATATATATCCATTACAGCATTCATGCTACATAATAAATCACATCATTCATGTTCATGACCGTCCAGAGTGGATCCCTTCCTCAATGTGAGGTGAGGCAAGTTTTTTTGTATAGCACAATTCATACACAGGGCAACTCAAAGTGCTGAAGAAAAATAAGAAAGCATTAAAATCATAAATAATCACAGTACATTAAAAAGAAAGATAAAAATATAAAATCCCTGGATTGGTTAAAAACAGGTCTGTCTTTAACCTGGTTTTAAACATTGTCAGAGAGGAGGCCTGTCTCACATCTTCAGGAAGATTGGTCCAGGTTTTAGCAGCATGAATCTGAAAAGCAGCCTCCCCATGTTTAGTTCTGACTCTGGGCACTAACAGGAGTCCAGTCCCTGTGCTCCTCAGAGTCCCAGCAGGAGTCCAGTCCCTGTGCTCCTCAGAGTCCCAGCAGGAGGCCAGTCCCTGTGCTCCTCAGAGTCCCAGCAGGAGTCCAGTCCCTGTGCTCCTCAGAGTCCCAGCAGGAGTCCAGTCCCTGTGCTCCTCAGAGTCCCAGCAGGAGGCCAGTCCCTGTGCTCCTCTGAGTCCCAGCAGGAGTCCAGTCCCTGTGCTCCTCAGAGTCCCAGCAGGAGTCCAGTCCCTGTGCTCCTCAGAGTCCCAGCAGGAGTCCAGTCCCTGTGCTCCTCAGAGTCCCAGCAGGAGGCCAGTCCCTGTGCTCCTCAGAGTCCCAGCAGGAGGCCAGTCCCTGTGCTCCTCAGAGTCCCAGCAGGAGTCCAGTCCCTGTGCTCCTCAGAGTCCCAGCAGGAGTCCAGTCCCTGTGCTCCTCAGAGTCCCAGCAGGAGTCCAGTCCCTGTGCTCCTCAGAGTCCCAGCAGGAGTCCAGTCCCTGTGCTCCTCAGAGTCCCAGCAGGAGTCCAGTCCCTGTGCTCCTCAGAGTCCGGGCTGGTTCGTATGGTACATGTCACTAATATGAGCTAACATGAATGTGAACGAGTTTTCTCACTTTTCTCCCACTGGGTTTTTAGAGTTCGTTCTTGCCCACTTAGGACAGTGGTGATGATCCAGGACACTCGACGTTCAACGACATTTATTCATGGGCAGTGGTCATCCCGCTCCCCGTGGACCAATGTACATCAAACCCCAGCAGATGTCAGTAGCACTAAAAGAGTTATTTAACAGGAAAGAAGGAGAAGCAAAGTTGCCACGTCTGCTTTTTTTTTTTTTTTTTTTACAATATATGCTTTAGTCTTGCTTCTTAAACGCTCTTTCCCGTCATTCCACCGTTATACTAAGTTATTAATTTGCCTTTATTCAGTTCTGTTTGTACTGATATTAGTTAGTAAACAGCCACTACTACCTGCATTAGCCACCTCCCTAAAACGTGCTTGGGTGTTACCATAGACGTGTTATTCCCTCACTGCTGCAGATCTGGCAACCCCGGACAGTAGCGCGTACCGTGAGTATCTCCAAGATGGCGGACGGCAGAGATAAAGCGCTTCAAGACTACAGGAAAAAACTCTTGGAACATAAAGAAGTAGACGGACGATTAAAAGAACGTGAGTAAAATACATGAATGAACTCCCGGTGGTTCTTTTATAATATAATTGTTCTTATTCTCTGCACACATCACTAGTAATGGTTGACAAGCTAACAGCTAGCAAATGCTTTGTCATGCCAGCCTAAACTCATTCAAATGAGTGGTAACCCTGGCTCTAATGACTGATTTAAGAGCAGAAATGTATTGACGGGGTTCTCTGTCTGGATGGATTGAGTCATAAATTGCGTTGTAATATTGTTATCAACCTTAAATTTGTTGCTAAACTGAAGTAAACTGAGATTAGCATTAGCCAAGACGTGTTTGTTTGACATGAGTGTGTTTGTTTCAGTGAGGGAGCAGCTGAGAGAACAGACCAAACAGTATGAGAAGTCTGAGAACGACCTGAAGGCTCTGCAAAGTGTCGGACAGGTAATCCATGTGTAGTGTTTTTATTGTTATATCATGTCGTGATATTGTTTCCTCAAACATAACTACAAGCTAGAGCTGTGCGGTTGTGGACAAACATGACATCACAACATGAGAAGGAAAAATCTGAATATCTATATTGTTCACTATAACTTTAGTGGAATAAAAAATGTTTAACTTGATCTTAAAACGATTTTGGTTTTGTCACTACCTTTTACATTAATTAGGCCCACCTTCGCTATGTAAATAAATACTTTGAGAATCCATGTTTTCTAATACTAAAGACTAAAGAAAGAATCTTCCAAAAAGTACAACCAATGTGTTTATGAAACAAACAATACTGTGTGTCGAGGGACAGCCTCGGAATGTAGAACATGTTTGAAACATAGACTAAAGCAAATTCCTAATTTGATCTCGTCTCACCCAGTACACATACGTACACGCACTCACACCAGTACACGCACTCACACCAGTACACGCACTCACACCAGTACGCACAATATTTCTGGTTTGAACAGTCCCTCAAAGTAATACCAGTGTTCTGTCGCCCAGCCGCAGAACTGAGCTCTCCAAACACAGATTTAAAACTATAGCGTAGCACCTTTCACATGTCTTTCATTGATCTTCTTTTACAGATTGTTGGAGAGGTACTAAAACAGCTTACGGAGGAGAAATGTACGTTAGTATTAACCAGGAATAACTCTATTAGACACACATCTATATTCATTCTGTGGCTTCTGTTTTTCAGTTATTGTCAAAGCTACGAACGGACCTCGATATGTGGTTGGATGTCGCAGACAGGTAATAACTGTACGATAAAATTATATCAACCCTATTTTCAATGTTTTAGCATTCTTACTCAGGACTTTTTCTTCCATTTCAGTTGGACAAGTCTCAGCTGAAGCCCGGGACCAGAGTGGCTCTGGACATGACCACCCTCACCATCATGAGGTATTGTGTTGATGATAGTCATTGTAATTTCCCCACTGTGGGACAAGTAAAGGCATCATTCATAATGTGTGAGAATATCTGATGGAGCTGGTCTCTCCTCAGGTACCTGCCGCGGGAGGTGGATCCTCTGGTTTACAACATGTCCCATGAAGATCCTGGCAGTGTGTCGTACTCTGAGATCGGAGGCTTGAGTGAACAGATCAGAGAACTCCGAGAGGTAAACTGGTTTCAAAAATGTCTTTTTGATTGATTCAAAAAGGTTCATTTTGTCTCGAGTTTAAAGATTTTTGTTTGTGCAGTTCTTTTGAAAGAAAAAGTTATGATGTTGGATGATATATAATTGATCAAAGACAAGTCATAAAAAACAAATGTGAATCTGTTTGCAGTCGTAAAGATCAGAGGGAAGGCACATATAAGAATATTACTTCAGCCTTCTCCTTTTGAGCTTTGTTTATGTAAATTATACGTACCTGTAAAACTGCTACAAATAAACTACTACCTAAAAATACACTAAAGTTTTGAGAAGATCATAGAAATGATTGACTTTGCGGCGGCTCTGAAACATGTTAAATTAGTAATCTTTTTTTATATAGCGCCTTTCACAGACCAGAGTCACAAAGCTGTTTTAAAATAGTTATTTTTGAGCACTTGTCTCTCACTCCACACAGAGATGCATCTAACTTGTCTTTAAACATCTGAAACAACACATCTTGTGTTGTTTTACAGGTGATCGAGCTGCCTTTAACAAACCCTGAACTTTTCCAAAGAGTTGGAATCATTCCCCCCAAAGGCTGCCTACTGTACGGACCCCCAGGTTAGAGATTTATTCATGTTATGGCTTTTCTGAAAATGCCTTTTAGCAATGAGCCACAACAAGTCTTTATCTAACGTAATCTTTGTTTTAGGTACGGGGAAAACTCTTCTTGCCAGAGCAGTGGCCAGTCAGCTGGACTGCAACTTCCTCAAGGTTGGTTTTCAGGAAATTGTCAGACACAGCTCCCAGGATGTTCCAATATTTGTGCCGTTCACAATTAACATAAACTCACTCGCTAATGGACAATTCTCGCTAATTGTAATTGTAAATAGATGAGCTAGCGGGTTAGCATTGTCCAATGTAGCCCAAAAGGGAAGTGCTCACGGAAGTTTTGCTTCAACTCACGCCGTAGAGAAGTCAATAAGAAGGCTTCTTTTGTTTTTCTCTCAAAAGAGTAGCGTCATTTCTGGACTATAAGCCGCTACTTTTGTCTAGTTCTTTGGACCCTGCGGCTTATATAGCAATGTGGCTAATATGTTTATTGTGGTCAGAGCAGAGTTTATGGATTTATTATTTTGACTCCATGAAGTTTCAGCAGCTACAGGACACTGGTTTATTGTCAAAACACATGAAGGTGAATGAGTGACGGAAGCTAACGGTGAAACACCTCGTCCAGTTAAAACAGTCGCCTCCGCTACATTACAACATGAAATCCTGTGGCTTTAGTTTCTCTGCAGCAGTGACACGACTCTGCTGCTGTTTCCAGGTTGTGTCCAGTTCCATCGTGGACAAATATATCGGTGAAAGTGCTCGGCTCATCAGAGAGATGTTTAACTACGCCAGAGACCATCAGCCCTGCATCATCTTCATGGACGAGATCGACGCCATCGGTGAGAGCTGCTGTTGAATACTGTGTTTAAAAACATTTGAATCTATTCATTTAAACTAAGGACGGTCCACGATACGTATCCCAGAAACTTTAGCTTGAGACAATACCTGATCTATATATTGTATGTATTCTTGGGTTTCATATGACGTCAGGGCAGTGGTGAATAACAAACGTAGGACAGGACGTGACGTAGCCTGGAGGTGCAGTCTGCCGGGTTTATACACGGAGATATAGTAGAAGTGGTTTATACACGGAGATATAATAGAAGAAGCGCTGTCAAAATGCCATCTTTTTGTGCGGTGTACGCTTGTAGCAACCGCACAAATAGAGAAAGACAAGGGTTCTTCCGTGTTCCATCTGGGTGAGGGGGATCAAGGCTTTCCCAGATAAGCGCCCCCCTGCAGGCCATCCCAATGAAACGCAGCAATTTCTTCTGTTTTTCTTTCCAAAAATGCCCAAAATCAAGACTCTTTTGAGAAATATTTGTTTATTAACTGAACTGAAGTATTAACTGAAACAAATTTGTGTGCATTTTATAATTGCCTTAAATGGAAAGGATGGGGCGACAGTAGCTCAGTTGGTAGGGCATTGGCCTTATGGCCAGAAGGTCGTGGGTTCATTTCCCACCACTGCACCTTCTCCACCGACTCCCACTGATGACTGCTGTCGTTGTGTCCTTGGGCAAGACACTTAACCCCACTTTGCCCAAAGCCCCACTGAAAGATCAAGGCTATGCTCACAGTCAGAGAGCAGCCGTCCTCCTGTGGACTCACCACCTGCAGAGGGTCAGTGAGGGGCTGGTGCTATGAGACTTGGGTGGCATCTCTGACTGCCACCCCCCTGACCCAGAAATGGATTAAAGGGTAGAAAATGGATGGATGGATGGATGGATGGGATGCTGTGTATCTCAGCACAACTCCAGACAATGCCTACAATGCTTTCATTAAAACAATCACTGACAGTATTAACATCACTATTCAGGAGAGCAGGAAAAGTGGCTTACTAAAGGCTTACGTAAATCCATAAAAAAGAAAGATAAATTATATAAAATGTATATGAGTGATCAAACTCCTGAAAACAAAGACATATATATATTAAATATAAAAATAAATTGACACATTTAATAAGAATAGCAAGACGTAACAGTAATGCTCAGGAAATTAGGGCTTCTCATGGAAATCCAAAGCAATGCTGGAGGGTTCTAAATAAGGTTCTCTGTCGGGGCCAAAAATCCATTTCTTTCCCTGACACCAAATGCAATCAAAACAATGAAGATTTAGTCAACAGTTTCAACAATTATTTTAATTCTATTGGAGAAACTCTCGCTAACACCATACATCCTCCAGGGGGTGCTACGTATCATCAATACTTAAAAGGTAGTTACTCCAAATCCCTGTTCCTGGAACCAACTGACAAATCTGAGGTTCAAAGAATTATTACAGGCATGAAAAGCTCCTGTACAGAAGGAGTGGATTCCATCTGTAATAAAATAGTAAAATATATAGAAAAAGAAATTATCGACCCACTCGTCCATTGTATAAATCTCTCGCTGCAATTTGGAACAGTGCCAAAGAAAATCAAAACTGCTAAAATCATCCCAATATTTAAGTCTGGGGATAGGAATACTATGGAAAATTATCGACCCATATCAATACTGCCCTCCTTTTCTAAAGTATTTGAACGGATTGTATATGATAGGCTCAGTGGGTACTTAAATAAAATGTGTATTTTAACTTCATGTCAGTATGGTTTTAGGAAACAGCCATACATGTTGTGCTCTATTTTAGATCTTGTTGAGAAAGTAAATGATGCTGTTGACAAAGGCGAGTGTGGAGTTGTTTTCCTTGATTTGTCAAAAGCATTCGATACCATCAATTTTGATATATTGCTGGGGAAACTTGAGCATTATGGTGTCAGGGGTGTTGCCCTTGATTGGTTCAGAAGCTATCTATCTGAGAGAGACCAATATGTACAAATAAACAGTTACAAATCTCAAAACAAAACTATCAAATGTGGGGTACCACAGGGCTCAATACTAGGACCATTTCTTTTCATTACATAAATGACTTAACAAATTCAACTGATATTTTGCACATAATTTTTGCTGACGACACAAACTTATTTTTCTCTCACAAAAATATGCCTTTTTTACAAGAAACAATGAATGAAGAACTGACAAAAGTAGATATCTGGCTAAAATATGATAAATTATCTCTAAATATTAATAAAACTAATTATATGATATTCTCTTCAAATAGATCTCGTAAAAATAAAGATATTTGTATAAAGATCAACAACAGAATCTTAGAAAGAGTTCAACATACTAAATTCTTAGGCATCTATATCGATGAATTTCTAAATTTCAAAACACATTGATGAACTTACCACAAAACTATCTAAATATTTAGGCATGTTTTATAAAATCAGACACACTCTACCTCTTGAAGCACTCCTTGTCCTGTATAAATCTCTATTCGAACCACATTTAAACTACTGCAACACGTACCCTAGCTATTTAGACAAAATACATATTCTTCAAAAAAAGTAATTAGTCATAACATGGTCTGATTACAACGCTCCCTCAAATCCACTTTTTTACAGGTTGAAGCTTCTGAAACTTATTGAGAGTAACATTCTATACAATGCTTGTGTGATGTATAATGTTGTGCATAAACTAAATGATCGCCTCTGTCAGCTCATTCCTATCTCTACTTCTACACACACACGACACTAGAAGGAAACACTGGCTGAAGGGCAAACTCAAATGTACCAGTTTTAGTATCACCTGCAAAGGTCCAAACATCTGGGATTGTGTAGTAGTATGGAATGTTACACTTGTTTCTGCTGTGTTGTGTTATGTGTGTCATGTGTTGTTTTTGGCGCCCCGTCTATAAGCTAATGCAGCTTCCTGGGAGTTCCCTTTTTACAAAACACCAACCAACACTTCATTGTAAAAGTGTATAACCAATATGGCTACGAGTTTTGTAAATAAAAGAATTGAGTTATGAGTTTCAACAGGAGCAAAGCTGAGTGGTCCCACCTCTGCTCATGCGCCCCCTACTGGCCAGTTTAATGAAACCCAAGAATGAAGATGTATATGTTTAAAGGCATGTGTGTGGGGGAGTACAATAAGGTTTATTTTAAAAGAATAGTGTCTTGGATCAATTCTTATGCTGCTGTGAATAAGTTTAACAAAGTATTGAATATAACATCAGCTGCATCAGATAAACATGTTAGGGACCTGCTTTTGTTACAGGAGGGAGACGCTTCTCTGAGGGCACCTCCGCAGACAGAGAAATCCAGAGAACTCTCATGGAGGCAAGACACAATTATTACTTTACTTTTTAAAAACCTCCTTTTATTCTAGTGTTTTTTATAGCATGAAACAGCGGCCTCTCTCTGGTCTCTCTTGTCTCTCTCTGGTCTCTTGTCTCTGGTCTCTCTTTTGTCTCTCTCTGGTCTCTCTTTTGTCTCTCTCTGGTCTCGCTTTCTGGTCTCGCTCTCTCTGGTCTCGCTCTCTCTGGTCTCGCGCTCTCTGATCTCGCTCTCTCTGGTCTCGCTCTCTCTGGTCTCGCGCTCTCTCTGGTCTCGCGCTCTCTCTGGTCTCGCTCTCTCTGGTCTCGCTCTCTCTGGTCTCGCTCTCTCTCTGGTCTCGCTCTCTCTCTGGTCTCGCGCTCTCTCTGGTCTCGCGCTCTCTCTGGTCTCGCGCTCTCTCTCTCTCTCTCTCTCTGGTCTCGCTCTCTCTGGTCTCGCTCTCTCTGGTCTCGCTCTCTCTGGTCTCGCTCTCTCTGGTCTCGCTCTCTCTGGTCTCGCTCTCTCTGGTCTCGCTCTCTCTGGTCTCGCTCTCTCTGGTCTCGCTCTCTCTGGTCTCGCTCTCGCTGGTCTCGCTCTCTCTCTCTCGCTCTCTCTCTCTCGCTCTCTGGTCTCGCTCTCTGGTCTCGCTCTCTGGTCTCGCTCTCTCTGGTCTCGCTCTCTCTGGTCTCGCTCTCTCCCTCTCGCTCTCTAGTGTCTCTCTCTCTCGCTCTCTCTCAGGTGTCTCTCTCTGGGTTATTTTTAGAACACATCACCCCTGCGATAAACCAGGGACCACTGTATTTCCAAAGCTGACTTCATCATCTTCTTCTTCTTCTTCTGTTCTGCAGCTTCTGAACCAGATGGACGGCTTCGACACGCTGCACAGAGTGAAGATGATCATGGCCACAAACCGACCGGACACTCTGGACCCGGCTCTGCTGCGTCCCGGACGACTGGACCGCAAAATCCGTAAGGAGTCGAGAAAACCCAAACGTTTCAGTGAATAAAGAAAGTGTCTAACTCTGTCTTTGTGTTGACGTTGGGCAGACATAGAACTACCGAACGAACAGGCCCGACTGGACATCCTGAAGATCCACTCCAGTCCGATCACAAAACACGGAGAACTGGGTACGGCACGCTCTCAGCTGTTAATGTGAAGAGTTTATTATGTGACATTTTATAAAGAATATATAGGCCTTGAGATTAAAGTCAGAATATTAGTACTTTTAAGTCGCAATATTATTAGTCAGAAAACTTCTTAGTAATTTTCTATTTCTAATGGCGTCTGGCAAAGTGTACATAGACATTAGTGATGGGAGAAACATGGATTCTGTTCAGTATTGTGATATTTTACGCACACAAATAAATGGATACAGCAGAGCAAAGTGTTTTAACTACTTTTCTGTTTCACTTTAATGTTTTTGCTAAGTTTACTCATTTCCATCTGAGCTTAATCTTCCTCTGTGTCTGCCTGTCGTGACTCGGACATCTGCTTATCGTGAGACTATGACGTCTTGTCTGTCATAAGGTCCTCAGTGTTTGCTATAGTCATGTACAGACCATAATAAATGAGTCTTATTCTAAACCTTTGGAATGAGGGACATGAATCGCAATATGTACGGGGATCAATAAAGTATATCTATAATAATGAATTGTGGCCCAAATATAGCAACACTTTCAAATAATCGCATTTCCGCCAGTTCCTAACCCGCACTAAAACATGTGAACGTACATTTCAGATTATGAGGCGATTGTGAAGCTTTCCGACGGTTTCAACGGAGCAGATCTCAGGAACGTGTGCACAGAAGCAGGTGGGTGTGGCCTCTTTGACTGACAGATCTAGTTCAGTTTCTCACACCGAGCTTTGTCTGCTGCAGGTTTATTCGCCATCCGTGCCGACAGAGAATACGTGACACAAGAAGACTTCATGAAGGCCGTCCGCAAAGTGGCCGACTCTAAGAAACTCGAGTCCAAGTTGGACTATAAACCCATATAAACAGATACATTTATTACTTTTTGTGTGACTGCATTTTGGATTTGCTATATGTACGACTCTGTATGTGGTTGTGTTGGAGGCAGGAAGTCTGTGTTAAAATACTCTCCAAGCCTTCCACTGGAACACGTCAATAAATGGGGAAAACAAAGATGGCGACTTTGATACATTTTTGAACAACTCTGAGGCTTTGACTGCCGTTTGATTTCACTGATTCTCAAGACCCATAGAATATTATTTCCTAAGACTATGTAAAATCTTTAAGTAGATGCTGAAAGACTAGATTGTCTTTGATCAGCAATAATACGTTTTTTTTATCCCCGTTTCCATCAGCCCAGTAGTGTTGTATTTGTACACTATTTCTGGTACTGTAACTTTGCAAACTACCCACAAAAAAAGGAATTATGGATCCAGCAGCACTTTGCCCAATCCCTGACTGAATACTTAAATACAGACGTGGCCCAATAGTTTTTGTGCGGTCCCAGGACTCTCGTAGCCGTAAACCTCAAACCAAGAAAATGCGGTCATCAAGAGAATAAATGTTCTTATTTAGAGAATTAAGAGTCAATGAAGACTTCTGTGCTACCATGAACTGTGTACATTTAATGAGAACAGAACGATTTGTAACAATTTATCTTAAACAAAATATCCACAAAGAAAACAGATACCTTCATATTTGTTAAATACATATTATTTACATTTAATGGGTTTGCCCTGCCTCAACAGGACAAAGAATAAATAACCACCCCTGCTTTCGTAGAACCAGGGCTAAGGGTTACTAAAGAGGGACCTGGTACTGGAACCCTTGTGCTTTCCTCAGGTCACGTTTACCCACCAGTGATTAAAAATACTAATTATTTTAGCTAAAATTATGATTTTCTAATTTGACGAGCCCAGGGTCGTTTATAGTCCTTTAGACCCTAATGTAGAGTTTTTTTTATTCTACTTCTAATCACTGAGGCGGGTAATTTTGGCCTTGGACAGCACAAGGAATGAACTAGGCAAATGAAAACACCAATCAGGGCAGAGCAGGTGGAAACAGGGCGTTAGCTTGCAATGTCTTGTGTCAGAGTGAAGGCCTCCATGATGAAGCCTCTGCAGACCGGACAGTGCTGCAGTAACTGCCCACAGCGCTCACAAACACACGTGTGTCGACAGGGCAGCAGCACTTTGGTCACGGTGGCGTTCTGACAGACCACACAGTCTCTCTCTCTCCACTCAGAGTCCTGCTCCTCTGTGTTCTCTCCGCTGCCCACGCTGGACTCCGCTCTGTCCTCACTCTCCGTCGACATGAACAGAGGCTGGAGAGAGAAGAGCAAGAGAAGACTTTAGGAGGAGTTCAGATTCTTTGCCATTTCCACTAAAACCATATTGGAATACATGTGCTAAAGTCCGCAGTGTGCACCGGACAAGTACCGAACAAGCTAAAAGATTACAAGAAACTGCTTCAATACAAGTGCTTTTAGCTATTAGCATAACGAGATCTCACCTAAACAAGACAAGTATCTGGCTTTTTAGGTTCTTCTAATAAGACAATTAAAGCAAAAAAAGCTAGTACTGCTTAAATACCTGACATGTTTCGGCGGGACACTTCCGCCTTCAGCCACCGTGGGCGGCACGGTGGCTGAGTGGATAGCACTCTTGCCTCTCAGCAAGAAGGTCCTGGGTTCGAATCCCGGTCGGACCAGGCCCTTTCTGAGTGGAGTTTGCATGTTCTCCCCGTGTCTGCGTAGGTTTCCTCCGGGTACTCCGGTTTCCCCTACCACTAAAAATATGTACAATAGGTCTGGCATGCGCCTCCTGTACTGGCCCCTCCCATCTTTGTGTGGAGTGAGAGACAAGTGCCCAAAAATAACAATTGTAAACCGCTTTGTGACTCTGGTCTGTGAAGGGCGGTATATAAATAAAGATTACTTACTTACTTTCATCAGAGGTGACACGTGATGATGTGACGCGTCTCTTATCAGCTGTTGTTGCCGGAAGCACTTCTGGAGAAGTGAGAGACTTCTCCAGAGACCACAGCGCGGCGGGGGACGTGGTCAGTCTGATGGATCTGCTTCCGGCAACAACAGCTGATAAGAGACGCGTCACACCATCACGTGTCACCTCTGATGAAGGCGGAAGTGTCCCGAAACAATTAAAACATTGCTTTAATTGTCTTATTAGAATAACCTAAAAAGCCAAAAAACATAAGAAGACAGAATGAATTTAAGACAAGTATCTGCCCATGATCTATGCTGTCTCCTTTACCTTCAGACTCTCTCACTACTGTCTCCTTTACCTTCAGACTCTCTCACTACTGTCTCCTTTACCTTCAGACTCTCTCACTACTGTCTCCTTTACCTTCAGACTCTCTCACTACTGTCTCCTTTACCTTCAGACTCTCTCACTACTGTCTCCTTTACCTTCAGACTCTCTCACTACTGTCTCTACCTTCAGACTCTCTCACTACTGTCTCCTTTACCTTCAGACTCTCTCACTACTGTCTCCTTTACCTTTAGACTCTCTCACTACTGTCTCCTTTACCCTCAGATTCTCTCACTACTGTCTTCTTTACCTTCAGACTCTCTCACTACTGTCTCCTTTACCTTCAGACTCTCTCACTACTGTCTCCTTTACCTTCAGACTCTCTCACTTCTGTCTCCTTTACCTTCAGACTCTCTCACTTCTGTCTCCTTTACCTTCAGACTCTCTCACTACTGTCTCCTTTACCTTCAGACTCTCTCACTACTGTCTCTACCTTCAGACTCTCTCACTACTGTCTCCTTTACCTTCAGACTCTCTCACTACTGTCTCCTTTACCTTCAGACTCTCTCACTACTGTCTCTACCTTCAGACTCTCTCACTACTGTCTCCTTTACCTTCAGACTCTCTCACTACTGTCTCCTTTACCTTTAGACTCTCTCACTACTGTCTCCTTTACCCTCAGATTCTCTCACTACTGTCTTCTTTACCTTCAGACTCTCTCACTACTGTCTCCTTTACCTTCAGACTCTCTCACTACTGTCTCCTTTACCCTCAGACTCTCTCACTACTGTCTTCTTTACCTTCAGACTCTCACTACTGTCTCCTTTACCTTCAGACTCTCTCCAGCTCCTCTCTCAGTGCTGTGTTTTGTGTTACCTTTAATTCATACATGTTTCCCTGCGCGGTGAAAAGGTACTGAAACAGGATGCGTTGCGAGAGACTGTACCGGCCGTCTGGGATGTGGATGACTGTCACACTGGACACCTGGAAGCACACGCACAGATGAGGATGAAGAGGACGAAGAGGACGAAGAGGAGAAGAGATGTGACTCACGATGTTCTGACGGTCCACTGCCTCCTGCGCCAGAGACAACAGCGCCACCAGGGGGTAGCAGCGTCTCGGCAAAGGCCCGAAGTCTGTGATCCGCTTTCCGTCAGTCTGCTCTGTGTCAACCTTTGTGAAGAACTCGGTCCAGTTTGTGGTTTTGACTCTGATGAAGTCTTTTTAAAGAAAATTAGGATTAAGATGAAGAAGTCCTTATATTGGTCGCACAGCGGGGAAATGTCAGTGTTGCATCAGCAGGTACAGAGCAGAAGGAATATGAGGAGCACACAGCACAAGATAAATGAATCATACTAAAATAAACTGTTTGACAGTTGGCTGAATGACAATTGTTTACTCACTGGATACATTAGTGACATACACTCAAAAGCAGGTGTAAGTACAGTCAAGCAAAGTACTCCAGAGACCGGAGAGAGAAACCAGAAAGAGAGAAACCAGAAAGAAACCAGAGGGAAAGAGACCAGAGACAGTAAAGAGGGAGACACCAGAGAAAGACCAAAGAGAGAGAGAGAGCAGTTTGGCACTTTACAGCCACATCCGCAACATTATGGCATCAGGTGTTCCCAGAGGTTAAGTGTCTTGCCCGAGGACACAACGACAGCAGACAGTGGGAGTCGATGGTGAAAGTCTTGAGGTGGGCTAGAACCCACATCCTTCTGGCTCAAAGGCCAATGCTCTACCAACTGAGCTACTGTCGCCCTCATGAGTCTTATTTCCTTCTCTCTGCTGAAATGTGCAACTCTGACACTTCTCCTGTGAGACGGATAAATGAATATCTGATGAAGGATACTGAAAGGTCTGGCTGCTGAGACAGTGAAGGGCCAGACTCTGGAGCAGGGGCCCGGGTCCAGGACTGTGTTGTAGCTTCTGCAGAACGGACTGAACCAAAGCCGTGTCACAGCCCCAGAAACAGCTGAGGACCGAAGACTCCAGGCAGAAAACCCGCACCCACGCTCCCTCTGTGGCCACGTCCAAACAGACACTTTTACATTTTCAGCAAATATTAAGTTATTTTTTTTATGGTCAAAAACAAAGATTTACAACAAATTTTATGGACATCTGCCCTTTCTCAAAAACAAATTTTGTTTTTTTTTGTTTGTCAGAGAGAGAGAGACCAGAGAGAGAGAGACCAGAGAGAGAAAGACCAGAGAGAGAGACCAGAGAGAGAGAGAGAGAGACCAGAGAGAGAGACCAGAGAGAGCGACCAGAGAGAGAGAGAGAGACCAGAGAGAGAGACCACAGAGAGCGACAAGAGAGAGAGAGACCAGAGAGAGAGAGAGAGACCAGAGAGAGAGACCACAGAGAGCGACCAGAGAGAGAGAGACCAGAGAGAGAGAGAGAGACCAGAGAGAGAGAGACCAGAGAGAGAGACCACAGAGAGCGACCAGAGAGAGAGAGACCAGAGAGAGAGCGAGAGACCAGAGAGAGAGAGACCAGAGAGAGAGACCAGAGAGAGAGAGACCAGAGAGAGAGAGAGACCAGAGAGAGAGAGAGACCAGAGAGAGAGAGACCAGAGAGAGAGACCAGAGAGAGAGAGACCAGAGAGAGAGAGACCAGAGAGAGAGAGAGACCAGAGAGAGAGAGACCAGAGAGAGAGAGAGAGACCAGAGAGAGAGAGACCAGAGAGAGAGGACCAGAGAGACCAGAGAGAGAGAGACCAGAGAGAGAGACCAGAGAGAGAGAGACCAGAGAGAGAGAGACCAGAGACAGAGAGACCAGAGAGAGAGACCAGAGAGAGAGAGACCAGGAAGAAATATGCCAAAGATGTCCAACGACTTATATAGAAATGTATTAAGATTTATGGACCAACGGATCTACTTTTTGCTTTCCGTGTGTTTGAAGTGTTTGATTTTCTGATCTGTGTTGGTGAATCGACAGCTTTGCAAACTCCTCCGGGAGAACTACTGCTGTGATTTAGGGTGAAGCAAAAATGACCCATGGATGGAACTGAATTTGTAAATCCAGTTCGTACAAGATAAAATCCCTCAGTTGTTTATGACTGTTTTAAACCTGGATTTGAACATTTTCAGAGTAGAATAGTGAAAAAGAAGTCAAGATGAAAGAGGAAAAACAAAATACATGTGAGAGAAGGATGCATACCGGTCACAGATGCAGGTTTGGACGACAGCTCCAGGGTGAAGGGGTTGGGCACACGGACCATCTGCTTTTCTGGAGTCGGAAGAACGGATTCGGCTTCATCAGAGTTCCGGAGAATGGCATTGACGTCAAAGCCAATCCTGAAAACACAACAAGAGCCGATGATTATACAGACAATACTATTCAACAAGATGGCCACTTCAGAATGACTGGATTTTGGGTGTGTTTCAGCTTCAAAATGAGGTATGCCATGTCAATATTGGTTCATATTGGACTGAGCTGAACAGAGAGAGACACCAGAGAGACACTAGAGTGAGACCAGAGTGAGACTAGAGTGAGACTATAGAAAGACACCAGAGAGAGACTTGAGTGAGACCATAAAAAGACACTGGAGTGATACCAGAGAGAGACTTTAGTGAGAGCAGAGAGAGACCATAGAAAGACACCAGAGAGAGACTTGAGTGAGAGCAGAGAGAGACCATAGAAAGACACCAGAGAGAGACTTTAGTGAGAGCAGAGAGAGACCATAGAAAGACACCAGAGAGAGACTTGAGTGAGAGCAGAGAGAGACCATAGAAAGACACCAGAGAGAGACTTGAGTGAGACCATAAAAAGACACTGGAGTGATACCAGAGAGAGACTTTAGTGAGAGCAGAGAGAGACCATAGAAAGACACCAGAAAGAGACTTGAGTGAGACCAGAGTGAGACCAAAGAGAGGCGCTAGAGGAGTCCCGGCCTCTGTTGTGGGCAACTTCTACAGAGGGACTGTAGAGAGCATCCTGACCAGCTCCATCACTGGGTGGCACGGCACCAGCACTGCCTCCTGCCGAAGGAGAGCAGCAGAGAAGATCTGTGGAGCCCCTCTCCCCACCATTAAGGACATGTACTCCACCCGTCTCACCCGCAAAGCCGTCAGAATCACCAGGGACCCTACGCACCCATCACACAGGCTCTTCAGGGTAATGCCTTCAGGGAGGAGACTGCAGAATTTACGAACAGTTCCAGTCGACTTAAAAACAGTTTCATTCACAAGGCCATCAGGAAGCTGAACTCCCTGCCCTCCCTGCCACCCCTCTTCCCCCACAATCTCCACAATCAAGGATGAGAGAAATATAATTTCAAACCATTCACTTGGTTTGACAAATAAAAATCTTGAAATCTTGAATAGAAAGAAACCAGAGAGAGACTTGAGTGAGACCAGAGAGAAGGAGCAGCAGCAGTCTTCTCACAGGACTTTACAAAGTTGACAAATCATCAACAACAGATCAAAGAATCAAACAGTTTGAACACAATAACACGTGTAGAGTCAGTGGTTCATAGGGAGCGGCATGAATACTGTCCATACATGTAAACACATGTCCTGGATCATCAATGCCCTTGGACCCAAACCCAAACACTTTATAACAGAGAAAATGTGATTCTTCAAGCGTCTGGAAGGCTGTGACAATCTTTTACATTATCATATGTTTGGCTACTTTTCAACACAAACACATTCAAACACAGAAATAATACTCTCCTAGCTGCCATAGATAGCTAGCTTAGGTATATATGGCTTATGCTAATCATCACAAGCTAGCTACTTACCACCCAAGAACCATAGCAGCCGTGACGAAGAAGCATAAAAACACACTGCCGATGTAGAACAGGGGAGAATACTCGTATAAAGTCACCAGGAAAACCGCCACCATGGTCCTGCGTTTATATTCGGACAAGATCTCAGCCGAACAACACTCAGCTCCCCACCATAACACTGTGTGCAGAAAACACAGAGCTAGCGCTGGTTTACCGGAACTAGCAAACAGACGCGAGCCCCGGCGGCCATCTTGGTGTTGTATGAAAACGTGATAAAAATAAAATGTTTACTTAATTTTAGCTCAAATTAATAGTTATTTTGTAAAAGTATACAGGAAGATTTTCTGCTTCGGGGTGGATCAAGACTATTGGTCCTCCTAATTGTCAATCATTGTGGAGATACGTGCTCGTCAATGTACATTTCTCCAGTGTGAGATCAATAAAGTGTATCTTATCTTGTCAATTAAGACCAGAGTTTTGGTCTTAAAGAGCGACTAAACACCTGTGCCCAGCCTTACTCCGCCCACATGAAGATTTGAAAATGTTCTCTAAAAAGGGCGTTGCCTGGAGGACCAAGGGACAAGAAGGGGGGCTTAGAGTTGGGCGTGGTCTGGGCTGTGATTGACAGCTCACTTGTCACACAAAAAAAAAAACAGACAGTTGTCATTGCTGCTTAAAGCAATAGTTTACAGACCAGAAAGTCTCATTCCACCCTTGTTTACACACTAAGATAATTGTAAAGCTACACACCTGAACCCAAGGGCGTAGGTTTGCGTGGGGACCATGGGGACATGTCCCCACCAATATTTGGTGAGGACTAAAAAGTCCCCACCAAAATGACATGATGTCCCGTGACCAGTGGCGGAGCCAGAGGGGTAGCCAGGGTGGCCACTGCCACCTCTAAAAATATCCTTGCCACCCCCAGTGCCCCCCTCGGAAGACGGCAATGTAATAATGTTAATCTTGAGAATCTTCCGCACTTTTTCCGGCAAAAGCTAAAAATTCCCACGGTTTCCCCCGTCTGTGAACGCACCTTGACTCCGTGGAGCCGGTGCTGTATGCTAATGCTTTGGGTTGTTGGACATGTGCCCAAGTCGTGATGAAAACAAAGAGGTAAGTTAGCGATGCAGAGCCAACCGTTTACATTTGACACAAAGTATTGACACACGTACTGCAGCGCATTACTTGTTCAGTTTGTAGAACTTTTAGTGTGTGTATGTGTGTGTGCGTGCCTGTGTGCGTGCCTGTATGCGCGCCTGTGTGCGTGTGTCAGCGTGCCAGTGTGTCTGCGTGTGTGTGCGTGCCTGTGTGTGCCAGTGTGTGTGTGCGTACCTGTGTGCGTGCGGGTGTGCATGCGTGTGTATTTTCCATTATTAATTGCCCATCGTATCATCGCCCTCTTCCCTTTAGTCTAAACATTAAAAGAAAAGGAGGAAACATTGCCTACAGGCCTTTTTTTGTTAGGAAAAGGCTGTAGATCAGCCTGAAGGTCAGACTCTGAGGCAGTATGTTTTAAGATGATGAGGAATTTGTTGTGTTGTATTAAAATATAGCTTATATAATTGAGTTTCAGAGAATGAGAGGGTGTCGCAGACAGGTGCAGGATCGTCTGTTGGCAGAAGGCGTTTTTTCACACTCAAAAAAAGAAACAGAATAGCTAAGATTATGGATGATGTGCAGTCGCTTGACCCCAAAACGGGGAACGTTTGGAAAGTGTTTCATGAGCTTTTTTTTGAGGCTTGCAAAGATCTTTTTAATACCTGTCAGTACTGCGTCTTGTGAAATAAGTTTCTCTGTCCTAAAACTTATTAAAAACCATCTCAGAACGACCATGGCAGATGATTGAGTCATCTTGGTATCCTCAGTGTAGGGTAAAGGAGGGCTCAGGGCTGAATATGGATGAGTTTGTCAACATCTTTGCTGCTTTACACCAGAACCGTAGGAATTTGCTAAATTTGTTAAAAGAAAAAATGTAATGCAATGTTTGAATGATGTTATTTTGCACTTTTTTTGTTCAGACTACTGTTTAAATACACTTTTTTTTTTTTGCTTTGTAGTTTCCAAGTGCATGGGGCGACAGTAGCTCAGTTGGTAGAGCATTGGCCTTATGGCCAGAAGGTTGTGGGTTCAATTCCCACCTCTGCACCTTCTCCACCGACTTCCACTGATGACTGCTGTCGTTGTGTCCTTGGGCAAGACACTTAACCCCACTTTGCCATAAGCCCCCACTGAAAGATCAAGGCTATGCTCACAGTCAGAGAGCAGCCTCCTGTGGACTCACCACCTGCAGAGGGTCAGTGAGGGGCTGGTGCTATGAGACTTGGGTGGCATCTCTGACTGCCACCCCCCTGACCCAGAAATGGATTAAAGGGTAGAAAATGGATGGATGGATGGATGGAGTTTCCAAGTGTGCTCTCAGTTCACTTTATATTAAAAATAATGACAAGATTAAGATTAAAATGTATCGTTTAGCCAGTTTTTGTGCGAAATAAAATTTCGGAATAGTATAAATGTGGACCCCTCAAAAAAACCCTTGCCACCCCCTGGCCACCCTCTGTTTAAGAGTCTGGCTCCGCCACTGCCCGTGACCCGGACGGTCCGGGACACATGTCTTCCGTTTGTGCACACGTCGCGCCTCCTCCTCGCCTCCAGAGCAACAGCAGCAGCAGCAGCACGTGACCCGTTCCGTTCTCTGCAGTGATTGGCTGTCTTCTTCAGCGCCAAACTGAAGCACTGAGCAACTGTTTAATTTTTAAAAGTTAGCCAGCGTGAAGCAAGTGTTTTTTTCGTTCCCTGAGCGTTGTAGCACGTGAGTAATCAGAGGAAAGTACTGTAGATCTATTACCATTCAAAGTACTTACGTTATTTCTAATCTGTCAGCGCACTGTTTAATGTTCCGAGGAGCTCACACGGCACAGAGACAGAACAGAACTGGCTCCAATAAAGAAACAGGTTGGTTGAAAGGCTGAAAAAATACTTATTGTGCTCTTACTATCCAAAATGTATAAGTGGGTGTGTTGTGTGAATCAGGATAAACTAGGGATGAAAATATTCCACGGATCCACGATTTACAACCTTTATCTGCTGATAATGTAATTTCTGTGAAATGTGTGACAGCGGGCACTTGCTGTTATTTGCTCTAAGCACATTCAAGCGATGCACTCGAATGTGCACGTCCTGGTGCAGCTGCTGCCGCTTTGTAATGACAGCCGCGGCGCTCAGTGAAAGCACAGCTCTAACATGGTACCGAGCTCGGACCATATGCAGACAGAACCATGTTGCAAGTGCGGGTCTCCCTCGTATCTCCCCCGTCTCTCCCCTGACTCTTCCCAAAGCGCAACCAGCGCTTCCGAAATTAAAGCTCGGATACCTAAATTTTCCATTGCGTTAACGATGCATGCTGGTTGTGCGCAAAACACACCACAACAACAGGTCATTTAAGTTTTTATTTTGCATACTTGAGAGCCCTGTGAGTCATTACTTGCCTTTTTGGGTTGAGAGTGGAATTAAAAAAAAGAAAATATAGAAAAATCCACACTGTTACTTATTGCCAAACTCTTGTTAACTCATTGTATTGAGAAATACTATGTAACTTTTGACATTGGCCAAGTTATATAAATGATTCTGCAGTTCATGTATATGAATGTCTGTTTTTGATTGTCTATACCTTCTTATATAATTTAGAAAAAATGCCACCTCCACAAAAAAAGATAAAAGATATCAGGAGCTTTTTTAACAGTTGGAAAGTAAGTAAGAGAAAGCACAAGTAATAGCAAATTATGAATTGTGATGATTAATCTTCTGTTAACATACATAGGAAACTCAACCAACAAGAGAGAACAATATAGGGAATGTTGAGGTAGAAGCAACAGGCCCTTCAGTGCATCAGGTGAGGTTGGAATTTTGTAGGTATGCATGGGACTATGAATTGTTTTTAGAGATTGATCGTATATGTCAAACAATGTAGTGAGCTAGTCACTGTAGATTCTAATTCAATATTTTCTCGTCTGTTTTTATTTATTATAGGAAATTGAAAGATCAGAGCATGATTTATTTCAAGTATCGAGAGCAGTTCCTGAACTGTTAGAGCCTCAGGTGAGGGCTATTATGTAGATTTGGATTAGGTTTAAGTCAGTATAGAATGAACGCAACACAAAACTCAGAAGCTCTGATCCAATTGATTTTGTGTTAACTATTAGAAAAAATCCTTAACTGCTTCTCATTCAGTCTACAGCTGAGTTTAGTATAGAAGGCAACACACTATTGCAAATATAGTGTGTGATTACACAACAAATTCTGGGGGAGAAACTCTGGACCCCGTGTCAATGGGTGTAGACTCAGGTCGTAGTGAATGTCCCCACCAAGATTGGAACCAAACCTACACCATTGCCTGAACCTAATCACACTCAATAATCTCAGAATGACTCATGTAATTTAATTTTAATCCACTAGATGGCGCCAGAATACTCCAAACTGCAGCTGGGGCGTGTGTGAGAGTTGAATGGGTTTATATCACTGGCTCTGACAGACTGACGTCACACAAAACAACTGATGTCATAGAGAACTTCAGAGTCAATGGAGAGGCCAGGACCAAATTCAAATGTAGTACCACCAAAAAGGTTGAGAGGGCGCCACACAGCATTATTTGGCTCAAAGGTGATACTTTATCTAATTTGAACTAAAATGTCAAAAAAATGACCAGCATATGTAGACAGCACTACAATAAACATACTTATGCAGTTTATGAGTTTAAAAAAGTTGATTTGGTGTTTAGTCGCTCTTTAAGTGGAGACGGCAGTTCTTTCCTAAAATATGGGAAGATCCTCCTATAATAGTCCAATATCTTTACAGCAGTCAATAAAAAAATAAAACAAAATTAAAAAACAATTGCCCAAAAATGATGCATATTTCATCATATTACTTCATATTATATGGCATGCTTAATGACCGCTTAATGTAATCTATAAATTATTGTATATAATCTATACAGATATACAACTTGTCCAATGAGATTTAATTTTTTTTTTCTTTTTTTGAACGACTCCTTACTGATAAAAGTGGGTCCAGGACATTTATGGCCCTCTATGTACCAATGCCTCCTATTGCATTTCCATACCCACGTACACACAATGACTCTGTACCAGTTGTTCAGGTTCTTACATTCATTATCTTTATTCATTCTTCCGACACCCTCCTTCAATTTGTCCATAATATGTACAGAAAAATAAAATTCTCTCATTACAGAAAATCAGTGCACATAATGCCACCATTGTCACCATTAGTGTACAATATAAGTTACAGGTTTCTACAACAACAAAAAACAGACAATTATACTTTTCTCCCAGCCCACTATCCACCCCAACGCTAAGAATGTCGTCTAATACTCTAAAAAAGATTTACAGCATGCTTCTGGAAACCTCATGACGTAATTCAATAGAGAAGTTCCTGTACACAAAGACTGAATATTAGGAGTGGACCGACATCACCACAGTGTTAGCCTTAATGCGGAAGAGGCAGATTTGGATGTAAGCTAGCTGGAGCCAATTTCTCTTTAGATAGAAGGGGCGGAGCTACAGGTTTATGCCACAAATTCCTGGTATTAGCGTGACGTGGCAGAATGTTAAGAGCTCAAAATGAAATATGTGTCTCCTTTAAAAGATTATTTTTATTTTGGTCGTTGGAGGTTTTTGAGACACAGCTGCTTGTACCTTGTTACCAACAAATAATAATTGTTTAACCGTATTGCACCTAGAGTCAGACACCGATTTAAGCCACTCACAAATAGAAACCTGGACTTAAATATGTTCTTTTTGATCATCTAATGTAGAGCTCATTCTAGTTTAAACTCGGCGCTTACAGCAGACATCAACAAAGGCCTGCCACACAACATCCGGACAATATTTACAGCCTCTATTCACACCATGTCAGATAAATAAATGTATAAATATGAACCGAAACTAGTTCATTCATCTGCAGCTATCACGACGCTATCAAATCATCATTTACATTATAAGGAAGTTCAATCAAAAACACAGCATTGAGAAGTTTTGGTAACACTTTAGATTAGCCCTAGCAAATTTACAGCTAATGCAGGTGCTAGTTAGCGTACCCCAACCCTAATCCACAAGTTAAAGTGTCAGATGTTGAATAAGGATCAATACGTGCTTAATAAATACCAATTAAGAACTAATTTCTCAAGAATAATACACTAATTAGCACTTGGTTAGCTGTTAACTAGCAAGGGCTAAACTAAGTGTGACCGACGTTTTTCTTATGCAAAAGCTGTCATTGTGATCAACTCCTCTAAAAAACATTCAAAATATAAATATAAAGTACAAAAAGTGTAAACAAACACATCACTATGATTTTGTACAAATGTGAAATAAATAAAAAGGTAAAGAGAATATTTTAAACAGCATCAGTGAATTAAAAATGGAAAAATATGTGTTGTTACTTCTTTCAAGCTTTTTTAACCCTGTGGCTGGAGCGATGCAGCTAATGTACGTATTATTGTTTTGTTAGAGCGCCCCCTGGAGTGTAGGAAGGGTATTGCTCTAACAGCCGTTTATCTCAGAGCTGATGAGGAGAACACATTCCTGCTTCCAAGTGTGTTTATGTGAGCAGAGACAGAGAGAGTGAGAGAGAGGTGGAAGTGTTGTTGAATATGATTAATTATAGTCAAGAGCAGAGTTTATGAACTTATTATTTTACCTCCACCAAGTTGTGGAAAGTTTTTTTATTAAATGGATTGATTTCCCAGAGTTCTTGGATCATTAAATCATGTGTCTAGTGTAGTCCTGGTGCGGTTTATACACTGGTGCTCTTGATAGTCCAGCAGGTACCGTAATCACTGGTAATTATTTAGGGGCAAATTCACATCAGTAAAAAGCTCTTAGCCAACAACATTCCCGATTTTGTGTAGGGCACGATTGAATGGCCACTTCTCAGATAACTTTGCGATTTCTGTTACGATGCCAGGACAACGTTCAAAGTGCAGGAGGAGAATTAAAATGTGTGGTTCTACGTGTTTGTTATTATCGCGTTTCCTGTGTTCTAACCATTTGATTTTCTAACATGTCGTTGGTGAAATCAATCATTAGCACTAGTTTTTGACATCTGCATTTATTTGTGTATTTCTAAGCCTGTTTTAGAGGCCGAAACACCAGTATGTAATGTAAATAATTGCAGTCTTTGCGATTTGCTGATGAAACAGTGACTGATAAAACGAAACATATTTCGTACCCAGCGATATTTAGTTACTTTTTCCTCCAAAGTCTCCATCGTAAGTTCTTCCAAGACTACACATAGACCAGCTCCCGGCCCTGAGCTGCCAGGTCACTCCTCGCCTCTTGAGCGCCCCCTTCTGCCTCAGCCTCGTCCTCCTCGTACTGAATGGGCTTGGGGCAGCTGTAGGGGTGGCCGTTGTCGTCGAAAAACCTCCGAAAGGTGAATTCGTAAAAGGCGTGTTCCGGATGCTTCCCGTTCCTGAACCAGCAGCTCAGCGTGTCGTTGAGGTCGTCCTTGTCGCCGCTGTCGTTGTTCCACAGTTTGTCCGGATCCACGGGGTCGAAGTTGGACGTGTCGGTGGAGTGGGCGATGGTGGGGACGTAGGGCGCCCCCTGCTGCCGGAGGTCGCTGGAGAAGTCGATGTGTTTGAAGAAGGAGTGGTTCTTGATTTCGTCCGTGCTGTTCTTGCCCAGACGGTCCTCGTGGCCGCGGCAGAGTTTGATGATGAGGTCTGAGGCTTCGGGACTCAGTTTGGCGGCGGGAGGAACGTGCAGCGTGCTCTTCCAGTTGATGACCTAGAAAGAGAGGAGAGAAGAGAGAGAGGAGAGGAGAGAGAAGAGAGGAGATAGAGAGATAGAGGAGAGGAGATAGAGAGATAGAGGAGAGATAGAGGAGAGGAGAGAGGCAAGAGATGGAGGTGAGGGGGATGAGAGAAAGATGAGAGAGAGGAGAGGGAGGAGAGAGAGAGGAGAAAGAGGAGAGAGATAGCGGAGAGGAGAGGAGAGAGGGAGGAGAGAAAGGAGAGAGAGGGAGGAGAGAGGAGATATAGGGGAGAGAGAGAAGAGATAGCGGAGAGGAGAGAAAGGAGATGAGGGGGAGGAGAGAAAGATGAGAGAGAGGAGAGAGAGGAGAGGGAGGAGAGAGAGAGGAGAAAGAGGAGAGAGATAGCGGAGAGGAGAGGAGAGAGGGAGGAGAGAAAGGAGAGAGAGAGGGAGGAGAGAGAGAGGAGATATAGGGGAGAGAGAGAAGAGATAGCGGAGAGGAGAGAAGGAGATGAGGGGGAGGAGAGAAAGAGAGAGAGAGAGAGAGAGAGAGAGAGGGAGGAGAGAGAGGAGAAAGAGGAGAGAGATAGCGGAGAGGAGAGGAGAGAGGGAGGAGAGAAAGGAGAGAGGGAGGAGAGAGAGAGGAGATATAGGGGAGAGAGAGAAGAGATAGCGGAGAGGAGAGAAAGGAGAGAGAGATAGGAGAGAAAGAGGAGAGAGGTGAGGAGAGAAGAGAGGAAGGCGAGGAGAGAGAGAGAAGGTTGGAGGAGAGAAAGAGAAAAGAGAGAGAAGCGTTAAAGAGCAGCCTCAAAACAGGGTTAATGCATCACAATTACACCATCACAGTTACAGACGTCAATAACTAGATTTCCAAACTTTTGTGGTAATTATATATATATATATATATATATATATATATACATATACCATTTGCCTGCCATATATACCATTTGCCTGGTATACCACAGGCAAATGGCAACCTCGAACAGGTGACGAGGAAAGCGGCAACTGCCAAATACCTCCAGCGAGTAAGGCAGGTCCTAAGAAGCCGGCTCAATGGCAAGAACAAGGCCCGGGCAATTAACAGCTACGCCCTGCCAGTGATCAGATACCCTGCAGGAATAATCAGGTGGCCAAAGGAAGAGATTCAGACCACGGATGTTAAAACTCGAAAGCTCCTTACCATGCATGGCGGGTTCCATCCCAAATCCAGCACCCTGAGACTGTACGTAAGCCGTAAAGAAGGAGGCCGAGGACTAGTGAGTGTGAGAGCCACTGTCCAGGACGAAACATCCAAACTCCATAACTACATCATGGAGAAGGCCAAAACGGATGACGTACTCAGTGAATGTCTCAGGCAGTGGCGAGATGAGGAGGTGCTGGAGGAGAGCCCATCATGGGAGAACAAGCCCCTACACGGCATGTACCACCGGAGCATAACAGAAGTGGCTGATCTCAAGAAGTCCTACCAATGGCTAGAAAGGGCTGGCCTACAGGACAGCACAGAGGCACTCATCATGGCTGCACAGGAACAGGCACTGAGCACCAGAGCGATAGAGGCCCAGATATACCACACCAGACAAGACCCAAGGTGTCGGTTGTGCAAAGAGGCACCTGAGACGATCCAACACATAACTGCAGGGTGCAAGATGCTGGCAGGGAAGGCCTACATGGAACGCCATAACCAAGTGGCTGGCATAGTGTACAGAAACATCTGTGGAGAGTATGGGCTGGAAACCCCAAGGTCTAAGTGGGAAACTCCTCCAAAGGTGGTGGAAAATGAGCGTGCGAAGATCCTGTGGGACTTCCAGATACAGACCGACCGAATGGTAATGGCAAACCAACCTGACATCGTGGTGGTAGACAAAGGGCAGAGGACAGCCGTGGTGGTGGACGTGGCAATTCCAAGCGATGGTAAGAAAAAAGAACATGAAAAGCTTGAGAAATACCAAGGTCTCAGAGAGGAGCTGGAGAGGGCCTGGAGGGTAAAGGTGACAGTAGTGCCCGTGGTGATCGGTGCACTCGGGGCAGTGACCCCGAAGCTAGATGAGTGGTTACAGCGGATCCCCGGAACAACCTCGGACATCTCGGTCCAGAAATGTGCAGTGCTAGGAACAGCAAAGATACTGCGCAGAACCCTCAAGCTCCCTGGCCTCTGGTAGAGGACCCGAGCTTAGAGAGGGATAACCGCCCGCGGAGGGCCAAAGGTGAGTGGACTATATTTTTTATTATATATATATATATATTAGATATAGAGAGAGAGAGATATAGATATAGAGAGAGAGAGAGAGACAGACAAACTAAAAAGCATTAAACCAGATAAGAATCACCCCTCCTTCCTTTCTTTTAGTCCTTATCTGTTTGAATCTTACGTAAAAATTGATTAGCATCGTTTCTGTATAATTGAAATGAGTCACTTCCTCGATGCTCGCAAATGAAGATACAGTGCCTTGCGAAAGTATTCGACCCCCTTGAACCATGAAGACAAAGGAACACACCAGGCAGGTCCGAGATACTGTTGTGGAGAAGTTTAAAGCCGGATTTGGATACAAAAAGATTTCCCAAGCTTTAAACATCTAAAGGAGCACTGTGCAAGCATTTATATTGAAATGGAAGGAGTATTAGACCACTGCAAATCTACCAAGATCCGGCCATCCCTCCAAACTTTCATCTCAAACAAGGAGAAGACTGATCAGAGATGCAGTCAAGAGGCCCATGATCACTCTGGATGAACTGCAGATAACTACAGCTGAGGTGGGAGAGTCTGTCCATAGGACAACAATCAGTCGTGCACTGCACAAATCTGGCCTTTAATGGAAGAGTGGCAACAAGAAAGCCATTTCTCAAAGATATCCATAAAAAGTCTCGTTTAAAGTTTGCCACAAGCCACCTGGGAGACACACCAAACATGTGGTTCTTCCTCTGGTCAGATGAAACCAAAATCAAACTTTTTGGCCACAATGCAAAACGATCATCACCCTGAACACACCATCCCCACTGTCAAACATGGGGGTGGCAGCATCATGCTTTGGGCCTGCTTTTCTTCAGCAGGGACAGGGAAGATGGCTAAAATTGATGGGAAGATGGATGGAGCCAAATACAGGACCATTCTGGAAGAAAACCTGTTGGAGTCTGCAAAAGACCTGAGACTGGGACGGAGATTTATCTTCCAACAGGACAATGATCCAAAACATAAAGCCAAATCTACAATGGAATGGTTCACAAATAGACGTATCCAGGTGTTAGAATGGCCAAGTCAAAGTCCAGACCTGAATCCAATCGAGAATCTGGAAAGAGCGGAAGACTGCTGTTCACAAACACTCTCCATCCAACCTCACTGAGCTCAAGCTGTTTTGCAAGGAAGAATGGGAAAGAATTCCAGTCTCTCGATGTGCAAAACTGATAGAGACATACCCCAAGCGACTTGCAGCTGTAATTGCAGAAAAAGGTGGCGCTACAAAGTATTTGCGCAAGGGGCCGAATAATATTGCACGCCCCACTTTTCAGTTTTTTATTTGTTAAAAAAGTTTAAATTATCCAATAAATTTCGTTCCACTTCACGATTGTGTCCCACTTGTTGTTGATTCTTGACAAAAAATTAGATTTTTATATCTTTATGTTTGAAGCCTGAAATGTGGCGAAATGTTCAAAGGTTCAAGGGGCCGAATATTTTCGCAAGACACTGTAATGAAATAAATAAAGATTGCTTTCACAGACGAATGACGCACCTTGAGCTGCGTTTCCATCGGTGTCGTGGCCAAGAAGGGAGGCTGTCCCACCACCATCTCGTACAGGATCACACCCACACTCCACCAATCACACAGCTGCGTGTATCCTGCAAACGGAGAGACCACGATCACTATGAACCTGTGCTCGAGGAAGGGGCAGAACATTCTTTCTCACAAATCATACAATTTTGTTAACCACCTTTTCAATGTATGTTTATTTCTTTTTCCTTTAGAATAAAAACTAATCACCAAACAATAAGCTGCTAATTTTTTAAAAGTTCTTTAAACCTTGCAATCTATAGAGTGAAGTATCTGGAGGAACTCTAGAGGCTCTGACCATTAAAATGAGGTATGTCATGCCTATTCTGATAGAGCTGAAGTTGACTGGACTAAACTTGTCAAACTAAAACAGAGGCCCCCAATAGGCCTGACATAGGACAACATACCAGTCCGCAGCAGAACCTCTGGAGCGATGTAGTTGGGCGTCCCGACTAAAGAGTGAGCCAGACACCTCTGATGCTGCCGAGCTTTCCTCCGCTCCAGAGGTTTTAACCGATCAGTGCAGCGACAGTTGGAAGGGTCCTCCCACTCTTTACTGAAGTCCATGCTGTCCTGCCGCACATGGTCACCTGAAACACAACAGAAATTATATAAATAAAATATATATATATATATATATATATATATATATATATATATATATATATATTCTGTATGAATTGTGCTATAGAAATCGATCTTGATTGATTGATTATTGTGACTCCATGAACTGTTTGATTCCCCAATCTGTTGTTGGAGAATAAGCAGCTTTGTTAAACCCTCAGAGACGACTGCTGCTGTGACGTAGGGCTACACACACATAAATATAACGCATAAACTTCAGTACTAACCACTCTGATAGTATTTGGAGTCGTGCGTCCAGCGGAAACCAGTGCAAAGCCCGAAGTCCGTGAGCTTGATGTGGCCGTCTCTGTCGATCAGAATATTGTCCGGTTTAATGTCTCTGTGAATGAAGCCCATCTTGTGCACGCTCTCCACGGCGCAGGTCAGCTCGGCGATATAAAACTGGGCCAGCTCCTCTTTGAAGATCCCCAAGCGGATCAGCAGGCTCATCATGTCGCCCCCTGGGATGTACTCCATGACAAAGTACAAGTTGTCCTTGTCCTGGAACGAGTAGTAAAGCCGGACCACCCACTCGTTGTCGGCCTCTGCCAGGATGTCTCTCTCGGCTTTGACGTGGGCCACCTGGTTCCGGAGCAGCACGTCCTTCTTCCTCAGGGTCTTCATGGCGTACAGAGCACAGGTGTCCTCCTTTCGGGCCAGGCAGACCTCCCCGAAGGCGCCGATGCCGAGGGTCTTGATCCTCTTGAACATGGACTTCTCCATCTTGGCGCGTTTCAGTCGGATGTAGTTGGATTCTTTCTGACAGAGCATCATTCGCATCTGCTCCTGAGCGTCAGGAGATAACCCCACCTGAGGAAGAGGAACAGTTACAAGATAAGTGAAGATAATGAGTCACACTTAGGCATTAATACTAATAAATCTGTTTTATATAGCACTTTTTTGGACACTCAAAGATGCTTCACATATCATTCCATACACGGTGGTGACAAAGTACAACTGTAGCCACAGCTGCCCTGGGGCACACTGACAGAAGCGAGGCAACCCACTGAGCCACTGTCGCCCCAAAGCTGAGAACTTTTGTATCATAAATAATACATTTTGATTCAGAAGGCTATAGACACATGTACATTTTCACCCTATCCAATCGACAATAATTACTAACTATTTTCTGTTTATATATTACTGTAATTCCTTGTTTTCAATTGTCATTTTTTTTACCGCTTCACGACAAAGAACCATTCACTCATTCACTCACACACATTCATTCACACACATTCACTCACACACATTCACTCACACACATTCACTCACACACATTCATTCACACACACATTCATTCCCTCACATTCATTCACACACATTCACTCACACTCATTCACACACACACATTCATTCCCTCACATTCATTCACACACATTCATTCACACACATTCACTCACACACAGAGGGATGCAGGAGGGTCTAAGGACAGTGGATAATTATAGACATCTTATTTTTTTTTTTAAACAATATTTTTTATTGAATTTTAGTAAATATTTGCATAAAAAACAAAACAAAAAGACAAGACACACACACAGACATTGCCAGTCGAAGTTGGTACCAAATGACCACTAATAATAAAATCTGAAAAAATAAAAATAAAATAAATAACAAACTTATACAAAAATCAAAATACAAGTCACTTTTTTTCCAAAAAAATCAATCAAGGGTCTCCATACGTTTTCAAATTCCTCCCCTCTTCCTCTTGTAACATATGTAAGTCTTTCAAGTGCAATGCACAATGTCATTTCCTGTAGCCACAACTTTAAAGGAGGAACATCCACGTTTTTCCAAAATAAGGCAATAGTTCTTCTGGCCAGCAGAAGACCAAAGTCTATTAGAGTGGTTTTCTTTTTACTTACCATAAGGTGCTTAGGGTATATCCCTAAAATACAAAGTGTTGCACAATGAGGAACTTCAATTCCAACTATTGTGGAGATAGTTTGGATAAAAGATTTCCAATATTTCTTAATTTTCCAACAGTCCCATAAACAATGAAAGAGTTCCTTTATCAGTAAAACATTTATTACAGTTATCAGGAATGTCAGGGGTCCACTGATGTAACTTCACAGGAGTCACATAGGTTCTCATTAGCCATTTATATTGTAATAACCTCATTCTAGTATTAATTGTTTGCTTTTGTGCTTTAAGACATGCATTTTCCCAATCGGCTACCTCAATATTTTCTTGAATATCCATTTTCCATGCTTCTAGTCTGTCCCTACTAGATTCTGTATCATGTGACACCAGAGCTCTATAAAAAACAGAAATAAGCTTCTTTCCTTGCAAATTTGACATTACAATATTCTCTAGAAGTGACAATGGAGGTTCCATCATAAAGTTTTTAAACAATGATGACATAAAGTGTTTTAATTGTAAATATTTGAAGAAATGCTTACTAGGAATAGAAAACCTTTGAGAAATTTGCTCAAAAGTAAGCATTTCTCCATCCAAATATAGATCACCAATTGATTTTAGACCTTTGTCTGCCCATACTTTAAAGCCTCCGTCCGCTCTTCCAGGTTTAAACATGGTGTTGCCCCATATGGGAGAGAAGCGTGAGAGCGAAGGGGTGTCCCCAACATGTTTATGGGACCTATACCAGATGTCAATTGTGTTCTTCAGAAATTGATTATTGGTCTGTTTTTTAAGTACCTTAAAGTCAGCTGAGTATAAATAATGTTTTAGCAAAAAATGTGGTACTGATTCCTGTTCAATAATTACCCAAGCGGGTAGTGTTTGTGTTGAAAAATAATACATAGCCGAACGCAACTGAGCTGACCAATAATACCACTTAAAGTTGGATAGTTGTAACCCTCCAGTTTCATAGGGCATGTAAAGCAGCCTCAGTCTCAATCTGGCTTTCTTATTATTCCAAACAAAGTTCACAAGCATTCTATTAAGTTTGGTAAAGAAGCTGTTTGATAATGAAAGTGGTATAGTTTGAAATAAATATAAAAATTTTGGCAAGATGCTCATTTTAACTATTTAAAATAAAATAAAAAATAAAGAGTCATCCATCTATCCAGTGATTGCTGAACTTCAGACATTAAAGGATCAAAATTTGCTTGAACTATATTTTTAATATCAGGGGTGATCCTGACACTCAAGTAAGTGAATCCCTCTTGCGCATTTAAGAAAGGGGTGGTGACTGCAGGATTCAGTCTTTCCTCATCATTTAAGAATAAAATCGAAGACTTAGAATCATTAATGACATAACCAGAGAATTGGCCAAATGTGTTAATTTGCTTCGTCAGATTTGGAAGACTTGTGGTTAGATTAGACAAAAAAAGGATAACATCATCAGCATAGAGTGAGATCTTATGCTCATAATCTAAAATGCGTATGCCTGACAAACCTCTGTCAGCACGGATTGAAAGAGCCAGGGGTTCTATAGCTAAAATAAAAAGCATTGGTGAAAGGGGACAGCCCTGGCGCGTGGATCTTTCCAGTATAATTGGTTTAGAGGAAGTGCTGTTAGTAACAATACTGGCAGTAGGACTTGTATACAAGATTTTTAGCCATTTGAGAAAGTTATTTCCAAATCCAAACCGAGGCAGAACATTGAATAAAAATGGCCATTCAATTCTGTCAAAAGCTTGGCGAGCATCTAATGAAAGCATATCCTTTGACCCTGCCTTTTCACTGACTATGTTCAAAACCCTTCTAATATTGTGAAATCCCTGGCGGTTTTTCACAAATCCATTTTGATCGTTGTGTATTAAATTGGGAATATAATTATCTAAACGTAAAGCGAGAGCCTTGCATAGTATTTTTGTGTCACAGCCCATCAAACTTATTGGCCTGTATGAGGAACACTCTGTTGGAGGTTTATTAGGTTTTAAGATCAAAGTGATCAAAGTAAGTCTTAATGTAGGTGGTAGGGTTCCTTCATTGAATGCCTCTTGATACATATCCATTAACGGAGTTATCAACTGTTTCTGAAATGCCTTATAAAACTCTATAGTCAATCCATCAGGTCCAGGAGCTTTATTAGTATTAATACTATTAATAGCCGTAGAGATTTCTTCTACTGTCAAATTACTATCCAAGTCTAATTTAGCATCTTCTGACAGAACCGGAAAGTCAAGAGCATTGAGAAAAACATCTCTCCCATGCGATTTTGGGGGAATCTCAGATTTGTATAAGCGCTCATAAAATTCTCTAAAACTATTATTAATCTCTTGAGGGTCAAAAGTCAAATTTCCATCCATCATTTTAATATAATTAATTGCCCGTTCTGTCTTTAATTTCTTTATTCTCCACGCCAAAAGCTTCCCTGCCTTTTCTCCTTGATCATAATAGTTTTGCCTTAACCATAGTAAGCTGTTTACGGCTTTATCTGTTGACAACTTGTTATACTTAGACCTTAAAAGAAGCAGTTGTTCTTGTTTACTTAAATCATCTTTCTGATCCAAGTCATTCAAGCTTTTTTATTTGTTTCTCCAAATCAAATAGTTGTGCTTTTTGTTGTTTAGATTTATTGGATGTATAGCTGATAATCTCACCTCTAATGTAGGCCTTAAAAGCTTCCCATCTTGTACAAGCTCCAGTTTGATCTGTATTTAATTCAAAATACAGATCAATTCTATTTTCTATAAATGAAACGAAGTCTTCATTTTGCAGCCAAACAGGTTTAAAACGCCAATTAGAGGGGCAGTGGAAAAGTTTGTCTAAATGAATACTCATAGATAATGGGGCATGATCACTGATTACAATGCTGTCGTACCAACAGCCTTTCACTTTAGACAATAGGTTTTGAGAGACAAAGAAAAAATCAATACGTGATCGTGACTTTTGGAAACCTGAAAAACATGAAAATTCCAATTTAGTCGGGTTTAAATGCCTCCAAATTTCAACTAGATTTAAATCCTCACTATATTGTTTTAAAACTCTCCTTGTTTTTGGCTTACTTGGGTCAGAGCCTGTAGTACGGTCTAATAAAGGATTTAAGGTGCAATTAAAGTCCCCACCAATGATAAAGGATCCTTGTAAAGTTGATAGGGTGAAGAAAAGGTTTTCAAAAAATTTGGGATTGTCCTCATTCGGACCATATACACAAACCAGGTTTAATGTAAGAGAAAAAATAGTACCCCGGACAATGACATAGCGTCCTGTTGGATCCTGGAGGATTTTAGTGACCTGAAATGGTATAGTTCTATGAATTAAAAACACCACGTGAATAATTATTATATGTTGCATACATCACATGCCCACGCCATCTGTTTTTGATCCTCTTAATCTCCGAATCAGTCAAATGACTCTCCTGAATAAAAACAATTTTGGAATTTAATAATTGAATTCTATTCATGACCTGTTTTAATTTAGTATTTTTTTAAAGACCCCTGACATTCCAGGTAGTGAATTTTAGATCAACAATTTTGGATTTTTTGTTTTCTATATGTATACAAAAATTACAATAAGTAAAGTGGCCTGGCTTAAAGTGATATCTGTGTGCTCTGAACACATGAACATTAACACAACAAAACAAACGTCCACAAACATGAAAACATAAATCTTCCCCATCCCTTACTCAAAACAAAAAAATTTAAGGAGGCTAATACCAATCCACTCGAGAGAGGAGTGGTTAAACTATACAAGCAGAAACAAAAGAAATGGGCAGCATCCGCTCAACTCGCATTACAGTGTAAAAAATTGATAGTTTCAACAAAAGTTGTCCACCAGAGACAGGTAGTGAAAAATATTTAGAAAAAATAAATACAATTATGATAATAATAAGGAAAAGATTTATGAAAAAATGATTTTCAAGTAATAATGAACACTTCACGTTTCCAAGATACTACAAATGTTTGGAAGAATACAAAAATAAAATAAAAAATAAATTATTTAGAAAATTTGTAACAAAACACGTGAAAAATACAAAAAAATAAATAAAAACATAATGAAAAAAATAATAATTATAATCTTAACTCTGAAAAAGTTAGATTAAAGGCAAAATAGTGGAAAGTCTGTTATCCCCTCCCTCCCCTCTCCAGAGGGGAGGGTTGAAAGTGCTACTTAAGGACATAACGTATGAGGATCATGGGAGACAGTAAGTGACAACTTCAACAACCAATCAAATGGGTGATTCCGGATATGAAGGGCCTCGTAACTGCACGAGTGAGAGCGATGACAAAAAAAAAAAAAAAAAAAAAAAAAAAGAGTCCGCTCTCCGGGGCCCTTCACTCCCATATACCCCTGACTGCAGTCCGCAGATCGGGGCGGAGCTCAACGTGGGCGGAGTCAAACGTTTGACTCCGCCCACCGCGGAAGCTTCTTTTTTTTAACGGAAGCGTTTTTTTTTTTTCATTTTACCCTGATTTTAATCTTGATCAAGGGTAAAATCATCAAGTTGATGATTTTAAAAAATAATTAATATTTATCGGTCCCGATATGCTTTTCATTCTTCTACTCCTTTGTATATTATGTATATTTATAAACTATTTTTGGTACCATTATTATTGCACCTGATTCTGACCGATTCTGATGTTACACCTAAGCTTGTAATAATATAAAAAGCTTTTGTATGGAACACCATTCATTGTTATTTATATCAGGATCACATCTGGTGTCAAAATGTAAATCTTTGGTAAAACCTGTTTCTTTTTGTCTCAAATGTAAATACCAGCTTACATAATAGTAAGGTTACATAATATTCTATATGCATTCTTGTCTCATAAAATAAATGATACTAAAATAATAGTAATATGATTACATTTCCATGAGCCCTCACAACTTTACACACAACTTTTTAATGAGGTTCAGCTCCCACTGAACTAGAACAGTGAAGTGAAATCAACATGTAATATCAGGCTTCTACTTTTAACTTGTCAAAAGCCTTATTTTTTTACTGTCCATTATTTTTTATCCATGCTGCCTTCATTTAAAAAAATAAAAATTCTTATATAAATGTATCCACTCAATTATATCAGCTACATTAAGGAGAACAGAGACTGAATTGTGCCACTGACACTTCTTAAAACATGCCGAGGTTTGAGGTGGGGTAGCGAGACAGTGGACCCAAGGATGCAGACTTGATGTTTCAAAAAGGTAAATTTTATAACACAAACAAAAGCCATAACCGGAACACAGGTATAAAAAAAATACAAACAAAATCACCAAAAACCACACTAGGAGAACCAAAACAAAGTGAAAATGCAAAGAAATGCAGCATGTGTGAGCAGAAAATTATCTCATTTCAAAGCCGGAAAACACCTGCAGCTGCCTTTTGTCTATCATTTCCTTGCAGAACTCCTCATAGTCTGCCTGCAAACTAAACATGAACATGAACGGTTCACTGAGGTCTTCTTTATACTCTTCATCCAGGCCATCACACATGCGCAGCATTTCCACTGCCCTCAAGGAATCTTCCTTGTTCATGGTGATGACCTGGGGAAGGTAAAGTTTTCCCTTGAAGGATCTTGTGCCACACCACCGTGCTGCCGTTAAGGTGTCCATAAGCAGGGAATCCTCCTAATGAAAAATTAAGAAAATGAATATTAAAATAGAGGTTGAAGAAGGCAGCAAACAGTGAAATAAGAAAAGCTCACAACGGGTAACATACTCCGTTCCCAGTTCCCACTTCCGGCAAGCTCTCAGCCTTTGCTAGAAAGGAAACAGATTATCGTTCTTAAAGGTATAATAACAATGCAAGTTCTAAAAAAGATCAGTAGCTTATTTTAAGTATACTGGTTTATTGAAAATTGAGAAATTACAGCAAAACCAGCTACGTCACATCCCATCTCTACAACCTTGGGGGTTGTGTACAATAATACTGTTTTGAACAATACCTGATGCTTCAGAGACAGATTCTGAAAGCCGAATACTTTTTGGAGGGACCACTTCCAGATCCTGAAATAAATGGGGGGGATTATGCTTTAGTCTGCAAGCAATAGTTTGACTACAGGACAAATTAATCAACTCTCACCCGTTTTCTTTTTTGCTTCTCAAATTGGGGGGAATGTTTTCTCTTGCAGTGTGTTTTGAAGTTTTTTTGGTTTATTTTTATCTTGCAATGAGGACATGTGACTCTCTTTTGTGCTGCATGCTGTGTGGGGGCCTCTGGATGCTGAGCGGGGGCCTCTGGATGCTGAGCGGGGGCCTCTGGATGCTGAGCGGGGGCCTCTGGATGCTGAGCGGGGGCTTCTGGATGCTGAGCGGGGGCTTCTGAATGAGTCTCCTCCTCTTGATGAATTTCTAAATGCCTAACAAACTGCATTCTATTAACAACTGTTGCTGTGCAGTAGCAGCAATGAAAATGGGTCGCCTTCCTACACGTCAACCCACACTTGATCATTGTAAATTCTGTAAGAGAGGAATGAAGGGAACAAGATTCATACATGTGAAAAAACACTAATGTAATTAATTAATTTATGTAATATGTAAGCTAGGCAGGTACCTTTGTGTTTAACTGAAGAATGGCCTTCAATATGGGTTTCAACCATTGTTTTTACACCCTTGTACTTGCAAAATGGACAGTGGAAACTTTCACAAACCTCATCAGTGCATTTTGAAAGTGATATTTCACCATTGATCAGTATGCTGATGTGTCTCTATATTAGAGGGGAAAACAATAGACATAAAAGGCACAGCAATTAGAAACACACGAGACAAAATATATGAAATAATTTTTCATTTCAAAAACAAATGTCATGTCATGGATGTTAACATGCAAGGAAGAGCAATATCAATTTCCTGCAGATTACTCAGATGTAAGTGTCAGATTGTCAAATGCTTATGAATGGTACCATTTCAAATAGGCTTAAATCACATATTAGCATATTGGCTTTATATTCTTACATTATTCTCTATTCAACATGTAACAACGATTAAAAAAGTAACGCATTTTCCCCGCGAAAAGTATATTTCCCCTCCAAAAGTAATAACGATCACATAAAATTTTCTCCCCAAAGGTATAATATTTTCCCAGTACGTCGTGCCGGATAAATATGAATCTAAAACCCAGAAAAGTCGTTTTTAAGTCCAGGTTTATATAATTTTCGCTGCAACAGTAATGCTAGGTATTGAGAATGAGGAGTCACGTGCCGAGTTGGGGTGATTTGGGGGGGGCTCTGAGCCTGTCGGACATATTGGCTGCGCAACGGGGGCACGCCCCCAGAATTTCACGCGCTCCTCATATTCCAGAGCACTTTAAATTATACGCATTTACGTTTTCGGCGAGACAGAGACGGATCTACTGATACAACAAGGGAAAGGAAGACAGTAAAGTATGTTTACATGCTGGAAACAGTACTTTGAATGCACACGTTGTTTTGCAGTGTTTTGTGTCCCTTTGCACTAAGAAAAGTATGACTCTTATGATCATTTTTGCCTATGCTGTGCATGTTTACATGCTGGAAACAGTACTTTGAATGCACACGTTGTTTAGCAGTGTTTTGTGTCCCTTTGCACTAAGAAAAGTATGACTCTTATTATCATTTTTACCTATGTTGGGCATGTTTACATGCTGGAAACAGTACTTTGACTGCACACGTTTGTAACAAAAAAAATATTCATTTCTCAATAAATATTGGTAAACCATATCAAGTTGTTTCATGCATTTATTTAAAAATAAAAGATACAGTAAAGAATAAGGTACTCAAACAACACTTTTGCACATGTTCGTTAAGGCACAGCAAACAATGACAATCTTATCCAAAGGCATTAGGTTTTCACCCTCACATTTGACAAGCATGTGCACAGGTACAGTTGAGTGTAAGAATTTGAATTTGTTGCGCACAACACCGATCACCCTCTCCACGTGAATTCTGAGATGTGCTATGGCCCTAGTCTCCTCCACATCTTTCGCCTCAAGCTGAGCACGACCCCTGGTGAATGTAGGTATTTTCACTTCAGCACACATCATGCCCACATGTTCTCTTATATTAAAGCCTCTATCTGCCAGCACAATGTCACCTGGTAACAGCTTGTTCAGGAAACCACTTTGCTCGGTTATATGCTTGTCGCTTGTGCGCCCACCCCACCCGTTCGATATGAAGGAAATTACACCCTGGGGCGTGATCACGATTAGGTATTTCATAGTGTATGCGTGTTTGTATTGAGAAAAAGTCTGTGCCCTTGCTAGTACATTGGAAGGTTTCTCGATGAACACCTCGAAGCAGTCCACAATGGCAGCCACATTGTTCCCAAATGACTCCACAAACTGGTGTGGCATACTGGTCAATAAGCATTCCCTACTTGGCCAGTGCACCAATGGACACAGCTGTGCGTACATCACACCAAGGGTATGGTGAAAGGCATCGGCGACTGTTGTCCGATGTACTCTAAACAGATGGCTGAGGTGCTGTATTGGAAGGTCCAGTCTGAGGCGCATTAAAGTCAATAGGACAAGCTGGAAGGGTGAGAGCTTCTTCATTCTACCTTGAGGCAGATCTGGAGTTAGGTAGAGTAGAAGTGTCTGGAACAATGCAAAGTTTGGAAGCCCCGTGTAATACTTCACTGTGTTATCATCACCACTCAGAAAGTTCTCATTCATCCGGTACGTATCACGCTTCAGCTGTCTGTTTTCTTCAAGAAGATTGTTGATAACATCTCGTCTAGATGTGCAGAGTCCACATTCCATGTCCGGGTCAGCTGGCGGCTGGTCTAGGGCTGGCGGCGGCGGCGCCTGCGGCTGGTCTAGGGCTGGCGGCGGCGGCGCCTGCGGCTGGTCTAGGGCTGGTGGCGGCGGCGCCTGCGGCTGGTCTAGGGCTGGTGGCGGCGGCGCCTGCGGCTGGTCTAGGGCTGGTGGCGGCTGCAGCTGGTCTAGGGCTGGTGGCGGCGGCGCCTGCGGCTGGTCTAGGGCTGGTGGCGGCGGCGCCTGCGGCTGGTCTAGGGCTGGTGGCGGCTGCAGCTGGTCTAGGGCTGGAGGCGGCGGCGCCTGCGGCTGGTGTTGGGCTGGAGGTGGCTGCCACTCCAGTGGCAGGGACCTGCGCCTTACTTGCCGCTGATATCTCGCTTCATCTGTTTTTTGTACATCATTGTGGCCTAACAACAGGGATGGTGTCCAGTCAGGGTGGTTCTCCAACATCTCATATGCTGGTTTACCTACACGAGAATAATAACAACATATAATTAATATAATAATTTGCACAATCTATGTAATCAATGCTTTAAACTGGCAACTATGTCATGAACAGCATCTCAAGTACTTTTTAGGTCACCTCATAATGTCATATGAAGGTTTATGTACAACAGAATAATTAGATTATGTGTACAATCTATGTAATCTATGCTTTACACTGGCAAAGACCTCGCAGAACACGTGCTAAGTAAGAAACAGCCTGAGAGGGTAACAAAGACACAGAGACAAAGGCACTACAGAAACCATAATAACATATGCTAACCTACACTTCCTAGCTTTAAGAGACAACTACATAAATACATTTTTAGAGAACGTACCAGAGTGAAAATGCAGAGAACACACTCTCGTCGACAGGGGTGTGTGATCGAAAGTAAGGTCCTTTCTTCTAATTGCAGCCAACCAAGCAATCCGACGTCTCCTTGTCAGGTCAGAGAATTGCTCCCCTTGATGCTTTTTCCATTTCGGTAACCTAAAAAACTGTATCCCGTTGTTACTAGGTTTTCCATATCCATCGTGGGAGGTATTGGAGCAGTTTTTAACGCAGCAGTTATTTCCAGGCATGATAAAACAGTGCGGAATAGCAAGAACCTCGGCTACTACCGCGTTCACAACACACGTAAACAAACTGTACTGCCGCCACCGGTGCGCAGCCAATATGTCGGCAAAGGGGGGATGGGGAGGGGGGACTCTGTGCCGTGACGTCAACTCCTCATTCTCAATACTAGATTAGAAGTCCAACCGTGCAGAATGCAGATACATACAAGTATAACTTATTTTAAAATAAAAATAATGTTACTTCCTTCCTTGTCGGTAACAAATATAGCAAAGTTGCACGTTAAAACAGAATGAAAAAACTCGCCTACAGTACCTCCATTCTGCCAGCTACTTCGCTCTTCTTCTCCTCTGCTTCCGGGACAAACAGCAGCTTGTTTCCTTCATGTTGGATGTTGAGTTTCTTTGCAGTGTTTATGACAAACTCCCTGTCTTGAAACTTCAGAAAGCGGATGATCACCCCTCTGTTTTGGCCCGGTTTAGGTTTTGACAGTGTGCGATGTGCACGCTCGAGAGTGAAAGTCTTATCGTGGCAGCCCAACCATCTCGGCAAAAGTTGCTCCACGTATTCCAACAAGGGCTGGTTATTTTCGGCTCTTTCACGTAAACCAAATAGGCGGAGATTCTTGCGGCGGCCCCGGGTTTCTAACTCGTCAGTCTTTGATTCCAAAGTGGAGATGCGTTTTATAGCGCTAGCTAAGTCAGCTTTAGCCACTTCCAGATCATCTTCGAGGGTTGATATGCGCTCTTCAGCCTCAGTGACACGTGTTTTATTAGATTCAACCGTGTTCCTCACCTCAACCATACTCTGCTCCAATGCGCTGATTGAGTTGTTCATATCTCCCAGATGCGAGTTAGTAGTATCAAGCTTGCAACCAAAATCAGCTCGGAGAGCCCTTAGCTCCGTTAGCACATTAGCTATATCTGCCATGCTCTCCGTAGCCTTCTCGTGCTCGTCCTCGCGTTGCGGACACACTCTTGGTTTTGACGACGCTCGTGTCACGATAGAACTGTGGCTGCTGGTGTTTGCTGTTGTCTCTGTCATAATCCAATGTCGGGTTGAGACTTTTACTGTCTGTTATGAAAAGTTTTAAGCAGAGTTGAGCGGCGCCTCGATGCTAAGCTGCCATCTTGTTTCGCTGCTCAATAGCGCCCCCCAATTATAGACATCTTTTAACATTTATGGACGTTGGTCTCTGCCTTTATGGACCAATGGCTCGATGTGTTTTTAAAAATTGCATTTCCTGTGTTTAAACGGTTTGATTCTCTGATCTGTGTTGGTGAATTGACAGCTTTGCAAAGTCCCAATTGCAACTACTGTGATTTAGGACTGTACAAAAATAAATTGAATCGAATTGATGTGGCATTATGTATAGCTACTGTCGTCCATAGCCCTTGTTTTTCTAATCTGCTGTTGGTAAATCAACAATTATGTGAGAAAACACAGCTCACAACATTCTGTCTTTATCTTATTGATGCTTTTGGCTGAGAGTGATCTTTAACTTGTCACTTTTCTGTCTGAAAAAGCTGATCTAAAACATGTGACTGGGACCAAACTAAAACGTCTAGTTCTGGGATCTCAAAACAAAGTTACGTACCCCAGCTTTAATCACAAACAAATATAATAATGAAAAAAAATTCTTGGGTGCTTTTTTAGACACTAATTACATAACAAGTAAAATATATACAGTACTTGCTGAACTTGTTCCAATGCATGGGAACCCCGCGGGCTACACAGCGATGGAGTCAATGTTATTTTGTTAGAGCGCCCCCTGTTGATCTCCAGAGCTGATGACATAGCACACATTCCTGCTTCAGTGTGTTTATATGAACAGCAGAGAGACAGGAGGAAGTGCAGGGAAAGACACAGGACTTGTTTAAAACTAAATTAGGGCTATAAAATGTTTAGCCTCAATCACATAGTGGTAATGTTATAGAAAATATTTGTCAGCAGAGAGTTAAAACACCTCGTAAATAAATCCGGTTATGTCCAGTTAAATATTTATAAGTGGTTAAAATGTACTACCTCTGAGAAACTAGCTTGTGCGGTTCATGTACAGGTGCGCTCCAGCAAGTACTGTGTGTATTCTGATAATGTCTTGTGTGTAAATTGAGAAAGCTTCATAACAGACTTCCAACCAACATGCTTTGTACAGACGTCATACGGAGTTAGAGGTTAACCAAAACACATTCTCATTGTCGGTCTGGAGACACAGTGTAAATGTTTACCTTTTAGATGAGCTGAAGGCAAAGAGAAAAACACAGAAAGAAGGAGAAGACAATACATAAGAAAAGATTTAAGTTATAGTCAAGGCAGAAGGACAGACTAGGGTTAGGGACTTTAGAAGGACAACCTCTGACCTCTTCTATAACACACATGTCTACTGCCGTTTTGCAGATTCTATGATATTTGCTTCGTCCCATTCCTTAATTGTGGTTTTACAGATTAGATAAATAGATTCTTCAAGTATATTCGTGACCAAATTAACTTATAATTGGCCTACTCTTTCGATTAATTGAATATGTACTCATCCATCTGATATGTTTTTATGCCCAAACAAAGCTTAAGCAATGCCAATCGAGACCATCTTATTCTCAGAGCCATAGTCGGTTGTTTGGGTAAGAAATGCTTTTTAAAAATCAATTCCATATCACTCACCAGTCGTTAAAGCTCAGAACCGCTCTTTTTGCTCCTGGTGTGATTGAAAAAAATGATTAATTGATAACTTAATCTAAACTTCTCCAGATCAATGAAGTCTTATCTTATCTTAAACTAAATTAGCCGACAGCTGTTTCAATAACCTATACACTTTCAGTACCACTTTTTAATTATTATCTTGGTTCCCTGTACATGAGCATATAGGATCTATTTATGTTCTTGTCTGGTTCACACTGGAGACTATCGCACATGTATTCCAATGGGGTTTTACTGCAAATGGCAAATACACTGAAAGATCTTTAGGTGTGGCTTCTTACCCTCTGCATCTCGCTCTCCAGCTGCTTCCTCCGGCGGATCCTCATCTGGTGGTTCTTCAGGATATTCTCCACGTGTTGCTCCATGAAGAACTTAAACGCTTGCGGCGAGTAGAGCGCCACCCTCCCCGTCTCGCCCCTCCGCTCCAAGTCCTTCTTGTTGCGCCTTAACGGAACCGGCGACGTCGTGATCTGCTTCTTCTCCTTCTCTGCCGCAGTTTCCGAACTCTCCCCCGTTTTTTCCCTTTGCTTTTCCCCAGGATTCGCCTCGTCTTCCGGGGAACTCGCCTTAGCTGCTGCTGGGTCGTACGCAGGAGGACTTGGACCCGCCCCTTGCGGGAGAAGGTGTTTGGGATAGGGAGGGGGCGGGCCTTGGTAGCTTGGCGCTTCCTGCTGTACTGACATCTGCGGCACAGGTTGCGTAGCTTCTGGATACGCCGGCGCGGCTTGGGCTGGGGGAGGCGGCTGTGCCCAGGGAGGATGCGTGGGTGCGACCGCGGTGTGGAGCTCCGGCTTATGAACGCGCATGCTTTTAACCGGCTGCAGTATAGGGGCCTGGGTAATCGCTGTGACAGTCGTGGCGGAAGGCTGGGAGTTACCTCTACCGTTCAAATTGGGGTTTGTGAAAGAATTTGAGCGAACCGGAATGTTTTGCCAGGACGGAGACAGGTCTTGGTTATTGCTGCTCCCCGAAGACGACTGAAGTTGGCTTGAAGAAGGCGCTTGCTGGACCCATGTCTGAGGAGGTCCGACTCCGTACATGTCCAAATTGTGGCTGTTTCGGTTGGACACCATGAGAGATTGAGGAAGATTGCCTCCGTTGATGTAAGACGGTGACGACGCTGGACCTCCTGCCTGGTCTGTCGGGCTGTGGCGGCTGGACTGGTTGACAGGATATGGCGGTGGAGGAGGCTGCCTACTTCCTGAATGATAATCCGACTGCTGGTTACTATTCTGGGGCCAAGACGGAAAGGTGAACTTCGTCGCGCCCGTGTTCTGCATTATGATTGGCTGATGGCTGCCTCTTTGATTCTGCGGTGCTGAGGAGGTGTAGCTCTCTGGCCACCCGTTCTGAGGCACCGGAGAGATGCGCGGCACGAGATAATCCATGTTCCCGGAGTAGCGTTTGGTGGAAGGGTTGTCCCAGGAGGGAGCGGGAGGCAGGGCGCCGCGGTTGGGAGGGGGTGTGACGCTGCGAACCTGAGGGGGGACCGGGGGGTTCACTCTCTGGTTGTTGGATGGATGTGGAAAAGCAGGAGGAGGTCCAGGGCTGTCGGAGCGGTAGAGTGGGTCCGACATCAGGGGGCCATGTCGCGGGGTAAGGGACTCTCGAGACCCCTTCCAGCTCTGCCTCCTCAGGACAGGCTGCTGGAGGTGGGACGAGCCTACAAAACAAATGACACGTTTAAGGCTTAGAAGGAAGACCGGCTTCTTCTTTGACAATGTTCAAATCCAGGATAAAAACATTTCAATAGAGGAATTGTATATTCATCCTTCTTAATGCACTGGGATTATTTATTTGAATGCCTTGTTGTTTCTATATTGTTTTGTTAAGCACTTCGCGCACTTGCGTATGAACTGTGCTATCTTCTGAAACTTGCCTTGCCTATAAGGAAAGCCTATAAGACAAAATGTAGTCCTGCATAATTCACTTCAATTCACTGCTTTACACTTATTACGTCTTATTATAAAAACCTTCTAAGCCTTAAACATAAGGAGACATAATGACCTTTGTACATTGGTTTTATAAATTACATGATGAAATGAATCAAATCTAACTGTAGCATAATAAAGAAGCAAGTATAAATGACGGAATATTCTAGAGCAGGAGATATAATAAAGCTTGAGGGAATCCATGAAAAAAACTTTGGGCCTGTGTGTCCAGACCAAATAACTGTAAAATGATGTTTAAAGTAAAGAAAGGTGTAATATGGAACACACAACATGTATTATTCATGAGGGAAGAAGTCAGGTAACCAAGCTTTAACCCTGTAAAACCCAGACATAAAAATCCTCAAAAAAAAGTTATCTGTGCTATTTTTGGAAAGCAGCATCAATGCCCAAATTAGGCGTTAAACCAAAACGTAATTCTTGTTTTGCCAAAACCGCTGAACTTTGTTGCATGTTAGTTATCCAAAGGTGTGTTGCTACGGGGTTAAAGCCTTTCTTCTACCGTCTTGTGACAATCGGAGCACGTTGGAGAATCGCACACAGACAAAGGAGAAAACCAGAGTGAGTCCCAGAGGACGTTACCTACCGGAGGCTTTCATGTTGGAGCTGCTGGGGTTGGGGGCCATCTGTTCCCTCATGGAGTCCTGGTAGCTCACCTTACTCATGTAATCCAAACCCCCACTGCGGCTGTGGCTGGGCTGCGAACACAGGGAGTTATGTGGTTATTAGTGCAACAATATCTCCAGAGTTTATCATCATACTAATTCATTTGCTACGGCCTTATGGAATAGATTGTTTGATGTCTGTTGGGCAGTTAGTGTCAAACAAAAAGGACGTGGTGATGACCCAAGTCACTTTAACATTCTACAACATGCATGACTTTTTATTTTAAACATGTGTTCTATATTCTTTTTGTGTCTTAACTTTTGATTCTCTGATCTGTGTTGGTGATTTCAATGGTTTTTTTAAGTCCTCTGATATAGACTACAATCGTATGACAACTTGCTATGTCTGTTTTATAAAAGCAGCTCTCCAATCAAAACTGCCCGACCACAATAAAAATACATAGTTTAGCTGAATCTAGCTAGGTCGCAGGGTTTAAAGAACTAGCGCCGTATAGTCTGGAAATTACAGTATGTAACTCAAAATAGATCAACAAAACAATGATTAAAACCAGTTCTTAAAGTAAAGCTGCCAAATGAGGAAGGACTTTCGACTTCCAACTGCACCAGCTCGTCTTTCAACTCTACATACTTCTCATTCTCCAGATAATTGTTTTTCTGGTGCTCAATTATACGTACGCATGAGGTGTACAAAATGACAATGGTAAACAAAGTCTAGTTCTGGCCTCCCTCGTCTCTCTCTGGCCTCTCTCTCTCTCTCTCTGGCCTCTCTCTCTCTCTCTGGCCTCTCTCTCTCTCTCTGGCCTCTCTCTCTCTCTCTGGCCTCTCTCTCTCTCTCTCTGGCCTCTCTCTCTCTCTCTGGCCTCTCTCTCTCTCTCTGGCCTCTCTCTCTCTCTCTCTGGCCTCTCTCTCTCTCTCTGGCCTCTCTCTCTCTCTCTGGCCTCTCTCTCTCTCTCTGGCCTCTCTCTCTCGCCTCTCTCTCTCTCTGGCCTCTCTCTCTCTCTGGCCTCTCTCTCTCTCCTCTCTCTCTCTCTCTCTCTGGCCTCTCTCTCTCTCTCTGGCCTCTCTCTCTCTCTCTCTGGCCTCTCTCTCTCTCTCTGGCCTCTCTCTCTCTCTCTCTGGCCTCTCTCTCTCTCTCTCTGGCCTCTCTCTCTCTCTCTGGCCTCTCTCTCTCTCTCTGGCCTCTCTCTCTGGCCTCTCTCTCTCTCTCTGGCCTCTCTCTCTCTCTCTCTGGCCTCTCTCTCTCTCTCTCTGGCCTCTCTCTCTCTGGCCCCTCTCTCTCTCTGGCCTTTCTCTCTCTCTTTGGCCTTTCTCTCTCTCTTTGGCCTTTCTCTCTCTCTTTGGCCTTTCTCTCTCTCTGGCCTCCCTCGTCTCTCTTGTACTCAGTTATATGCACACATGAGGTATGTACAAAATGGCGATAGTAAACACCCACCTCCTCGAAGCTAGCCCGCGGTGGATCCATGTGTTTCTCCGCAGGATGGCTGGTGCCGTTAGCAAAGGGCTGTAGCGACTCGCGGATCTCCTGTAGAGCCTTATGGTGGGTTTTTTTGGGGTTACTCGACCGTCCCTGCTGCCTCGAATCTTCCAACAGCATCTTCCCACCGCCGCTCAGGTCTGCTTTAGGCGGATCCGAGGGTTTGGTCATGTTGCGGAGGCTGTTTCGAATCTCCTGCAGCATTTGTTGGCTGTTGTTGTAGTTGTTTGCCGGGAACATTTTAGGTTTCATTGGTTCGTCGTCTCCTCTTCTGTTGCCGATCTGTAATGGAAGATGATGGTACATGACACTCACTGAAGCAACACTCCAAAAATGAGGGAAGGAGAAGACGTCACATGGTTTAGTTCTAGTGGTAAAGCATTCAAACAAGCCAAGGAGTCACCAAACCGGTCTGTGTCAAAACAACCTGGATAGAGATATTCAAACTATGTGACCATCTGAATTAGAAATAGTATACAATGAAAATAAGTTGTGATGCAGTAAACCTGGAAATGTTTGCAATGTGTGAAAGTTAGAATGAATGTACTATTATTGTTGCTCAATTATTCGCCAATTCTGCGGTTAAAAGATGGCTCTACTCTACCTGGTTGTGTTTCCATAACACCGAAGTATCTGGTACCGTATCCTAGTAACCTACCAACACCACACCAGTATAACCATGGATTCCAGCGGCACTCTGGCCCGTCAATGTCTGTTAGAACACTTTGGTACCAGCTTGGCCTGGATAGAACCAAGGTGGTACTACTAAAGCACATGCTACCATACAAACAGGGCAGGCAGAAATGCTCACAATCAGAGTAGAGTAGAGTAAAACTAGAGTAGAATAGGATTAAAGGATTCATGTGTAGAGTGGTGAGGGTGCCTAATGCTATTGTACAGTCCCTGGTTTGTCCTTACATTAGCTCAGTCAGGTTCACTTCTTTGGAGTCACTGGCTTCTCTGTATGTGTGACTTGGTCTAAATATGTGAATATGTGATTATTATGTGTGTTTTAACTCTGATCTTTTTTTTTAAACTTTTCTTTCATTATTCTTAGCTATGGATCCTGTGCTTGCATGCGAGTCCTTAATAAAGTATAAATAAATAAAATAAAAATAGAGTAACGTAAAGTAGGACAAGACTAGAGTAGGACTAGGAGTAGGACTAGTGTAAAGTAGGACTAGAGAAAGAGTAAAGTAGGTCCAGTCTAGTCCAGAGTAGGGTCTAGTCTAGTTCAGAGTAGGGTCTAGTCTAGTTCAGAGTAGGGTCTAGTCTAGTTCAGAGTAGGGTCTAGTCTAGTCCAGAGTAGGGTCTAGTCTAGTCCAGAGTAGGGTCTAGTCTAGTCCAGAGTAGGGTCTAGTCTAGTCCAGAGTAGGGTCCAGAGTAGGGTCCAGTCTAGTCCAGAGTAGGGTCCAGTCTAGTCCAGAGTAGGGTCCAGTCTAGTCCAGAGTAAGGTCTAGTCTAGTCCAGAGTAGGGTCTAGTCTAGTCCAGAGTAGGGTCTAGTCTAGTCCAGAGTAGGGTCTAGTCTAGTCCAGAGTAGGGTCTAGTCTAGTCCAGAGTAGGGTCTAGTCTAGTCCAGAGTAGGGTCTAGTCTAGTCCAGAGTAGAGTCTAGTCTAGTCCAGAGTAGGGTCTAGTCTAGTCCAGAGTAGGGTCTAGTCTATTCCAGAGTAGGGTCTAGTCTAGTCCAGAGTAGGGTCTAGTCTAGTCCAGAGTAGGGTCTAGTCTAGTCCAGAGTAGGGTCTAGTCTAGTCCAGAGTAGGGTCTAGTCTAGTCCAGAGTAGGGTCTAGTCTAGTCCAGAGTAGGGTCTAGTCTAGTCCAGAGTAGGGCTTGGTGGAAACGGGGCTTCTGGCGTCAGTAGCAGCTGGCGCTAACATTAAGTGCATTCAAGTGTCTTTCTGAGAGCGGGTTTCGCGGTTCAAAGTTCCCCTTGTGCATACAGTATATCAATCCCACAGCAAACATGTCCAAACCACTACATTTCTTCCCAATGCCTGTAGTTTTGTGCGCTCAAAGTGGCCCAGAACAGGCAGTCCTCCGCGGCCTCCATTAGCGGCTAGGCTAACCCAACAACAGGTTAGCTCCCACTCACAACCCACTCTCTCTGACCAGGTACAAGGCATAAAACTATACTTACAGAGCTTCCCAGGGCGATATGAGAGACAGGATCATGAGTCCATAGTCTGTGTTTGGGTTCAGAGGGTGTGTTGGAGTTAAAATGCCCTTGTTATCCTCGGGCTGCTCGCTTCTGGTGGTGTTGAATTCCTGGGATGTCTGAGTGACAAGCAGTCAAGCTGGAACGGTCCACTTCCGGTACGACTTATCAAAATAAACATGTTCAGACAAATCATGTAGAACCCTACGGAAGCTTGTTAGGTTCATGTTATTTCATGATACTTTCATGAAATAACATGATAAATATCGTGTTATTTTGTGAAACACAACTATCATGTTATTTCATGATACACAACTATGGGGACGACTATAAACTAGCATGTATGGGGGCGACAGTAGCTCAGTTGGTAGAGCATTGGCCTTAGAGCCCACCATAAGACCTACTTCACAACTCCCACTGATGACTGCAGTCGTTGTGTCCTTGGGCAAGACACTTAACCCCACTTTGCCTGAAGCCCCCACTGAAAGATCTCAGCTCCTGTGGACTCAGCTCCTGCAGGAGGATCAGTGAGGGGCTGGTGCTCTGTGACTGGGTGCAGCTCTGACTGCCACCCGACCCAGACATGGATTAAGGGGAAGAAAATGGATGGACAACTATCATGTTATTTCATGATACCAATTTGTCAGAAGAAGCTGACAGCTTCTTCTTCTGTATCTACAGTATCATGTTATTTCATGATACCAATTTATCATGAAATAACATGACAAAGTATCATGAAATAACATACCAGCGGAAAAAAAAACACTCACAAGTGAACCTAACAAGCTTCCGTAGAACCCAGACATAAACATTTGTGTGGTAATTTTTGTCAGTGGGGATGGGTAGGAACAAAAGTTAACATTATTTTAAAGTAGCATTCAATTACAAAATAAAGTATTTCTCTCTTTTCTCACTCTCTGGTCTTTCTTTCTAATAATGCATCAGTTTTATACAGCGCTTTTCAGGACACTCAAAGACAAAGATGTGATTATGTCCTGGGGCACATTGACCGAAGCGAGGCAACCAGTCTGTGCCACCAGCCCCTTCTAACCATCACCAACCATTCACACCAAACTCATTTCAATGTGGGGGAAGTGTCTTGCCTAAGGACACAGTTTAGCACTTTACAGTCACAGCCAACCCACTGTGGCACTTGATGTTCTCAGAGGTCTCCCGTCATAGTGCTAACCATGACATACCCTGCTTAGCTTCAGCGCTCCGGCAGAATCTAACTTTTGGGCTGGTCTCGCTCTCTGTCTCTCCCAGCATCCTCCCAACATTCAATGACCAATTTTGGCAATGTAGCATATTTGTTTCTCTGGGTTCTTGGTACATACATTAGTAAATCCAATAAACAAGTGTCATTTTTTTTGCCATAACCTTTGAACTTAACGTTGCATATTTGTAACCGAGGGTGTTATGGGATTAAAGGGACCGTATGTAACATTATAATCAACATTCTGTACATGTCCCTGTGCTCTCAGGCGACTCCCCATGCTTATTTAGCTGCACATATGACCAAAGGTTTGAAGACATTGTTGTTTACATAATGCATGTTTAGTATGTACTGCCCTAGCCTGGCCCAAACGCTCAATTATCATTTCAATGCAACTTGTACTATGGTGTGGCACGACCAGGCTAGTACTGCCCCATTTTGATTTGATTTGTTTAGAAGTTTTGTATGTCACAGGAAGATTCTGGCAATGTCGAGTTATGTTGTAATTGTAGTGACTTTAATATATCAATACAGATTTATTCATCAATACAAATGTTTGTTTTGAAGTAGAGACATGTCCTCCAAGTGTGTGGCGGTGGGTAAAAGATAAAGAAAATGTAAGTATTCTGTTTATTCTGATCCTTTCCATTGATCCTCAGACTCTAATATAAATGTAGTCAAAAGTTATTATCACAAAATGTATTTATTTCAATATTCTTTACATTTATAATTTCCACATTGACAATTGTTATAATGTACAAAACCCCATTGTTCGTTAAACCGCCACCTGTCGATAAACAAAGATGGCTTCTTCGTCCGTCCCACAAACGAGACACTGTCCCAGAATGTCCAGGCTGTTCACGGACAGCGTCTGGCTCGGCAGCATGTGGGTGGTCTCCAGGCGGCCTTTGCTGGAGTCGCCGTTGAGCCAAGCACTGATGAGGGACTGGTTCCCTCCGGCTGGGGCCATGGCACTGCGGGACATGATGCTGCTGCTCCTGCCTCCTGGACCACAGACGCATGATGAATGTGTATGAAATGGTGCAGCAGTAGTAGTAGTAGTAGTAGTAGTAGTAGTAGTATTTGACTTGCCTTGGAGGAATGAGGGTGTGTCTGGGGATGAGGTTTCCCAATGGAGGAGTGAGCCGTCCTCTGAGCAGGTGAAGAGATGGTCCGGGTTGGTTGGATGGAAGTGGACCTCCCACACTGAGGATGTCAAATAAATCCTCAAGTTGGTCTAATATATTATAATTATATATACTATTAGTGTACAGCCTCAGTCCTGGGTCTACAGCCTCAGTCCTGGGTCTAAAGCCTCAGTCCTGGGTCTAAAGCCTCAGTCCTGGGTCTAAAGCCTCAGTCCTGGGTCTAAAGCCTCAGTCCTGGGTCTAAAGCCTCAGTCCTGGGTCTAAAGCCTCAGTCCTGGGTCTAAAGCCTCAGTCCTGGGTCTAAAGCCTCAGTCCTGGGTCTAAAGCCTCAGTCCTGGGTCTAAAGCCTCAGTCCTGGGTCTAAAGCCTCAGTCCTGGGTCTAAAGCCTCAGTCCTGGGTCTAAAGCCTCAGTCCTGTGTCTACAGCCTCAGTCCTGGGTCTACAGCCTCAGTCCTGGGTCTACAGCCTCAGTCCTGGGTCTAAAGCCTCAGTCCTGGGTCTACAGCCTCAGTCCTGGGTCTACAGCCTCAGTCCTGGGTCTACAGCCTCAGTCCTGGGTCTAAAGCCTCAGTCCTGGGTCTACAGCCTCAGTCCTGGGTCTACAGCCTCAGTCCTGGGTCTACAGCCCCAGTCCTGGATCTACAGCCTCAGTCCTGGATCTACAGCCTCAGTCCTGGGTCTACAGCCTCAGTCCTGGGTCTACAGCCTCAGTCCTGGGTCTACAGCCTCAGTCCTGTAGACCCAGGACTGAGGCTGTAGATCCAGGACTCAGGATCTACAGCCTCAGTCCTCGGTCTACAGCCCCAGTCCTGGGTCTACAGGACTGAGGCTGTAGATCCAGGACTCAGGATCTACAGCCTCAGTCCTGGGTCTACAGCCTCAGTCCTGGGTCTACAGCCTCAGTCCTGGGTCTACAGCCTCAGTCCTGGGTCTACAGCCTCAGTCCTGGGTCTACAGCCTCAGTCCTGGATCTACAGCCTCAGTCCTGGATCTACAGCCTCAGTCCTGGATCTACAGCCTCAGTCCTGGATCTACAGCCTCAGTCCTGGGTCTAAAGCCTCAGTCCTGGGTCTAAAGCCTCAGTCCTGGGTCTAAAGCCTCAGTCCTGGGTCTAAAGCCTCAGTCCTGGGTCTAAAGCCTCAGTCCTGGGTCTACAGCCTCAGTCCTGGGTCTACAGCCTCAGTCCTGGGTCTAAAGCCTCAGTCCTGGGTCTACAGCCTCAGTCCTGGGTCTACAGCCTCAGTCCTGGGTCTACAGCCCCAGTCCTGGATCTACAGCCTCAGTCCTGGATCTACAGCCTCAGTCCTGGGTCTACAGCCTCAGTCCTGGGTCTACAGCCTCAGTCCTGTAGACCCAGGACTGAGGCTGTAGATCCAGGACTCAGGATCTACAGCCTCAGTCCTCGGTCTACAGCCCCAGTCCTGGGTCTACAGGACTGAGGCTGTAGATCCAGGACTCAGGATCTACAGCCTCAGTCCTGGGTCTACAGCCTCAGTCCTGGGTCTACAGCCTCAGTCCTGGGTCTACAGCCTCAGTCCTGGATCTACAGCCTCAGTCCTGGATCTACAGCCTCAGTCCTGGATCTACAGCCTCAGTCCTGGGTCTACAGCCTCAGTCCTGGGTCTACAGCCTCAGTCCTGGGTCTACAGCCTCAGTCCTTGATTCTCTGATCTGTGCAGGGAATGGACAGCTGTGTTAAGTCCTATGACACTTATGTATTCGGGCTATACAAGAATACATTGAATTGTTCAAATAAAGTGAATAAACCACTTACTTTCAGCTGAATGCGCCTCCATGAGTGAGAAGGGCGCGCTCCCCTGCCTCACGTCCCACACACAGAGCATCCCGTCCTGGCCGCCTGTCGCCACGATGTGCTGCTGGTTCGGATGTCTCCCAACACAATGAAGAGGAACTCTGTCTCCCGACCTGAAATGCAGACCTTTGTTCAGCGAAGACCCTCAAAAGCAGCAGCGGCTCGAAGGTCGGAGCGGACACGTACAGAGAGAGGATCTGCGACGGGGAGCTGCCCTGCTGTCTCAGGTCCCACAGCTTCAGTTGGCCGATGGAGTTCACGGTGAGGATCTCGGAGGTTTTTAAGTAGGTGACGGCGTGGATAGTGCTGCTGTCCGCATTCTCTGTTGGAATAGAAAGATAAAAGTCAGATCATCAAAGCACATTCACATCCATAAGTACCGCAATTAATGGTCTAAACATAAACCTTTCTTCGTCCCACAGTTTATTTTTTTATTTTTTCAGTAAAGCTGCACTAACTGACTTAAGTAGCACAGATTTGTCATTTAATTTTAGATCGAGTTTTTGTGAAACAAGGAAGAGAATATGTTTTGGGTCCAGATTGTGACCAATCACAGCGGACCACTGGCCCCCGCTGTGGTTAACACAGACAGCTGAGGTAAACAAGCGGCGGAGCTAACCTGAAACTTCCCGTGTCTTTGTTACCGGTTACTGCTTGCTCGGCGAAACAGCCAAAAGAAAATCTCGTCCTCCCCGCGCTTCCTGGTTCTATCATTCTATGGTCACGGCTTCCACGTGCCAATGTGCGATCCATATTGTGAGACGTGAGCTCCGTATACAATTAGCTAGCATGTGAGCGCAGGCTGAGGGGATAGTGTAGTGGGGCGAGCAGAGAGAGAGAGTTCACCGCTCACATTCGAACATTTCTCAAAGTCAGTTAGTGCAGCTTTAACGTACAAAATACATTACAACATTTTCATTCATAGCAATCATACAATAACTACATGAACGTCCAACCAGTACACCATGAACATATGTGTAGTTCTATGGTGACATCACTCTGGTATGGTGACATCACTCTGGTATGGTGACATCACCCTGGTATGGTGACATCACTCTGGTATGGTGACATCACTCTGGTATGGTGACATCACTCTGGTATGGTGACATCACCCTGGTATGGTGACATCACTCTGGTATGGTGACATCACCCTGGTATGGTGACATCACCCTGGTATGGTGACATCACCCTGGTATGGTGACATCACCCTGGTATGGTGACATCACCCTGGTATGGTGACATCACCCTGGTATGGTGACATCACCCTGGTATGGTGACATCACCCTGGTATGGTGACATCACTCTGGTATGGTGACATCACCCTGGTATGGTGACATCACCCTGGTATGGTGACATCACCCTGGTATGGTGACATCACCCTGGTATGGTGACATCACCCTGGTATGGTGACATCACCCTGGTATGGTGACATCACCCTGGTATGGTGACATCACCCTGGTATGGTGACATCACTCTGGTATGTGACATCACCCTGGTATGGTGACATCACCCTGGTATGGTGACATCACCATGGTATGGTGACATCACCCTGGTATGGTGACATCACCCTGGTATGGTGACATCACCCTGGTATGGTGACATCACCCTGGTATGGTGACATCACTCTGGTATGGTGACATCACCCTGGTATGGTGACATCACTCTGGTATGGTGACATCACCCTGGTATGGTGACATCACTCTGGTATGGTGACATCACCCTGGTATGGTGACATCACTGGCCCCTACTGTCACTGCACTGCATGTATATAACAGTACTTTTAAGTTTTATGAAGATTTTTTATATCTATAGATAGCCTTATATCTATATTTACTATCAGATCTCGTTTGCACCTTGAGCTAAAGCAAATCTTAGTTCCTAGTTTCAATTAAACCCAATGGAGTCAATGGCTACGGATAATGAATAATAATATAAAATAATAGAATTATAATAATTAGAACGTTTTTTTGTAAATAGGTAAACAATCTGTATTTATATAGCACCTTTCACAGACTTCAGTCACAAAGCTTTACAATTGTTTTGGGCATTTGTCTTGATTCTCTGATCTGTTGTTGGCGAATCAACAGCTTTGTAAATTCCTGTTAATAAATTGAATTGAATATCGGACGATCACAAGATTTTGCCAGAACCTGTTTTTATTTTTATTTTATCCAGATAAACCCAACAGTCTTGCGAGAACTGTAAGTAACAAGAAGTTGGAACAATTGTGCGGCCGCTGAGTGAAAGTCTCACCAATAACTCGGGTCACGGTTTCGTGGTCGGCTCTGAAGGTGATTATTCTCCCGTCTTCTCCGACCGTGACGACCTCTGGACTGCTGCACACGACGCCGGTGCAGGGTGCGTTGTCACTGGGGTAGTTGTGTGCGTGAGTCCAGCTGTGAGACACGGATAAAGTCTGGAACAGTGAGAGAATACGAAGTCCTTAAACCACAATCAGACCGAGACTCAGGTTGGGATGAGACCAAATATCCACCTGGTTGTTTGGATGATGCCGGAAAATAGTAACTGCTCCTGTCGACGACGCTGTGACCATTCTCTCTGGATCCAAAAACTAAAAACATGACAAAAGTGTTTTAAAAACTTGGATACATTGCTTTCTTTTTGTAACAGGGAGGGACCAGAGAGGGACCAGAGAGAGAGACCAGAGAGAGAGACCAGAGAGAGAGACCAGAGAGAGAGACCAGAGAGAGAGACCAGAGCGAGAGACCAGAGAGAGAGACCAGAGAGACCAGAGCTAGAGACCAGAGAGAGAGACCAGAGAGAGACCAGAGAGAGAGACCAGAGAGAGAGACCAGAGAGACCAAAGAGAGACCAGAGAGAGAGACCAGAGAGAGAGACCAGCGAGAAACCAGGGAGAGACCAGAGAGAGAGAGACCAGAGAGAGAGACCAGAGAGAGAGACCAGAGAGAGAGACCAGGGAGAGAGAGACCAGAGTGAGACCAGAGAGAGACCAGAGAGAGACCAGAGAGAGACCAGAGAGAGAGAGAGAGAGACCAAAGAGAGAGACCAGGGAGAGAGACCAGAGAGAAACCAGGGAGAGACCAGAGAGAGAGAGAGACCAGAGAGAGACCAGAGCGAGAGAGACCAGAGAGAGACCAGAGAGAGAGAGACCAGAGAGAGACCAGGGAGAGAGAGACCAGGGAGAGAGAGACGAGGGAGAGAGAGACCAGAGAGAGACCAGAGAGAGAAACCAGGGAGAGGGACGAGAGAGACCAGAGAGATAGTTTTTTGTGTTGGCAAACGGCGACGCGAGTGTGCTTTTGATTTATTATAATTTTGTACATTTTCATATTTGCTTTCCAGTTAGTAGAATAGTATTTTTTAAGCTCGAAAAATTGATAATAACCTATAATGTTTAAAACGTTTTTTTTTGTGTTTGCCCGACAAAGTTTAATAAGAAAGTAAAGATTTATTGTAGTGGCGATTTGTATAGCTCCGACATTTATAAACAAGTAAATTGCGAGTTTAAGTCCACCGGGTTGTTCGCTATCAGGCCACAGTGGTGTGTGTGTTAGGAGTGTGTAAACGAATATTTTGTGTCTATAAGTTGTGTAATATCCTAAGTTTTACCATTTTGTGTTTTGTTAGTTCTACGGCGTTACAGTAAACATTTGTTATAAGCCCCCGCTGAAAGATCAAGGCTGTTTCCCCACTGACATAGCAGCCATCTTCCTGTGGACTCACCCCTGCAGAGGATCAGAGGGACTGGTGCTATGAGCAGTGGGTGGCAGCTCTCATTGCCACCCCCCGACCCAGAAATGGACAAAGGGGTTGAAAATTAAATGAAATGTGTTATAAGAACTCTCTACCCTTCTTCCCTCATGCAGTTTTCTCACCCAACAGAAAGTCTTGTAAAAGTGAAATGCTGTGATTAACGCAGACAAGTTTGAAATAACTTGTTTTTTGATAATGACGAATGTTCAATAAAGGCTTAATCGTTTCTAAATATTGGGTAAAGGGCTTTGTGATTAAAGCTGGGGTACCTTTATTCTGAGATCTAAATACTAGTTGTGGTTCCTCTTGGTTTCATGTATGTTTGGTCTGAAAAAGCAGGGACCACTCTCTCAATAAGATGAAAGGGTGAATACGTTGTGGCCCGATCTCACTTGACATTTTAAGTGTAGAATAAAAGCCTTAGAATCCAGAAGGGCAGTAGAACAGGTCTAAATGCTGCTTGCACACGGGTTACAGAGCTTTTTAACAACACTGAAGATGAAACTAACCTGCAGATCCAGGACGTCGCCGTCGTGCCTGATTTCACACAGGAGCTGAGGGTCTCCTTCGAACCCGTCGTCCATATCAGACACTCCATTACTCCCAATGGTCCAAATGGAGACCTTGTTGTCCTGTGGCAGACATAGAGCAGGAAGAGGCAAATGTCGTTACTATGGTGTAGGGTCGGAGTGTGTTTGGGCCTGTGTGTGTGTGTGTGTGTGTTTAGTGTTGTCTGTCTTATACCATCGGTGGTAGTATTGTATAACTGTTGTAATGTATTGTCGTATTTTCAAGAATTCTACTGCATGATATTGTTAAACACTTTGTCTGATGGGGTTGGAACCCAATAAGCATTTGCTTCATCCAACTCCTTTTCGAACCAGGTACGGGTTATCTGTCTGCTATATTAATATATGTAAAAATGTGTATTGTGCATGGTTCGAAATAAATAAATAAAAAAAAAAATAAAAAAAATATCACAGACTCAATGTTCAGATACAGTGGTGGATTTAATAATAATCAATATTTGTTCAATCTTGGTTTCCAGACGCTCAAAGTCTCTTCACATGTCATTATCCATTCACATCCACAGTGGTGATAAACTACTAGCCACAGCTGCCCTGGGAAACACTAGGCAATGTGGGTGAAGTGTATTGCCTAAGGACGCAACAACAGTTTGGCACTTTACAATTGGATGTATTTCTGTGGAATATTGAAAAGACAGCGTGATGTCCAAGGATACTTTTGAACATAATGTAAAAAATAGCGCAATAAGATGCAATTGCTGTCGCCGAGTTTAGTTTTACTTATAATAACAAAATCACTAGAACACACGTCATCACCAGACCGGAAATGGACAGGTTGATCCAACTAATACTTTTGTTAGTAACTTATACATCAATGCTTTTAATATTTTGTATGGATGGCCAACAGCAGAAACACAATACAGTATTTGTGTGTATGCATATGTAATGTTACTCATGTGGTATTATTTATTTCGATTCAGGACATGACAATACATTACATTTCATATCATATCATATCATTGTATCGCAAATGAAGTAGTAGCAGTATGTATGTATGTATTTGTGTGTGTATGTATGTATGTATGTATGTATGTATGTATGTATGTATTTGTGTGTGTATGCATGTATTTGTGTGTGTATGTATGTATGTATGTATGTATGTATGTATGTATGTATGTATGCGTGTATGTATGTATTTGTGTGTGTATGTATGTAGTTGAGTATGTGTGTATGTATGTATGAATGTGTGTGTGTGTGTGTAGTTGAGTATGTATGTGTGTATGTATGAATGTGTGTGTGTGTGTGTGTATGTATGTAGTTGAGTATGTGTGTATGTATGTATTTATGTGTGTGTGTATGTATGTATGTAGTTGAGTATGTGTGTATGTATGTATTTATGTGTGTGTGTATGTATGTATGTAGTTGAGTATGTGTGTATGTATGTATTTATGTGTGTATGTATGTAGTTGAGTATGTGTGTATGTATGTATTTATGTGTGTGTGTATGTATGTATGTAGTTGAGTATGTGTGTATGTATGTATTTATGTGTGTATGTATGTAGTTGAGTATGTGTGTATGTATGTATTTATGTGTGTGTGTATGTATGTATGTAGTTGAGTATGTGTGTATGTATGTATTTATGTGTGTGTGTGTATGTATGTATGTAGTTGAGTATGTGTGTATGTATGTATTTATGTGTGTGTGTATGTATGTATGTAGTTGAGTATGTGTGTATGTATGTATTTATGTGTGTGTGTATGTATGTATGTAGTTGAGTATGTGTGTATGTATGTATTTATGTGTGTGTGTATGTATGTATGTAGTTGAGTATGTGTGTATGTATGTATTTATGTGTGTGTGTATGTATGTATGTAGTTGAGTATGTGTGTATGTATGTATGTATGTGTGTGTGTATGTATGTATGTAGTTGAGTATGTGTGTATGTATGTATTTATGTATGTATGTATGTATGTATGTATGTATGTATTTGTGTGTGTATGTATGTAGTTGAGTATGTGTGTATGTATGTATGAATGTGTGTGTGTGTGTGTAGTTGAGTATGTATGTGTGTATGTATGAATGTGTGTGTGTGTGTGTGTATGTATGTAGTTGAGTATGTGTGTATGTATGTATTTATGTGTGTGTGTATGTATGTATGTAGTTGAGTATGTGTGTATGTATGTATTTATGTGTGTGTGTATGTATGTATGTAGTTGAGTATGTATGTATTTATGTGTGTGTGTGTGTATGTATGTAGTTGAGTATGTGTGTATGTATGTATTTATGTGTGTGTGTATGTATGTATGTAGTTGAGTATGTGTGTATGTATGTATTTATGTGTGTATGTATGTAGTTGAGTATGTGTGTATGTATGTATGTATGCGTGTATGCATTTATGTATGTAGTTGAGTATGTGTGTATGTATTTATGTGTGTGTGTGCATGTATCTATCTATCTGTCTGTCTTTACCAGAGCACACTAAAGGCAGCATGATTCCAAACTGAATGACTTTATTGCTCACTAAAGTACTAAACTAACCTCGTTGTCCCATGAGCCAGTGGCAAAGACCTCCGGCTGCTGCAGATTGGCGTGTGACACAGGTCTCCATCTTGTTTTGCTGATCTTCTGAGACACGTACTTTGCTACAGTTCCATCCATGACAGAAAGAACTTGAACGTCTGCTTTAATGTTGTAGTAGCAGTGTGTTAGCTTAGCATGCTACTCACGCGCCCGGAGGTTTGGAGACGTTTCTTCTGTGGTTTTGCTCAGTAGTGTGTCTCCCCCTTGTGGCGATACATCAGTATGACACATAATAAAACCACGGAGAACTTTCTGTGTGGCGTTTGCATGTTCTTCTCGTGTCTGCTTCTAACCTACAACGTTTGTTTCTGGTTAAAACTAATCAATAGAAAAAATATATTTTGTAAAGGTACAAATAATGCACATATAGACACACAGACGTAAAAAATAAAAATAAATTAAAAATAATAATTGTAAACCGCTTTGTGACTCTGGTCTGTGAAAGGCGGTATATAAATAAAGATTACTTACTAACTTACATAGCATTTGCAAACATTCCAATCTACTCAAACTGCGTTTTTGTCTCCATGACAACCGTTCCTCACTTCCGGTACCACCAAAGTAAAAGCGGAGATAAAAAATAATAATAAATGAGATACTAAGTTAATTACAAAACGCCTGAGGGCAGAACTTTTATTTTCCTTTGTCATTGCATTTGAATGAACATAATATGTATATAACATAATATAATATATACATACACAGGTGACACAGTAGCGCAGTGGTTGGCACTTTTGCAACACAGCAAGAAGGACCGGGGTTGGATTCCACCTCCAGTTTGCATGTTCTCCCCATGTCTGTTTAAGGTTTCCTCTGAGTGCTCTGTTTTCCCCTCCCACTACAAACATGTGCAATAGATCTGAATGTAATGAGAGAGAGAATCAAGAATGGAAAAATGTTCAGTACTCCAAATTGTAAAGGACTTGTGTGACCTTGGTCTGCTGCTGTATAAATAAAGATTACTGACACACAGACTTTCATTTATATTGTAATGTCATATAACCCTTCTGTGGTAGTATCTTAAGTGGTGTCTTATCTTCAGTAAACATATAGGGATATAGTTTATCACCACAGAATGACCATGTGAAGGTGCATAAATGTGTTCCTTTCTCTGCATCATAAAACAACAGCTTTTCCCCATCAACACTTAGACCGACTCTGATCTGCTGCGGACGTGTTCTGGGGTCAACATTAAGAAGAGTCAATTCCCCAGATTTGGTTTCTGCAGAGTACGTGCCTTCACAATAACACAATCTCCATATTTGAGTGAGATAAGCGCCATCCGGACTTTCAGCCACCGTCGCTACTCCCAAACCCCAGTTTTCATTGTCTTTCACTTCTACCTCCCAGTGACGAACCCCATGTGTGAACCCTTCTGAGCCCAGGACACAATAGTAGCTCAGCCTCTCCGGGTTTTCTGGAAGTTTTTGCATTGACTTTGCAACACATACAGTCGTCAAATCATCGGATACTACGAGACGAGCCCCAGCTGTGTTTGGATCCAAAATAAACTGTCTGTAAGTGACTGTGTCCTTCATTTTCATCCATATTCTTTGACCAAGATTCAACAAATGTTTGGCTTCATCTATCAGAGCTCTGGCGCTAATCTTCTGCCCATCCACAGAATCAAACTCTTTCATCTTGTCCACCTGTTCCACAATGTCCTTATAATTGCTCAAAAACCTGACATCTCCGGCCTGCACCTCCCCGGCTAAAGCTTCAATTGCTTTTCTTAGAGATAGAATGTCTGTTGTTATGATATCTATCTTTTCAGTAATCTTGCGCATCTTCAGGGTCTTCTCCTCTCTCAAAACTGCCAACCTTTCCTGTTCCTCTTTGCGTAAAAACAAGTAAAGCTTTGCGAACTCCTCTTGTATTTGCGTTTGCGTTCGAAGCGCCTGGACGTCTAAATACTTGCTTAATTCGCCATATTTCTTGAGTTGAATTTCACGCTGCTTTAGCTTGTTTTTCAGCCGTTTATTTTCTTCACAAAGCTCCTCTCGGTAGTCCTGCGCAGCCTCATCTATGGGTTTAAATGTGTGATTGTTGTGTGCTTTGGAGGCCTGACAAACGAGACACACAGGCTGCAGATGGTCCAAGCAGAAAAGTTTGAGTTTTTCCAAATGCAAAGTGCAAAGAGGAGTGGCGGCTACGTTGGCTTTCTGCTCTTGGAACGCCTCACAGAGCTTTCTCAGCGCCAGGTTCGACGGTAGATTGTTGACGTCGGCTCGGACATGTTTTTCTTTGCAGGTGGGGCATTCCTTTGTGGCTTTGTTTGTCCACCAGGTCTCCAGGCAGACTTTGCAGAAGCTGTGGCTACACGACAATATCACTGGGTTCTTAAACATGTCCAGGCAAATCTGACACTGAAGCTCCTCCTCCACACCAGAGGCCATGTCTCCCTGCAAACAAAAAAACAATAAATCCACTTTTTAATGAACACAATTTCACACATTTTATTAGATGTTTGTGGCTAGCATTCTGAAGAAGCAAAAGAAAATAATTAAAGCCGCAAGCGGCGTCGAACGGCCCTTGCCGCACCGCGCGACTCCCCCGCACCGCGCGCACTACCCCGTGACAAGCCACCCCGCACCACGCCGTCCCCCATCACGCCGTCCCCCATCACGCCGTCCCCCATCACGCCGCCCCGCACCAAGCCACAACGCGCCGCTCCTAAACGCCCCGCACTACGCCACACCACACCGTACCACGCAGCACCGCTCAAAGGAGGTGGCGCCGCCGTGTGATGATTTTTTTCCGTAGCCACAGAAGATTGTTAGTCAAATTGTAATGAATATGATAAGTAGAGCTGGTTTGGCTCCCCATGTAAACTTTGACTCAGTCTGTAGGGGGCGCTAATGGGCCAATTTCAAATATTTCACTTTCACCTGACCTAAACCCTGGAGTTGAACAATGGATTCAAGTTTAATGCAAATCAGACTTTGTTTGTGCAAACGGGAAAAAATTAATGTTGTCAAAAACGGCAGAAAAAAACTTCCCATTTTGCCGCTCCGCTGCTCAAACAACGTTTCACTGATCACAATTCCCTGAGGTCATTTTGAAGATAAATGTGTTTAGATCATTTGGAGCAATTTTGAGGCCAATCGGTGAAACGGTCGAGGAGGAGTCGCTTTCCAACCGACATGTATGAAAAATTTTGCTGTTCATTTTTCCATTTTGCAGTGAAATTTATGGGCTTCCTGTTTGTCAGAGGGCGGGGCCATAATAATATTTCTTTCTTGTCTTGACTTGAGGAACATGTGTACCGAATTTCATGACTCTACAACAAACTTGATCTTCAGAACTCCCACAGGGGTATTATTTTGGCTGTTGTAGGTGGCGCTGTTCTGTCATTTTTTGAGTCCCATAAAAATAAACACCAAAATATAAAATTTTTCGCCAGGTCTGATTTTTGGGGAAAATTTAACAACTTTTCATGCATGTTCAAGCGGTCAAATTAAGGCTCAAAGTGCAGGAGAAAAAAGAAAGAAAGAAGGAATTTTTTTTTTTCGACGTCTCGAGCAAAAACAATATAGGTTTCAATGGCACGTGATACATCATTTTAAAGCGTTTGAGTTTACGCACGCAACCGTCATGTTTTGGTGAGTGACGGGCGCTGACGCGTCCGTCACTCACCGCCACCATTTGTTTTCCCCATTGAGAAAGCAATAGGCCCTTACCCCGTTCGGGGCTCGGGCCTAATTATAAGAATAATTAAAAACTCGCCTGTTTTTGGCGAGTTGTTAGCTTAGCGTATTGTTGTATTGTATTGTATTGTAAGAAGAAGAAGGCCCCTGGGTTTAAGACCACAGAGAAGGCCCTGTGCTCTGGGTTTGAGACCACAGAGAAGGCCCTGTGCTCTGGGTTTAAGACCACAGAGAAGGCCCTGTGCTCTGGGTTTGAGACCACAGAGAAGGCCCTGTGCTCTGGGTTTAAGACCACAGAAAAGGCCCTGTGCTCTGGGTTTAAGACCACAGAGAAGGCCCTGTGCTCTGGGTTTAAGACCACAGAGAAGTCCCTGTGCTCTGGGTTTCCCTGTAACTGGTTTTCGCTGAAATGTGGCAATCTTATAAAGCTAGCTTAGTCGGAAAGGCATGTTTATTTGTATAGAACAGTTCATACACAAGGCTACTCTCAAAGTGCTCAAAGCTAGAAACAATGGCACATGGCATAAACACCATAAATAATTACTGAACATTAAAGAGAGTGAAGAATGAGGATTCACAGAAATGTTTTAACCTGGATTTAAACATTGTCAGAGTTGAAGCCTGTGTCACATTTTCAGGAAGATTTTAGCTGCATGAATCTGAAAGGCTAGATGTGTCAGTCTATAGGTTTAAGCTATGTAAATACAGTTTACGCTGTAGTTTACACATTTACAGTGTGTGATTGCACATAAACAGAGTACTTACAGACAGAGTGGATCAAAGTTTGTCGTCTATTCTGAATTTAAGATATTTTCTCCGAGTTGAAAGAGAACTTTAGACCTGAGATTCGAAAGGACAAGCTTCCTGTTCCTTGTTCCTGTGTAGAGGGAGTGTTCATCCATAAAACTAGGAATTGCACAATGGCAGAGGTCGTTGTGAGTGACTGCACACAACACACTGAAACCAAGTACTATAAAACAATAGGTCAAAAACTGAAAAGTCCCTTCATAAAATATAGGAAAATGTACGACTTGTAGCATTACAAATACTGCAAATACTACAAAAAGTAGAATTACATAGAGCAGAATTACCAAAAGTAATGTGACCTGGGTACAATCTGGGCAATGTTGTACTTGTCAATAATATTAAATTGCATTTTAACCCAAAACTAAATAGTGTTTTTTTTTTTTTTTGGAATACTATGCCACTGAGAGATAGAATCTGCACAAATAGAAGCTGCCTCGAAGTGTTGTTTCTTTCTGGTAGAAGAGGCAGAAGCAGCACTGAGTCAGACAATAGTACATTTTACAGATGGACAGACTCCATTATGTAGAGTTTGTTAAAGATGTGGAATATAACAGTTAAGTTCATGTTCAAACCAAAAGCTCACCTGACCTCACATCAAAAGCTATATTGTATTTATATATATATTTGGTGAAAGGCAAGGCAAGGCAAGGCAAGTTTATTTATATAGCACAATTCATACACAAGGCAATTCAAAGTGCTGAACAAAACAAGAAAGCATTAAAATCATAAATAATCACAGAACATTAAAAAGAAAGATACAAATATAAAATCCCTCAGTTGTAGCACAGTTAAACAGAACTGTCTTTAACCTGGTTTTAAACATTGTCAGAGAGGAGGCCTGTCTCACATCTTCAGGAAGACTGTTCCAGATTTTAGCAGCATGAATCTGAAAAGCTGCCTCCCCATGTTTAGTTCTGACTCTGGGCACTAACAGGAGTCCAGTCCCTGTGCTCCTCAGAGTCCAGTCCCTGTGCTCCTCAGAGTCCTAGCAGGAGTCCAGTCCCTGTGCTCCTCAGAGTCCGGGCTGGTTCATATGGGACTAACATGTCACTAATATATTTTGGTGCGAGGCCATGGAGAGACTTGTAACAAGCAGAGCTGTTTTAAAGTCTATTCTCTGAGCCACAGGAAGCCAGTGCAGAGACCTGAAAGTAACTTCAAAGTATTGTGTAATGCTTTAAAATCCAGAGGAAAAAAAATATTGTAGTGCAACACATTACTTTGACAGTAACAAGGTTTTTGAAGAGACTTTCCTAACACTGATCATGAATATGTGCATTCCTTGAACCAGGGGATAATTAATCATCCTTCTATATGTAACCAGGTGAAGAAATATTCCTTGTTGTAAAAGCTTGTGTTTTATTTTCTTTGTGGTTGTTCGTTATATTTGTTTTTTTTTTAATCAAATGAGGTTGCCAGTGTTATGTGTCTTTTTCGTTGTTGTATTTTATTTAAATAATAACATACTGGACGGTTTCCATAGTGACGCTAGCACACATTTGGTTTTTAACTGAAAGCTGACAGGGCACATTTGCTGTCATGCGACATCTTTCTCAGATTTGTGAAAGGTAAGAAACAATCTGTATTGTTTTATTTAGTTTGGATCATTTGGATCATTCACACTGACACAAATTTTGGTGGCTTATTTCAAGAGAAGTAAGTAGTAGTAGTAGTAGTAAGTAATCTTTATTTAGCTATATACCGCCTTTTCACTGCAGATCTGAGTCTCAAAGCGGTTTACAATTGTTAATTTTGGGCATTTGTCTCTCACTCCACACAGAGATGGGAGCGGGGCCAGTACAGGAGGCGCATGCCAGAACTATTGTACATATTTTTAGTGGTAGGGGAAACCGGAGTACCCGGAGGAAACCTACGCAGACACGGGGAGAACATGCAAACTCCACTCAGAAAGGCCCTGGTCCGACCGGGATTCTTGCTGACCTTGACCTTCTTGCTGAGAGGTGAGAGTGCTGTCCACTCAGCCACCGTGCCGCCTGAAGCATAGCGTTTCTTTTTACCCTGGCTTCATATATAACTAAAATCTCTCGTTACTGTATCTGACAGTGAATGACGACTCCAGCGCGCCCTCTGGTGGTCAGTCTGCAGATGATCTCCGTCAATCTCATTAACAAAGTCTTAAAACTTAAAGACAGCGTACTGAAATGCGACACTGGAGTGAGGACACGGCAGAGGCAGGGCAGCGGTGATAGATCCATGGGTGACAGCTGAGCCCATGCCCCGTGACGCCGCCCCTCTCGTCGGCTCTGGAGGTGGTGCGGTTCCTCGGCCAGACCTTCGGCGCAGGCGCAGCACTGACAGCTGCCGTCTACTTGCTCCGTAAAGTCTGTTTAATAATGGCTTGGAAATCAGGGGGAACCAGCCATGCAGAACTCGTCACCAACCTCCGCAGTAAGTCCCACTCCTAGTCCCGGGTGCACTCGCTTTTCCCCCCCGTGTTTAGTGTGACATGTTTGTGCAGAGTGGAGTTTGGGACGCAGCCAATGCTAGCTGCTAATGCTGCTAATGCTGTGTGTGTGTGTGTGTTCAACCTAGCATTACCTCTCCTCCCCTTTTTCTGCATGAACTTACCTCACTGAGCATAGCAAGCACATGGCTGCATGTCTCTATCTCTGGAGTTTCAACAACATGTGGTTAGCTTAGCGTGTTAGCTTGATGTGCGTCATTAGCAACAGCGCGGCTAACGGTGGCAAGTGCCCAGCCCACCTCCCAGGGATGTGCAGCAGATCACATGTGACTGACACTAGCAGGTGAAATACTGCATGAACAAGTCTGAACTGCTGCTAATACTCCATAGTTACACAGGTGTGACTGTGTTTTACAGACATGTCACTTTACTGCAGGAGAATCCACCATTTGCGTCTGTCATGGAATGTTCTGCACAATATCTCCACAGAGGAAGCTAAATAAATGGCAGACTGTGACTTATAATGGTGCTCATTGTCCATAGGTAAATATTGCGTATAAATCAGACTTTGAGATTATTATCCTGCATCTGTCTCCAGTCAATTAGACCACTGTGATGTCTCTCCAAACAGCTGCAGTGTAGGATTCAAAACGCTGCAGCTCATGTCCTGACCAGAACCAGAACCAGGACCACCTCAAGTACAACCACATCAGTCCTGTCCTCAGGTCTCTACTGGCTCCATGGATCTATTATAATAACGACTGGCTCCTGGGTCTCAGAGAATAGATTTTAAAGCTGCTTCGTTTGTTACAAGTCTCTCCATGGCCTCGTCACATGTTGGTACCAGATGAACCAACTCTAACTCTGAAGAGCACAGGGACTGGCCTCCTGCTGGGACTCTGAGGAGCACAGGGACTTGCTCCTGCTGGGACTCTGAGGAGCACAGGGACTGGCCTCCTGCTGGGACTCTGAGGAGCACAGGGACTGGCCTCCTGCTGGGACTCTGAGGAGCACAGGGACTGGCCTCCTGCTGGGACTCTGAGGAGCACAGGGACAGGCCTCCTGCTGGGACTCTGAGGAGCACAGGGACTGGCCTCCTGCTGGGACTCTGAGGAGCACAGGGACTGGCCTCCTGCTGGGACTCTGAGGAGCACAGGGACTGGCCTCCTGCTGGGACTCTGAGGAGCACAGGGACAGGCCTCCTGCTGGGACTCTGAGGAGCACAGGGACAGGCCTCCTGCTGGGACTCTGAGGAGCACAGGGACTGGCCTCCTGGATAAATAAATAGTGAAACATACCAGACAAAAAATAAACTTACTTTCAGCTGCAGTATGCCTCATCTTGACACATTAGTTAAATGTTTATTTCTTAAAACGTACAATTGGAATTGAAAAAAATCCATGTGATAAAATTGTGATGTCACAGCGGAAAAATGCCTTTTTAAACATAACTTGGCAGTAGAAATAAAAACAAAAGATAAAATGCTAAAAGGATAAACAAAGCTGGACCAAAAACCCTCACAAGAAGATCCCATGGGACCAATGCTAATCCAACATTTTACAAAATGCTATTAAACTTCTGTCCTACTACAGCTGGACACGATCCACGTTTCAGTGCAGCTTGTTGTTATTTATATTTGCAGTCGGTGGTGTGTGGGCTCTGGCACAGGCCCCTGAGGTGACGGAGGGGTGACGGAGGTTCTGCTAAACCCGGCCTCCTGCTGATGCCCAGAGTCAGGACTTCACATTTAGAGACAGCGTTATAAATCTAGACAGTCTTCCTGATAATGTGAGATAGTCGACTGTGGTTAAACGGTTTGGATTGTATCTTCACTCTTTTTAATTCACTGTGTTTATTTATATTGTGTACTATGAACTGTGCTACACAAAACTTGCCTTCCTTGCCTTGAACTTACACATGTGGGTCCTTCTCTAGTGGCTCCGGTGTCATTTGGTTTGTAAATGCTGTGATTCTGTTTGAATTAGGGCTGCACGATATATCGAAAAAATATAATTATCGTGATATTGGCACGTGCAATATCCATATCGAAAAGACGCATGATAATTTTGTTTAATTGAAGACGACAAAACAGACACATCAAGAACCCTAACAAACAAACAAACAAACAAAAAGGTTTATAAATATATGCCTTTGAATGTTATTAATGTTGTGCTTATTTTTAGTTTCAATTTTATTTCAATACAGATTTTAGGCAGAAGACAAAAATAGCGCAAAACAATATCGTTATAGAAATACTAAACACTCTTATCAAATATCGCGCTAATTTCCAGTGTCGTGCAGCCGTAGTTTAAATGCATGATTTTAGGTCGACTGTGAAGAATAACGTTAACATTCTCTCTACATCATGTCTGTTGTTTCTTTTGTAGAAAATGGCATTATTAAGTCGGAGAAGGTGTATGAAGTCATGCTGGGAACAGACCGGGCGCATTTCTCCAGGTGTAACCCTTACATGGACTCACCGCAGTCGATAGGTACGTCCTGAAACTAAAACGATTGATCCTGGAGAACGGGAGACGCAGATAAACACAGATGCAACAGATGAACTTATTTTTTTATGTCATTAAAAGAACATGAACATTACCACTATTTTTAAAACGACATGTGATAACACCAGCATTATCTTGTGTTCTTCAAGGTTATCAAGCGACCATTAGTGCTCCACATATGGTAAGTTTTAAGTCTTGACTTGTACACACCAGTAACATCATATAAAGGTCAGAAGAAAACCTTGTAGTGTCTCTCTCTGGTCTGTCGCTGGTCTGTCGCTGGTCTTTCTCTGGTCTCTCTCTGGTCTCTCTCTGGTCTCTCTCTGGTCTGTCGCTTGTCTCTCTCTGGTCTCTCTCTGGTCTCTCTCTGGTCTCTCTCTGGTCTCTCGCTGGTCTCTCGCTGGTCTCTCGCTGGTCTCTCGCTGGTCTCTCGCTGGTCTCTCGCTGGTCTCTCTCTGGTCTCTCTCTGGTCTGTCGCTTGTCTCTCTCTGGTCTCTCTCTGGTCTCTCTCTGGTCTCTCTCTGGTCTCTCTCTGGTCTCTCGCTGGTCTCTCGCTGGTCTCTCGCTGGTCTCTCGCTGGTCTCTCGCTGGTCTCTCGCTGGTCTCTCGCTGGTCTCTCGCTGGTCTCTCGCTGGTCTCTCGCTGGTCTTTCTCTGGTCTTTCTCTGGTCTCTCTCTTGTCCAGGGATTAAAGAGTTCCGTCTAGGTGACGGATTTCCGTCAAATGAAATTGGTCTGGAAAAAAAAAAAATATATATATATATATAATGATAATAATACACACAATGAAATGATTGATTATAAAAATTGTGAAATACTGTGAGCGTTTGGATACGCTGATAACGGATACGACAGTCAGCTGAGTCTTCCTCGGTTAGAAGGAACAGGCAAACTCCAGGTGCACAGTTGTGATGTTTATTGATGGAAGAGCACAGGTATGTTGCAGGTGAAGATTTCTGTGTATAGGTGCGTATGTGTGTGTGGTCATGTTGTATAAACGCACACAGAACTTATATACACTGGATGGAGGACGGATGGCATGACACACTCGCACAGGCTCTGCTCCTAACACCGTACTGAATAGCTCTAAACTCGGCTACCGGAGAGGGCCCCTGGGGAACTACAATATTCACAAGTGCATCATGGGTAATGTAGTGAGGGACTTTTAACAGCCGCCTCTGTATTTGTAGAGCAAATACACACATACAAAAGTCCACTAGTGTGTGGGAGTGCCCTCGTCGTCGGGCACTTCAGGAAGCTCGACCAGTTTAGTTACCGGGCGAATGTAGTCAGTGTCTTTAACCCTCACTTCTGCAGCTCGCACCACCCCATCGACGCCTGGGAAAACTTTGGTTATGGTGCCTATGGGCCACAGACCTCTGGGGAGATTTCGATCGACGATCATTACCACTCGTCCGACGGCAACGTTGTCAGTGCCGTTCCTCCACTTCTGTCTCAGCTGGAGGCCCGGGAGGTAGTTTTGGATAAAGCGTCTCCAGAAGTGGTCGCTAATCACTTGACTGTGTCTCCATCTTCGGTTGGACAGGGCATCATGAGGGCCGTACACCGCCTGTGGTAGCGCTGCGTCACGCCGCCCCATTAGCAGCAGGTTAGGCGTGATGGGGTCAGTGTCGGCCACATCAGAGGAGGCATACCCAAGTGGTTTTGAGTTTAGTATGCCTTCCACCTCGATGAGAGTGGTGAGTAGAACTTCTTCAGCCACAACTTGATCCTTCAGGACGACCTGCAGAGCTGATTTGACTGACCTGATTTCCCTCTCCCAGGCTCCCCCGAAGTGAGGAGCATAAGGTGGTTTGAAGTGGAAGTTGATGGTCTGGCTGGCCAACTGCTGCTGTAGATCCGGGGACATGTTCTCAAAGGCAGTCTGGAGCTCTTTACTACCACCTCGGAAGTTTGTGCCCCGGTCAGACCACACCTCATGTGGTTTCCCCCTGCGTGCAATAAATCTGCGTAAAGACATAAGAAAAGAGTCAGTGTCCATGCTAGGCAGGAGATCTAAGTGCACACATCTGGTGGTGAGGCACTTGTAGATGATCCCCCAGCGCTTCTCTCTCCTGCGTCCAATCTTCACAACATATGGACCAAAACAGTCCACGCCTGTAGACCAGAATGGGGGTTTGTACAGCCTCAGCCGGGATGAGGGAAGGTCGGCCATTTTTGGAGTAGTGGGAGAAGCACGCCATCTTCTGCAGTCAACGCACTGATGCTGATGTTTCCTAATAGCCTGGCGCCCTCTGATGATCCAGTAGATGCGACGTATCTCTGCAAACAGTCTTTCTGCCCCAGGATGGAGGAGCTGCGCATCATAATGCTTTATGAGGAGCTTAGACAGAGGGTGATCTCCAGACAGCACAATTGGGTGAAGGCTGTCTGGGTCTACGTCTGTGGCGCGACGCAGGCGACCTCCCACTCTTATCAGCCCGACGATGCGGTCAAGTTCAGGAGAGAGTACACTCAGACGGCTGTTTGAGTGTACAGAGCGGCCGGATTGGAGGGCTTGGACCTCCTCTGGGAAACTGTCAGTCTGTGCAGAGCGAATGAGCTGCGTTTCTGCCTCTAGACGCTCTGCTGCCGTGGGGGAAGTGGCCGCCCCATGAAGGGACTGATGAGTGGCTAGGATCAGGTCATCCAGCGTGGCATACTGAGATGAATCCGGGATGCTCTGGGACATTGTTGTGTGGGCACAGAAAACTGCTTTCCTGAGCTCCTCATTGCTGTTGTCTGTGTGCTCAGCTGGGGACTGGGGCCACATGTCCGGTGTCTGTGTTAGGAAATGTGGGCCTTGTGACCAGCGACTGGAGGCAGTTAACTCTACTAGGGGTTTGCCTCTGGTGATGTCATCAGCGGGATTATGTTCAGAGTTAACATACCGCCACTGTTCTGGGGAGGTCATCTCTTGGATTTCGCAGATTCGAGTGCCCACAAAGACCTTGTATCGGCACGAGCTGGACTGTATCCACTGCAGGACTGTAGTGGAATCTGTCCACAGGCAGACGGACTGGAGAGGGATTGTGAGTTCAGTTTGGAGCAGTTTGGCGAGTTGGGCTCCAACGACTGCAGCACACAGCTCCAAGCGTGGGATAGACACCTGTTTCCGGGGAGCTACTCTGGACCTGGCAATGGCAAATGTTGTGGCGAGGTGCTCTTGTTGGTCCATCACTCTGAGATAAGCTACAGCTCCATATGCCCTCTCCGAAGCATCGCAGAAGATGTGGGCTTCATATGTCACACAGCTGCTGTGGTGAGGAGAGTAACAGCGGGGGATGGTGACATGCTGCAGGTGTGACAGCTCGCTCTCCCATTCAAGCCAGGACTGGAGCAGGGTGCCTTGAATGGGCTCGTCCCATCCTCTCTCTGTGCTCCACAGGCCCTGTACAATCAGCTTTGCTCTGGTGGTGTATGGGGAGATATAACCCAGCGGGTCATACTGACTGGCCAGCACTTTGTAAACATTACGCAAGGTAACAGTTGTGTAAGACACTGGGCGATGCTTGTACCCCAGTACATCTGTAGGGCAGTGCCAGCTGAGACCCAGAGTCGATTCCTGGGGATCTAAGCTTTTGAGATTCAGCCACAGATCACAGCTGTCAGACCTGGCGCTGCTGGGGAGATGAGCAACCACTTCAGGAATGTTGCTCGCCCACTGCCTTATCTCAAATCCACCTTGAAGCAGGAGTTCCCTCATTCTGTCAATGAGTGCCTTGGCCTCTTGTGGTTGATCCAGGGACTGCAGGCAGTTATCCACATAATATGCTGTGAGCACAGAATTATAAATGTCCGGATGAGTGTCTCGGTGCGCCCTCACATGGCTCTGAAGCGCAAAGGTGGCACAGCAGGGACTGCATGTTGTACCGAATGGCAGGACTCTCCACTCATACACATCTGGGGGGCGATCGGTTTCACCATCTCGCCACAGGAAGCGCAGGAGGGGACAGTCCTCTGGGAGCAGTCGGACCTGGTGGAACATAGCCTTTATGTCTCCGCTCACTGCTACAGGGTGCTGCCGAAAGCGGAGTAGGACGCCGAGTAGCGTGGGCCCCAGTGTTGGTCCGGGCAGCAGATATCTGTTGAGGACCGCTCCCTGGAACTCAAAGGAGCAGTTAAAGACAACCCGGGCTTTATTATTATGATGTACCATGTGGTGCGGCACATACCAGGATTCAGTGGAGCTGTGAATCTGCTTTGGAGTTAACTTAACCACATAACCTGAGTCCACTAACCTCTGTATCTCCTGATTGTATTTGAGGGCGAGAGCAGGTGTTTTCACTAATCTACGTTCTGTGGACCTAAGGAGACCTTTAACCGCATCAGGAGGGACTTTGAGCTGTGGGAAATCAACTTTGCGGAGTAGGGGAGTGGCATATCTCTGGACACCGTTTACAGGGACTCTAATGGTTTTAGCCTCGAGTGTGGAAATGGCCTCTTTGTCCTCTTTGGAGCGTGTGACTTCCCTCTCTGGTTTGTGGAGGGGAGCGTCTAATTGCCACAGACGCTGTACATCCTTCTGCAGGGCTTCAGCAGGAGAAAGGCAGGATATGTTCAGGCAGTGCACCTCTCCCTGCTGTGTGGGCATACTGTTGCTGGGACCCTGGATGGCCCACCCGAGCTTGGTGCATACAGCCACTGGCCCATGGGCTGGCCCGCGCAGGACTGGCCGAACAGGAGTGATTAGGTGAGCATTGTCCGAGCCGATTAGCACCAGAGGCTGCACTTGTGTGAATTCCTCCAGCTGCACATGCTGTAAGTGACGATACTTTCCCTTTAAGAGCTCCACGGGGCATGACTGTTCAGCGAGACTCAACTGTGTGGCAGTGAAAGCGTGCTCTATTTTGTAGCGTGTTTTTGGCTTGGACCTGGGTGACAGTTGAAATGACACATAAGCTCCCTTCATCTGTATTACATCGTGACGGATAGTTCGGAGTGAGAGCGTTTCCTCTTCCTGCGTTAGCCCCAGTGATTTGACTGCAGCTGGGAGGATGATGGTTTTCTCTGATCCATCATCTAAAAGGGCAAATGTGTCCAGGGACTTCTTGTCATGGTGCAGCTGGATGGGAACCACTTTAAGCATAACACGGCCTGAGTGGCTGAGTGGACCCAAAAAGACTTGGCTGGTACTAACAGTCAGAATGTTAGGATCTTGTTTCTTCGCCTCTGCCAGGTC